AGAGGCTGAAATTGACTGGTTCTGTGAAGGCCTACAACACCTTCTAGAAATAACACCAAAAAATGATGTTCGCATCATCATGGGGGATTGGAATGCTAAAGTAGGAAGCCAAAAGATAACTAGAATAACAGGCAAGTTTGGCCTTGGAGTACAGAATGAAGCAGGGCACAGGCTGCTAGAATTTTGTCAGGAGAATACGATGGTCATAGCAAACACTCTTTTCCAAAAACCCAAGAGATGACTCTACTCGTGGGAATCACCAGATGATCAACACAGAAATCAGATTGACTATGTGCTCTGCAGCCAAAGATGGAGGAGCTCTGTACAGTCAGTAAAAACAAGACCAGGAGCTGACTGTGGCTCAGATCATGAGCTTCTTGTTGCTAAATTTAGGCTTAAATTGAAGAAAGTAGGGAAAAGCACTAGGTCACTCAGGTATGACCTAAATCGTATTCCTGATGAATATACAGTAGAGGTGACAAATAGATTTAAGGAATTAGATATGATAGACAGAGTGCCTGAAGAACCATGGACGGAGGTTCGCAACATTGTACAAGAGGTAGCAACTAAAACCATCCCAAAGAAAAAGAAATGCAAGAAAGCAAAATGGCTGTCTGAGGAAGCTTTACAAATAGCTGAGGAAAGAAGGGAAGCAAAAGGCAAGGGAGAAAGAGAAAGATACACCCAATTGATGCAGAATTCCAGAGAATAGCTAGAAGAGGTAAGAATGCCTTCTTAAATGAACGGTGCAAAGAAATAGAAGAAAACAGTAGACTAGGGAGGACCAGAGATCTCTTCAAGAAAATTGGAGACATGAAGGAAACGTTCCATGCAAAGACGGGCATGATAAAGGACCAAAATTGCAGGGACCTAACAGAGGCAGAAGAGATTAAGAAGAGGTGGCAAGATTACACAGAGGAACTATACAAGAAAGAGCTTAATGTCCCTGATAACCACGATGGGGTGGTCACTGACCTCGAGCCAGACATCCTGGAATGTGAAGTCGTATGGGCCTTAGGAAGTCTGAGCAACAACAAAGCTAGTGGAGGTGACAATATTCCAGCTGAGCTATTCAAAATCCTAAAAGACGATGCAGTAAAAGTGCTACACTCAATACACCAGCAATTTTGGAAAACTCAGCAGTGGCCACAGGATTGGAAAAGGTCAGTTTACATTCCAATTCCAAAGAAGGGCAATGCCAAAGAAAGTTCAAGCTACACACCATTGCACTCATTTCACATGCTAGCAAAGTTATGCTCAAAATCCTACAAGCTAGACTCCAGTAGTATGTTTACTGAGAACTACCAGAAGTACAGGCAGGATTTCGAAGAGGGAGAGGAACTAGAGATCAAATTATCAACATACTCAGGATCATGGAGAAAGCTAGGGAGTACCTGAAAAACATCTACTTCTGCTTCATTGACTATGCCAAAGCCTTTGATTGTGTGGATCACAACAAATTGTGGCATGTTCTTAAAGAGATGTGAGTACCCGACCATCTTATTTGTCTCCTGAGAAACCTATATGCGTGTCAAGAAGCAACTGTGAAAACCACTGGACATGGAACCACTGATTGGTTCAAATTTGAGAAAGGAGTTTGGCAAAGTTGTATACTGTCACCCTGCCTGTTTAACTTATATGCAGAGCACATCATGAGAAAGGCTGGGCTAGATGAATCTCCAGTTGGAATTAAGATTGCTGGGAGAAATACCAACAACCTCAGATATGCAGATGATACCAGTCTAACGGCAGAAGTGAAGAGGAACTAAAGAGCCTCTTGATGCAGGTGAAAGAGGAGAGCGCAAAAGTTGGCTCGAAACTCAACATAAGAAAACTAAGATCATGGCATCCGGTCCTCTCACTTCCTGGCAAATAGATGGGGAAGAAATGGAAGTAGTGACAGATTTTATTTTCCTGGGCTCCAAGATTACCACAGACAGGGACTGCAGCCAAGACATTAAAAGATGCTTGCTCCTTGGGAGGAAAGCTATGGCAAATCAAGACAGCATACTAAAAGCAGAGACATTACCCTGCCAAAAAAGTGTGTATAGTCAAGGCTTTGGTTTTTCCAGTTGCAATGTATGGCTGTGAAAGTTGGACCATAAGGAAGGCTGAGCATCAAAGAATTGAGGCCTTTGAATTGTGGTGCTGGAGACGACTTCTGCGATTCCCTTGGACAGCAAGGCTATCAAACCAGTCAGTCCTAGAGGAGATCAACCCTGACTGCTCTTTAGAAGGCCAGATACTGAAGATGAAACTCAAATACTTTGGCCACCTAATGAGAAGGAAGGACTCTCTGGAGAAGACCCTAATGCTGGGAACAATTGAGGGCCAAAGAAGAAGGGGACGGCAGAGGACGAGATGGCTAGATGGAGTCACTGAGGCAGTTGGTGTGAGCTTAAGTGGTCTCCAGGGGAAGGTGGAAGACAGGAAGGCCTGGAGGATTGTTGTCCAAAGGGTTGCAATGGGTCGAACACGACTTCGCAACTAACAACAACAGCAGCAAATTCTTTAGGAGCTGTCCTTTATTTTCACATGGATTCAGGTAGAATAATTATGTTAATGAAATGTCAGATTGGCAAGGCAAGGGCTTCCCCTCTCTCTGCTATTTTATTTTGGCACAGTGTTTACAAACTGTTCCAGTATTGAATAGAAGAATGTTTTTGTTCTCTCTTTGAGGCTTTCCCTTCCCAGTGAGGTTCCTATAAATTAAGAGGACTGAAGACAATTCAAGACTGAAGAGATATAGCAGAGAAAAGATTTTAAAAGCCCATGAGGTACTATGAAATGTCTGAATGTAGGAAAATGCTGACAGTTACTAATGGCACTACTTTTTTTCTGTAACATAGGATTTCTACACACACACAAATAAATTGATGACCATGTTAAGGTTTAGGATGAAAACCTCTTTGTTTTTTAAAAAAAATAAAGAAAAATACAAAAAAGTAGGAACGTTTCTTGAGTCAAGCTAGCACTCATGCTAACTAACACTGTGGAAAGTTTATTCATTAAGCGAATAGAGCAATAAATGCTTTCTAATCTGTCCTAAACATGGAAGATGCCATAGAGCTTTCTCTCTCATTTAGCAAACTCGTGGTATGTCAAGGGATGCAATGAGCAGAGCCAGGGGTCAGACTAGGTGGTCTGGGGGACCCCTTCTGACTCGCTCTGCTTCTGTGTCTCTATGCTCTGTGCTACTCTTGCAATGTTTGTCACACCTCTAGAGTGGGACACATACGTGCAGGCTTTTCCATGATTTTAAAACCACCCCCTCCACCTTTACCCCAAGGGTAAAGATCACACTGGTAAGGGATATCCATGCAAGATTTTCTCTGCACCCTTTTCAGTGGTGGCTGAACAAAATGCTGCGCCCTTGTTTGATGAAACAATAAAAAGCTTCTTCAGTAAGTATTATGTGGCCATCACAGTAAAAAATCTGTTTTCTTAACTGGGGAAAGACTGCTGGTCAGGGACAGAATATATGCTTTCCATGCAGAAAGTCCCAGGGTCACTCCCTGGCATCTCTGGGTCAAATCGGGAATGATCTTTGCCTGAAATTGTAGAGACTCGATGCCAGGCTGTGAGTGGAAACAGTCCTTCCCTAGGAGGACCTTTGGTCTGATATAAGGCAGATCCTACGTGGTTCTGAGAGCTGGATGTACTGTTAGGATTCCATTTTTATACATACTGTATTCTTCTTCAGGTCTTGCAATCTTAGTGTTTGGACTATTATTCATGTGCAAGATGGTTGCTTGTTTACATTGCTTGCTTCCTCTTTTTTTTAATTGTCCCTTTCTGAGACCATCTTTCTACTGTTTGCATATTAAATATGGGAGAAAGCTCTTGTCATTTCCAGATATGCATATGTCCTTCCCCAGATGGTAGAAAGTAGGAGATTCCTTTTGAGGAAAGAGAATTGAGAAGCTTGTGATATACTTGTGTTAAGATATTTATTTACAAATTTACAGATTGGGAATTACAGAGGTGCAAACAGATAGGCTGTGGGTGAACTTCGTGTTGTGCAGTTCAGGAGAAATTTATCTTCAGAAATTATTCAATCATTTGCTTAATTTATATTCTATATATTGACCCAAGGGCCCTCTAAGTGGGTGGGAATCCGCTCTTACCCTGGAGCACTATATTTATCTTTTATTGCTTTTATTTCTGCCTTCTTGCCCACTATTTTTAACAGCTTATCACTGAAACCACCCCAGGATTTTAAAATCAAATCATTTATACAGTTATCCAAACGTTGAAGGGATTTTTAAAAATCCTCCTATTTCCATTGGTCCCTTTCCAGTTGACTATTCCTTCTCTGCCATGGAAGTGTCAAATTTCAAATCAGATACATCTTTAGTCTTTGTAAATGCTTAGAGTAAGACAGACATTCCACAGATGTAGCTTTGTTCATTACACTGCTGCACTGACAGGAGAAAGTACACGGTGTCACACTTCAGAAGCATGCAAAGAAGAGGCTGAATGCTCTTTTTGGACGTTATCCCTCCCTGGCACTCCTAGCAGAGGAAAAAGCAGTGGGGAGGATGGTATTTTGTCCCTCACTAAAAATCTGGGTTGGTGGTATGTCCCTCAGAAGAAAGGCTTTTTCATCTGAGAAAGGAGGAGGAAAGAAAATCAATCAAACAGCACCACCTAGGAAAACTTCCAATTTTCAAAACAGTTCAAGTTTTTGCTAATTTTTGCTGTTGACTTATTATCAGCAACATTTCTAAAATATAAATAAATTGAATTACTGTAGTGGACATCCCAATGACTGTAATGAATTATCTAGGAACAAATGTATACAAATAAAAGTGCACTGAATTCAGTAACTCAAGAGGTTCCTTTTTCCACATACCCACACGCATGTCAGTGACTTTGATTTCCTTGGCATACATACAATGGAGGTATTTGAGCATCTGTACTTTGTCCTTTCAGACAAATTCAATAAGGGGTATGATTTGGGCTTTCAAAGGCCAGATCTTGACTGTCTATCCCTTCTATCACAATCGAGTACAATATTCCAGAGGTTCATCATTGCCAGGAGTCTCATCTCCTGCTTCTGCCATGGCTTCTGCTTCAGCATCAAAAGCTGGGTTAAGGCTCCCAGGGGTGTAATCATTTCTTTTCAGATCTATGGAGAAAACAGGTAAACACTTAAGGACACAAATGCTCAGCATCTACGAAGAATCAGCTCTTGAGGGTAGTGCTAAGTCAATGTATAACCTGTTGGAGCACATAAAGGATACATTCTTCTATTGTTGTCTTTCCCATGTTCCCCTAGATATATACACATTCCTAAGAGGTAAATAGGAGGGGAACCCTTCAGCAGATACAATAGAGAACTTTTATTTTCGTGTTTTTTAGCCTTCTGCTCTGCGATTAGACTCAAACTTTCCATTCATCAGGTAAGCTCCTGTTGGTTTATCTAAGAAACTGACATGGCATAGAACAGCTTTCCCCAACCTGGTGCCCTCCAGATGTTTCGTACTTCAGCTCCAGTCAGCATGGACAATGGTCAGGAATCATGGACATTGTCCTCCTAAACATCTGCACAGTACTAGGTCGGAAAAAACTTGGGGAGAGTATTCAGAATGGTCATAGAGAGCTGAATTGAGTGAGCTGGGGTGGTAATTAGGCAAAGGCAACTAACGGGCCAACCTGAGAAAAATTAATGTGTCCACCCCCAATGGATATTTGCACATGATTTTTTTTAAAATGTGTCTATTGGAAATAGTGTGTTGATGCTAGTTATATCAAATTCAAGGTTTATTGCATGGATTATGTCATTAAAATTGCTATCTTTCAGTGTGAAAAGTGGGGGCGGGCAGGTAGGCACTGTGCTTAGTGATCCCAAGATATAAAAGGCAATTTCAGTTGTGCCACCTTCTTGACTATTACATCTTCCCATCTACCTATTTCAGAGTACAACAGTAAAACAAAATCAGTATTTTTACATGTTCCACTGAGTTCACAATGGATTTGAAAATTTGAATTATTCTAGAATTTTTTAATCCTGCATCACTAGCCATAGGGAAGGCCACTTAGAATGCAGTACTTAGGAGCTTGTCTCAGGAGACATGTCTCAAGTACACTCTGAACTGGTGAAATAAAGGACCAGTAGCAGCATCGTTAAGAAGAAAAATGTGCAGCTGACAATTTAGCTTTGTTTTTCCAGACCTTTGAAATCCATACACAGAGAACACACAGAGGTGTGTGTGGGATCAAGACCTCTTTTAGTGCCTTTCCTGGTCCCCAAACATTCAACCACCTCTGTGAGAGCCAGTGTGCCCTGGTGGCAGGAGTGCTGGACTGCGGACCTAGGAGATCCAAGTTCTGGTCACCGCTTGGCCATGAAGCTCACTGGGTGACTTTGGGCCAGTCACTCACTCTCTACCCAACCTACCTACTTCACAGGGTTGTGAGAATACAATGGAACTAGGTAAACCACCTTGAGTTCCGCACAAGAGGAAAAAAGGCGGGATATAAATATAAGATTATGATGATGTACACAGATTTTGCATATGCAAGTTCTGTATCTATGACTGGGGGCCGTGAGAAACAAATCAAAGGGCAAGATTATTTATGTATGTACAAGTCCTAAGCATGTTGTCCTGTGTATGCAGAGCACACTTTCAGAAGTACTGAAAGAAGACTTTGATGTCCAACAGAGCACCTATGGTAGAAGTATAGGACCCGTGGCCATCCAGATGTTGTTGGACTACAACCCCCATCAACTTGAAGCCGGGCCAATGAACTGAAAGGCCACAGTTTCCCCCTATGACCTTTCAGAGTATAAAGAGTCAAAGTATAAAAAGCAAAACTCCCTACCAAAATTCTGACCCAAGTCTCAGAGCAATAACTTGGGGGGTGCAAATAGTTCAGAGCCCGATGACTACTTCTTACCACCCTGACTGAAGGGGAAGAAAGGATGAAATCACTCAGAGTGAGCCCTCAGAGTGAGCCCATGAGCTTCTTCATATGAGGCTTTTATTGTACATGTCTCAGTTTTTATTCATGATACTTTGCGGGGGGTTCACACAACATTGTCCTCTTCCAGGGCCTTTCCCTGGGATTTAGAATGAGGATATTTGGCTATATTTCAGCTGTCGTGCTAAAACAAGCCCATGTCTTTCAGCAACTGCACTGTAGTGCAGTGCCCCCTGGTGGCTGCATATAGGAAGGCAGGGCAAGAGAAACTCTGGAACCCCCCCCACTACCCCCCCCCATAAATGATGCAGCAAGAATCCAGCAAGAAAAATGGAAGAAGCCTGAGTGAAACACCTCTTGTAAAAGAAGCCTCATGTAAATTTGCAGGCTATGACTCTTTCATGTCTTTTGCAACCATCCATTTGATGGTGGAATTACAAAGTCAGCCCAAAAACATGAAGAGTATTAACCAACATTCTGAATACCACATACATTAGTAGTCACCAAGAGGTGCAAACACTTTAACAAAATTAAAAAGCAGGTGTAATCACAACTGAGTATAACAAAGAGATTTCTTTCTAAGAAATCTAACACTTCCGATTAAAGAACAGTTTATATGCAAGTTTAACATAAATTCAAATGATGCTGAGACTGATGATCTACTAATGTTAATGGTGTGATTTAAGCTCCTCCTGCATTTAAACTTACTATTTTGGTCACCCCATTAACAATTGAACTAAGATTCTGTATGGAGAAGTGAAATGAATAAATGTCTGTTCTGGTTTTTTAAAGAGTTTGCCAAATCAAGACATGGAATATAGAGCTGGAGAATGCAGCTTAGATTTACTTCTGCCTAAACAAATTGGTACATATTGGTATTGAAAGAATTCGTAAGAGCATTCTTCTTAGCCCTTAGACTTCTTTGGTAACATAAGATTAGCTCTTTCTTTTCTAAGAAATAAACAAGATCATGAGCACAATCTATCATTTATCCTAGCTGTCCTTGGGAGCATTTAGTTCAGAAATATGAAGTGCTTTCTTACTGCATACCAGGAAGTCTGAGTTTCCTGCAACAGGAATTGCAGCAATGCTTTGAAATGAAATTTTTGATTGCTTCCTCTCCAAGGTTTGCTGGTCCAAATGCCATCCCTCTAGATCTGGAAGAAATGACAGACAACTAATGAAATTGTATCCTTTGTTTTCATTTATTACCCATGATATTGCAGTCTTCACAAAATGAAAGCACTTGTTTGTATAAATATATTATGTCAAACCAGCAGTGATTAGGTTCTAGGGAAGATCTACCATCTGTGTCAGAACACATTGCATATTACATGTAAATATGTTGCATTCATTTGGCAAGATTATTCAAATCATGATAGCTTTCTGCTGTGTTTCTAAGATATAAGCAAATTATCAATATGTGCTCAATTTTTAAAGAAAGACAGGCAGATAACTTACTTGGGGGTGACCTGAGGCTGACTGAGAAAACATTTCACACACTGCCTGCTACTGCTGGCATGCATAAATTCACACTGAATTATATAGTGCTTACCTCAACAGCAGTATGTGGCTTGACTTACTTACATGAATTATTATGAAGAGCTGCCTGCCTGCCTGCAATCCACAACCGGCTTTTGTATGTGGTCTGAGCTCAATATCCTGATTAGGAATGGGGGTTTGCAGTAAAATTATGCTTTGTGATGATGGTGATGGTGATGAAGACGACAATGACAAGGGGGAGGGGGAGGGGGAGAGCAAGTGAGGGGAACCCTTGGCAAGGACCTTGCAATGTCCTTTGGAAATGTCCTTCCATTGTGAGGTGAGAGAGGGACGGACCCATTTGGAATCTGCACACACACTAGTTGAAAAAAGGAAAGAGGTAGACTGGGATTTTGACTAGGAAGGCAGGCAGGCAGGCAGGCAGGCAGGCGGGCTAACCGGCTCTTGGAATGTATAAAAGCAAAGCCGCAGCCTCTGTGATGACACAGCCCTTATTTAAAGACATTCTGGAAAATAATTTGTTTTCTTGATACGTTTAGTGAAAATAACTAACTCTGAGAGGTGCTGTCTTTAATAGTGCCTCTCATAGGGTGAAATCCTATGCAAGTTAAGAGAGAAAGGGGCTGCAACTCCTGACACATAATCTCTTAATTAATTCACTTCTGTTTAAGTAAGGGTATTCGCAGTCTTTGGTGTTCTCAGTCTAAAGATTTGTGAACAGTCTAGAGATTAGTTCTTGTACAACTAGAGGGACTTCCCACATTATGAATTAAAAGAGAAACCTTGGGCTATTTGTAAACTTTCAGAGGTGCTGTGCATTAACGAATCTAGCAATTTTGAGCGAAACTTTACAAGCAAGGGGGGATTGGTACAATTGCTTCTCTCCATGGATTTACCCAAGGGTAATTACCCAAATGTTTTTCTTAACGGATGCTTTGGGCAATCATTTGAGCCCTTGCATAGAAAATTACTGCTAAAGCAGCATTCTTTACTTTTACCATTAATTACACTTATTTACCAAACATTCCTTTGAGCATGACCACTCTGGATTGTATCCAATGGTGTTGCTCCTCCAGCAGGAGCGTACATCTAGCAAAAAGATTTCTTCCTTCCCCTGCAGCCTTCTACATGTGCTGAAGAAATACTCCGAATGCTTGGGAAACCATCCAGTGCAAGGGGATGCAGGAGAAAGAAGATGGAAAAGCCTTTGCAGACTATCACTCACTGGGTTGCCATCCAGTTTCCATCCAGAACCAGATCCAAGGGTTTATATGTCCAGAACTTTTCAGAGAAACAATATAGAGACTGCCTTGAGCATTAGTAGGCCCAGCTTTTCCATTACTCCTGAATGTATCATTCTGCATACCTCTTTGATTAGGGATCAAAGGAACTGCTCAGAGATTTTAGAATACTTAGAAGTATCTAATTGCCACAAATCATTAGGAGTAAAACTTGTAAAGCAGAAAGCATGACTTTCAATGGGGTTTGAACTTGAGGACCTTTTGTTTCCAAAACCAAACACTGATTGTCTTCACATTCATAGATGAAGTTTGCTAAAAAGTGGATTCAAATATTCTGCAGATTGAGCAAGACCTGGGCTTTTCTATACTCTGAATTCCAAACTGTGAGCGATGCTTCTGTGTTTTACCTGGCAGATGGCTCCGAAGTGTTCATGATTTCTTAAGAAAATGTTTACGGACAATCCAAACTGGATCAATTTGTAACCTTTCTTTGGTAGATGGGATGGAACCTTTCTACAGTCAAATTAGGAAAGGCTCTTTGGTGACCAGCATGGCTGGCTGGGGGATACTGAAAATTGTAGGATTTTTTTTGTACATGAATTTGCATGGAATTACACCCTAAAACTTGGAATTTTCCCTTGCAGAATTAATGGAACACTGCAGAAACAGTTATCATTGTATCACTAATAGGAACAGGAAGTCTGGTAATGGCTTTAAAAAATACGCAAATCATTTTCAAGACAATGAGAACAATGCATAGAAGCACCATTGCAGGTAACATATTTGGTTCCTGTGCAAATATCCTTTAAAGTATATGTGTGAACAGAGAATGTGCTCAAGCAGCCTTCTCCAATCTGGTGCTCTTCTGATGTGTCGAACTTCAAATCCTATAATTCCCCCACCCAACTGAATGGGAGATTATAAGATTTACAGTCGAACACACCTGGAGAAACCAGGTTGAGGAAGTCTGAAGCACCAAAGTAATGAAGCATAACTATTGCCATCAATATTAAGAAAGGCAATTGATCCATCAGTTAGAATTTCAGTCCCTCATCCTGACTGTGGAAAAGTGTGAGTTCAAAGCCACACGTCTGTTTCCTGCAAGAGTCTTCAGATTTCGTTTTATTTGTGATGCTTCTATATCACTAATTGTAATAAAATCCCTAAGCTGTTCACATATAAATATTAAAATCTCATTTAAAATACAATATTCCAATTACAATTCCAATTACAATAATAGTACAGAGCAATACAAGCCGCAGTAAAATGAAGCAGCATAATGAATTTAACTGCAAGCCAGAAAAAGCCTGGGTGATCAAATATGCCTCGCACTGGGTGCTCGCAAGCTGCTGAGTTCAGGGGATGATGAGCATCTGCCACTGGGGCAATAGGACTGCACACTAAATTTAGGCTACAACCCCCAGCTTCCTCCAGTAACCTTTAGGCCAAGCTGCAAGTACAGTACATTACAGTATTCTAATTGAAAAGATAGAAATAGGTAACTGTAATGATAACAAGAAACACAAAGAGCGCCAGTGTCAGCAGAATGTGAAAATATGCATATAGGTATCACAGCAAATATTGTATATTAATTGAATGACATGAAGCATGTCATTCTGTATGATAAAGTGACACTAGATACTTACTGCTTGTCTTCAGGTTTAATAACGGATGGGTCTGTAAGATTCTCTCCAACCCCTGCAAAAGTCAAATTTACAAAGGGGTTAAGAAGATAATCACCATTTTCAAAATCAGTTGTGAAATTGTAACCTCCACTATTATTTTATACTGATCTCATCCTTTGCTTTTTTCAATTAAAACTGAAAAGACAACATTAGATGTAAAAAATGCTGCATTCTTATCTCATGTTTCAAGCCAATTCTTATTTTTCCATTGTAATGTAATGCCAAACAATTTAAGGCACTCATCCAAAGTTCTTTGTGGATCAAAATGCACATCTGGAAATGTTTTATTTATTTATATAACTTCTGTACTGCTGAATAGCCAACGTTCTTTAGGCAGTTCATAACAGTTCCCAAGCAGAACCATAACACTATCATCATATCATATCATAACATGTGGGTACTGGCTATATTTCCATGTCAGGGAAAACTGGGATCAAGGAATCTGTTGCTATAGCATGCATGGAGCTGCCTAACACTGAAGGAAGCAATCAACCCTGTAGACCGAGGAGTTCTCCCTTCAGCCCAGTGGTTAATCCAGCTTTGCTCTCCTGGATCAATAGTTGCATTTGGTGTGCATTAATGGCTACAGTTGGTCTTTTCGCAGTGCATCAGTGAGTGCTTTGTAACCATACTGTTGTCAAAAGGTTGCATACATAACTCAATACAAGGCTGGATGTATCTAAGAGGTTAATGAGAAACCCATTTCCTTCACTCTGGCGGATTCGAATTCATTTGAAACTACTGCTGAACCAAAATGCTCTCAGCAGAAAGGCAGGAAGAATTATTTAAAACTGGGATGCACGGGAGCTGGGCTTACCAGGAAAGATGCATTGGTACTGCTTTTTCAAGAAAAAAAATCTTTTAAAAAACTCACCTGCTTTGCTGCCACAAGCAGTGACAGAGCTACAACCAGCACAATACCACCCCCACCCACTAGTGCCTGGTTGGAAATTTATCTGGGTCAGGATGGAAGGTCACCTTAGAGGCATTTGGGGATAGGGGGAAAGAGATTCACAGCGCTGCTTCTGCTGCTGAGGGATGCAGCTCACTCGCTGCCTGCAGGAGTGGAGCAAGTGGATTTTTGGTGGGAAATGGCAACGCTGCTGCTGCTGCTGCTGCTTTACTGGTAAATTCCCAACCTCCAAATTTCTCATGCCTGTTGAAAGAAAACCAAATCACCAACCTCCACTCCCTACCCCGCTCAGTCCAACTTCACTGGAGATGGATATGCCTAAATTCCAACACTTGATTTTAATTTCAAGGCTAGAAAACAGAGAGGTAAAGTAAAGGCTTCTCCAGATTGTCACCGGGGGGGGGGGGGGGCATGGCAATAAAAACTCAAGGCTAATTTGTCATCATTTTTTACTCAGGATGGTGTTTCTTTTCCAGGGATATCCATTTTCCCAGCATTCCAATGGCAATATTTGGTTGCAGGGGAAATGCCTTTCTCCCCCCCCCCCCCGCCCCAGGAAGCATCCACGTGGACACAGGTGGTGAAATGGATGGGTGAAACAGTCCCCTTCCTCAGTTGTTCACACAGCTGCTGCACCCCATTCCTGTGGACTAATCCATTTCTTTACAGCAGTACTAGCTAACACATGAACTGCTTGTGCTTTTAGCTACTTGCATATGCATTGTGTTCTGTAGAAAATATGGTCAGAACAAAAGCTGTCTTAATATAAAGCCAAAGAAAATTATGATCCAAGGTCCAAACCAATTCTAAAGTTGAACCAAATATGTCAGATTTTTACCTACCTTCCCAGAAATCTTCCTGGCTCTGTGCAAAGACCTTCACATTCACTTAAGCTTTCAAAAGAAGCCACCCACACTGTGATTTTAGATCATTGTCTAAACATTTCACCATTCTATAATGAATATGTGTCTGTTAAATGTTGAATGTAAAGATAACAATAAATGAGGTCTGGAGAATGGAAGGTTTTTTTGCTTGAAAAATGCACCTTGACATAATGTGGGCCTTTTGAACACTGCAAATAAATTAAGCCCCTATCTTACAATACACATTTCCCTTGACACAAATAGCAAACAATGATACTTAATTTACATTAGAGGTGGTTTTTCATTTTGCTAATGCTGTCTAGTATTTCCTTACAACAAACAAGTCTGAACACAGTGGCTGTCTGTCTGTGTCTGCATGTGCGTGTGTGTGTGTGAGAGAGAGAGAGACTGTTTGGCATACAGAACTTGTACTTCCCGTATTTCTGATGTAAGCATATGGGAACATCTGTCCAATGTGCTTTCCTTAGTTCTTACCCCCACTCATCTTGGGTCTTTTAGCTCCAACTTCTATGACAAAAGATTGCAAATGTTTCAAGGGAAGAAAAGTCTTGAAACCAAGATGAACAATGGCAGGAGCCAGAAGCATACAATTGTGAATTTCCCTAAGTCAAAGCTTGCATGGTTAAGTCAACACCCAAGCATGCTGTTGTTGTCGTTGTTAGATGCCATCAAACTGTCTCTGGATCATGGTGACCTTGTCAATGAACGTCCTCCAAATACCCTATCCTTGACTGTCCCTTAAGGATGTGGTTACCATTAAACAGACTCTGTCACCACCATACACGTATCCTGCCACATCTTGCCAGCAGGCCACATGTGTGGGCACAGGGCAGATGTGGAACAGAATGTGTGCACAGCAAGGCTGCCCCCTCCCCGGCTGAGGCAAGTTCACTGAATGCACAGAGGCCCCTCATAAAAGGGGCTCTTAGAGCTAGGCAATGTCAAGCAGTTTATGGTGAGCCAAAAACCAGTAGATACACTAAAGAGCAAGCCAAGTTTCGTTGGTTCATTCGTTCGTTCAGAACTTTTATACTACAGTCTCAGGATGGTCAAAAATCAAAGAACCACCAAGAGGCGGGGTTAAAAAATAAGCCACAAGTCAGGACCAAGGGATATTGGAATTCACCAGAATGTGGGAAAAAACCTTGTCCAGTTCCTTGTCCATAAGAACCCTAAACCACTTAGGGCTCCAGATGCGGCAATATGCAGTTCAGAGGATCATGTGACACAGACCCAATGGCTCATGACAGAGAACTGGGCATTTCAAAGATTACAAAAGATTTTTGTAAACTTGCACTCCTATCAAACGGAAAGTGCATGGAGCAGCCATGTAGAAGAAGCCATTTATAAAAGAAAAACAAATCCCACTTGGTCCAGAAGGGAAAAGAATGGAGGAAACGGTCAATTATTGGGCTGGGGGAGTGGAGGAGATGGTGTAGCCATTTGAAGAGCCCTGGAACCTCAAGAGTGCCAGAAACATGGGGGCACACATGAGAAAACTGCTTCCTTTTATACAGTCTCCTTCATTGGTGTCAGGGACTGATGTCATTATTAGACATCTTCACTACTGAAAGGCTCTGTCAAAGAAACATTCTATGATTTTTCATGTAGAATTCTTCAGATCAAACCCTGCAATTTTTCCGATTTTAAAATCTAAGAGAGCAAAAGCATGTTTTGCAGACTTACACATAATGTTATGTGCTGTCATCTCACACAATGGCATCGCCATGAATGACTGGTGTCCAAAATGTCCTGTCCTAGACAGCTCTGCTTAGCCCTTATAAGCTCAAAGCTGTGGCTCCCTTTATACAATTGATCCATCTCATATTTGGTCTTCCTTCTCTTCTTCTGCCCTCAACTTTACATAGCAGAATCATCTGCTCCAGCGAGCCTTGCCTTTCCATGGTGTGTCCAAAGTATGACAGCCTCATTTTCATCATTTTTGCTTCCAGGGCAAGTTCTAGTTTGATTTGATCTTGGAGCCCCTTGTTCATCTTTCTGTTGGTCCATGGAATTCACAAAGTTATCCTTCACCATGTTTTGACCACATCCATTTTCTTCTTGTCAGCTATCTTAACTGTCCAGCTTTCACATCCAAACATAGTGATCAGAAATGCAATAGTGTTGATGATCTTGGCCTTGATCTCCAATGAAATGTCCTTACACTTGAAGATCTTTTCTGGATCTTTCATTGCTGCCCTTCCAAGTTCCAGTCTTCTTCGAATTTCCTGGCTGCAGGCTTCCATTGATCAGATAGTTGGGCCAAGGTATGTGAAATCTTTCAATTTCTTCATTGCTGACATTAAAGTTGTATAATTCTTCCACAAACATTCTTTTTATCTTTTTTAATGTTCAGTTGTAGTCCTGCTTTGGTACTTTGTTCTTTCATTTTCATCAGGAGTTGTTTCATTTTGTTGCTGCTTTCTGCCAGTAATATGGCATCACCTGTATATCTTATATTATTCATGTAATTTTCATTCCTTGTTCCTCTGATCCTAATCCAGTTTTACTTCTGATTGAACAAACATGGAGATAAAATACACCCTTGTCTGATGCTTTGCCTCTAGGAAACCATTCTGTTTCTCCACATTCTGTCCTAACAGTAGCTTTTTGACCATAATAAAGGTTACACATCAGGACCATCAGCTACTGAGGCACACCCATTTCTAATGACTCACCAGTAGTCAATGTAGATTTGCAATATGATCTCAAGTGCCTCTTCCTTTTCAGAATCCAGCTTGAACATCAAGCATTTCTTACTCCATATAGGGCAAAATTCTTTGTTGCAACACGCTAAGCATCATTTGGCTTGCATGGGAAATGAGTGCAATGGTTCTATGGTTGCTGCATTCCTTTCTTGGGGAATAAAATGTATATTAAACATTTCTAATCTGTGGGCCACCATGTTGTTTTCCGTACTTGTTGGCAAATTCTGGTTAGGATTTAGACTAATTCAAGAAATGTTAAAAGACAGATAGATGAGCAGAATCTGAGACACAATGGCTTCATTCTTTCCTTCTCTAAGAGATTTTAAAAGAGATCAGATTACCATGCAGAGGTGAACTTGCCAACTCTAAGGAAGGTAGTAGGGAAAGGAGGAGGGAATGCCTTGGCCTCAATAATCATGACCTGCCATGATTGGAATGTATGTGATATTTACTACAAAGACTGCTGTCACTAAAGCACAATGATATTATGGCTGGCTTTCACAGGCATATCTCACTTCTCTTCATTTCAAAGTATGGCATGCTAGCTTATTACTCACCTTGCAAATCCAGCACGAGGAGTTCTCCTCGAGTATACACATATGTCCAGTGAGAAAAAGCCAACATTACTTCTTCCAGCAAATTGGTAGGTGTGATCTCATCTCCATTGTTGTTATTGTATTTGCAGAACTCTCCTGTCATATACTTTTCTATTGTCAGCCACTGATTAGCTGCGTGGCAATACATTAAAAAGACTTCCAGGAATCTGAAGGAAAGGATATTGTCATTCAGAAGTTAACTAAATAGTAAGGGGTCCTTGAGCTTCTGCGAAATATACAGCACTGCTCTCAACTGAAAGTTTTTATAAATGCTTTTAAGAACATAACGATATGTATATATTATCTACAGTGTGATCCCATATGTTTACTGAGAAGTAAACACCAGTAATAGCAATGGATCCTAAACCCAAGTAATACCATCAATGGAATGGATTTTTTCTTCCTCCCTGCAGCTACTGCTCACCCTCCAAACCTGCTCCAGAGTGTTGGGGGACCCTTCAGAACAAATCTGGGGAAAGCACGTTGGGTTGCAGGGAGGAGTAAAAATGGAGAACTTGTGTTGAATAGCTGACTTCTGTTCACCTGAGGTTGGGCTCCAACTCAATGAAACGCAACTAGACTTTCGATAGTTCCCTGAAGTCATTGAAAATGCTCTCATTTACTGCAATATGCTTTAGATCAAGCTCTGTATAAAGCCATTACACTTCACAAGCTCACCAGAAGCATATATTTCTGTACCAGACCCATCAGAGGAACTAGATAACAGCAAAATTATTGCTCTAGTTGCAGTCCTCCACAAAAGTGGCAACAAAGTCTTTCCAAATCATGAAAGGGCTCATCCCTTCTAATAAAGATCGGGTTAAAACTCCTCTGAAATGGCAGGCTGATTTTTACTCTGATAAAACATTCAGATCTTTTTATGAGAGAAAGGCCAATGTTACTCTTGATACTTGATAAAACTGCTTGTAAAACAAACCGTAAAATTTTATTTAGGTACTCAGAACCAAGTTATGATCTCCCTCTCATCAAATAAATACAGAAATATGAGGAATCTTGAAACAGAACCACATAGGTGGATGTTTAAATGCAGGCCCTCTACAGCATGGGGAAAGCTAATACATAAGCTTGAAAAGCTTTTGTCTCACCATGGCAGTATCTGATGTGATCAGCTTTATCAGCTTTTAACTAGACTGAAAGCTGTAGAAGATTGAAGGGCTGGCACACACCCACCCGGCCTTAGTCATACATACTGCTGCCGTGGCCAACAAGCCAGGCAGGGAAATGTCTTGTGGTCCAACGGGGGCGGCTCCAGCACAAATCAAAGCAATGACTCTGAATGGCACACATGCATCACAGAATCAAGCTCAGACCCCACACTCTGGCATGAAGTAGATGGTGGATCAGGGCACACTTTGAAGCAAGATGGGGTCAGTTAAAATGGCTACTCCTGCTCTGTCTGTGATTAGGTGGGAAGACTGGTGTTGTGATTTGCTGACTGACCAAGAGTGCTAGTGTGCTCTATCACATCTGCACAGTGGTTTTCAGTGACTAGTCAGGGAGATGAAGCCATTGGGCTGCATGGGTGCCAGTTGCTGGGACCAGTGTGAAAACATGTGGCAATGAGTGCTTTGCTGCTGTTATACAGAAAAGTTCCTCTCCTATTACAGACCCTGTGGATTCTCACCTTTTGGTCTCTCTTTTCTTTTTCTCTTAAAGGCCAAGGGTATATATTTGTTCTCTAGAGGGGTCTGTAAGCATAGCACCTAAAGCACCTGAAGACACATGCTCAGCCTCGATACATCGAACGGTCTCAATGAACTAGAACAAAAGTTTTCTTCTATCCCTCTCCTTCCTCTTTGCCTTTCTGGCCAAGTTGTTGGTTTCCAAGGGTGGATGCTATGAAGTGAGTGCAAGGCCTGGTTCGCCCGGGTCCTAAGGAAGATCCGGTTCCACCCTCAAAGGCCTACTGTGACGACTTTGCCAGGCATTTCAGGGAGAAAATCGCTCAGATACGTCATGAGCTGGACACCACTAATGAATCAGAGGTTTCTGGGGAGACGCCAATGCTGCCGTCTGGTCCAGAATTATTGAATGAATTTCAGTTATTGCAGCCCGATGATGTGGACAAGGTGCTTGGACGAGTACGTCCCACCACTTGCCTATTGGACCCTTGCCCGTCTTGGTTAATAAATAATTCCAAGCACAAGATCTTGGAAGTGGTTAACGCTTCTCTGAGGGAGGGTTGGGTGCCTGCCCCTTTAAAGGAGGCGGTAGTCCAACCGGTCCTGAAGAAAGCGTCACTGGATCCAGAGATGGCCACTAACTATAGACCTGTGGCCAACATCCATTTCTGGGCAAGGTGTTAGAGTGGGTGGTGGCGGGACAACTCCAAGCACTCTTGGATGAAAATGATTATCTGGACCCATTTCAGTCCGGCTTCAGACCCGGGTACGGTACTGAATCTGCCTTGGTTGCCCTGTACGATGAACTGTGCAGGGAGAAGGACAGGGGGAGTGCGTCCCTGTTGGTTCTGCTGGACCTCTCAGCGGCTTTCGATACCATCGACCATGGTATCCTTCTGGATAGGCTAGCGGGATTGGGGGTTGGAGGCACTGCTTTGCAGTGGTTCCGCTCCTATCTCAACGGCCGATTCCAGAAGGTAGTGCTGGGGGACTATGGCTCTGCGCCATGGCAGCTATGCCATGGAGTACCACAGGGCTCCATTTTGTCCCCTTTGCTGTTTAACATCTATATGAACCTGCTGGGAGAGGTCATCAGGAAGTGTGAGCTGCGGAATCATCAGTACGCTGATGATACCCAGCTCTACCTCTCGTTTTCCACTAATCCAGGTGAGGCAGTGGCTGTGCTGAACCGGTGCTTGGCCGAGGTAATGGGCTGGATGAGAGCCAATAAACTGAAGCTCAATCCAGACAAGACGGAGGTCCTGTTGGTTGGTGGATCAGGCTTCGGAGAGGGTGAATTTGACCTGGTCCTGAATGGGGTTGCACTCCCTCTTAGGGACAAGGTCCGCAGCTTAGGAGTACTCCTCGACCCGGAGCTTTCATTGGAAGCTCAGGTGACAGCGGTGGCGAGGAGCGCTTTCCTTCAGCTTCAGCTGATTAATCAGCTGCACCCCTACCTGGAGTACGACTGCCTGGCAACGGTGACACACGCGCTGGTGACTTCCCACCTTGACTTCTGTAACACGCTTTACGTGGGGCTTCCCTTGAAGACGGTCCGGATACTTCAATTGGTTCAAAATAGAGCTGCCAGGTTGCTGACGGGGACGGGGCGTTATGTTCACATGACTCCAGTCCTCCGTCAGCTTCACTGGCTTCCCATTGAAGTCTGGGCCCAATTCAAGGTGTTGGTAATGACCTATAAAGCCCTAAACAGCTTGGGTCCTGGTTACCTGAAGGAGCGCTTACATCCATATATGCCCGACCGCCCCTTGAGATCTGCGGGAGAGGCCCTTCTCCGGGAACCCGCCGTGAAAGAAATTAGGAGGGTAGGTACTCGGAGGAGGGCTTTCTCTGTGGTGGCGCCCAATCTATGGAATGTGCTCCCCAGAGAGGTCCACCTGGCACTGTCGTTATTTGTTTTTCGGCGCCAGGTGAAGACCTTTTTATTTAAACGTCATTTTAATTGTTAACAATATTTACTTATTTATCTGGCCAGGGCGACTTCTTTTCTTTTATAACTTCTTTTATATCTTTTATATTTTTTATTCATTTTATATTGTTAATTTTAATTTGATATTGTTATTTTTGTATTTTATTTTATTGTGTTGTAAGCCGCCCCGAGGCTTTGGCAAGGGGCGGCATAGAAATGTTCTAATAAATAAATAAAGTGATACTTCTATTTATGTATTTATTAAGTTAATGATTAAAATAATTCCTGTGCTACCTTTCCACACCAAAATGTACTCGGGGCAGCTCACAAAAAATCAAAGTCAATTGCAGTTGTCCCTTGACAACTTAATCTTGCAAAATGTGTGTAGTCATCAGAGATGACCAACAACATATCAAGCTGTTGGCAAGCAATAGGTCACTAACATGCAAAGGCTTGCATACGTTGGAAGTCACCTAAATTGAATGCATGGATTCATGTAGTGGCTCTAATTATGCTGCCTAAGAGTACTTGTTCTAAAACTTACACACACACACACACACACACACACACTCTCTCTCCTCTCAATCTACTACATATATGTGCCTGTGTGTATGCAAAGATACAAGTCAAATGTAGACATTGTCAACACTTTTAAATATAAGCCTTCAAGCGTATAGAGGCTGTTTCCTTGAAGCTTACACTGTTTTAACAACTCTGTCATTTATATCATTGCTTTCTGTGCCAAAGTACTGCATTTTGTAAGCTGATGCGACTGCTCCAGTTTGGAGCTCCATATATGTTCCAGCATGCACATGGAGCAGCTGAATATATTTCCCCATTAATTTCAATGGAGCAGTGTCATAAATGAATGTGTTCACAGAGCTATGACCATTACTAAGGATAGGAGGGAAGTCAGTCCAGAGTGGGTGTGAATGTATGGGCTATTTCCTGCAGTCAACAAGCAATCACTGCAGTATCTCAAGAGTTCAACATCTCCCTGATCACCACTACAGTTGTCAAGCCTGCTTTTGAAAGATTCTTGCCAAGCTAATCTCTACTAATGATTGCACTTGTGCAGATTTGAATGGAATCTAAGCAGCAATGGAAATAATGCCCCCTATCAAACTTTTCTTGTCAACCCCCAAGAGCCAAGAGTTGGCAGCTAAACAACACAATTGACTGTGTATATAACTCACATTTTCAAATAGAAATGTGAATAGCTCATTCTCTTCCTGACCTGCTCCTAAAGCTTTCATGTTAACATTGTAAAAATAGCTAAGACACTTTAATGTGAGTTGCAAGCCATATTATTGTTATAGAAATTTCATTTCTATACTGCCTATAGCCTAAATTTTCTGGGCAGTTTACAACAAAGTATATTAACAATAAAAGACTGTACATAAAATTAAGAATTAAAATTAATTTAAAAGAACCTTAAAAGACAATAAAATATAATTTTAAAGAGACCCAACCAAGAATAAAAGAATGAAACCTAGCTAATTCTATCAAACCCCAGAATGACCATGGAGGTCTTTAAAGGCCTCCACAAAGATGACTGTCTTAACCTGGAGCCAAAAAGGTGGCAAATTTGGCACTAGGTAGGCCACAGCAGGGAGGCTGTTCCAAAATGAGGCGCTACCACCAAAAAGGCCCACTCCCTAGTTCATTTTCTGAGCCTCTCAAGGGGTTGGCACCTGAGGGAAGGCCCCAGAGGCACAGCATAGTGCCTGGGTAGATTGGGACTGGGAGGAGCACTCCAACAGGTATTGTGGGCCCAAGCCGTGTAGGGCTTTCTAGGTTAAGACTAGCAGCTTGAATTGGGGCTGGAAACATACAGGCAGCCAACGCAGGCAGACAGAAGTGGTCTTATATGTTCGGACCTGTGTGTCCCAGTTATTAATCTGGCTGCTGCATTCTGCACAGCTGCAGCTTCTGAACTGTCTTCAAGGGCAGCCCCACATACAGTGCATTGCAGTAATCTAACCTAGAGATTACCAGGGCATAGATTACTGAAGCCAGGCTGCAGCTGGGATAGATTCTGTCAGTATAATGGGCCCCAGCAGCCATCTAAAAATACTGTTTATTGGTACCAGGCCCAATTCACTCCCCACAGCCTCCCTACCGATGCCACAGCTTGCCTCTTGTACCAGAAAAGAGTCTGCCTGGGAGAAAGAAGCTATAGGTAAGTAACAGCAGGTGTCATTCTGTTTCTTTACCCATATTCCCCTTTTGCTCTGAACTCAGACCTTCCATGTGGCTCAACTTAGAACAAATGGGTCTGTTGCCATCATGAAAAGTTTGAGTCTAAAATTCACAATACATTTAACTAAGCTCTACTGCCACTTACTATGAGCAGATTCATCTTTCAACTACTACCAGAAGCAAAAAAGGTGTTTAAGGATATAAGTTACCTTAATAAAATAAAGGTTTCCTATTTGTCTAATACTCGTCAGAATTCTGAACCAGAACTATGTCTGCATGATGATACTGTAGTTCATTACTGACTCATAAATGGGTAACCGTTCAAGCAATGCATGTTAAACAGAAGGAATGGGTTTAATCCAGGTTACGTTTGAAAAATCATCTACTATACCTTGGGCTATATGGAATGGTATGTGGCTTCACTTGATTGAAGGTATATATCAACTTCTGAGCTGCCCTTTGTTGCTGTATTTCCTAATAGTAGGAATAATACATGTACAGATACAGCATTTTTCATTTAATACAAAAACTCTCTAAATACATTAGGTCAACAGTTCTTACAACAGCTCTGTAATATGGAATGCTAGCATTATCACCACCCCCTTTATTATAATTTTAGAGATTGGTGAGAGCTTTTATGACTGAAATGGGAAATGAACTGCAGATATTTAGCTCAGAAACCATGTTCATAATCACTATTGTAGCTTGGATGGGGAAACCAAAATTAACTTATAGGACATGAGGAAAAGATAAATAGTATTTATCTGTCATATGAAAGAGCATTGATCATGAGTTTTCCCCTTTGTACATCAATGGTAAAATAACTTTTTTTTCTGTCTGACCTGTTTAATTAGTTCTGTAGAGACTGAAACATCTTTGAGATGCCTGTTGTCCAGCATAGATGACCATTCAGCAGGTTGAGCAGGCTTTATTCTAAGCCAGGATCTGAGGCAGGCCTTTGATCCAGCCAACCCAGTATTGTTGACACCGACTGGCAATAGTGCTCAAGGGTTTCAGGCAGAATTATTTCCCAGCCCTCTCTGGAAAAGCTGAGGATTGAAACTGGGAACTTCAACTTACAAAGCAGTTGCTTTGCCACTGAGCTGCAGATCTCCCCATTGCTTTCTATGCTTATGAGGCTAGTTTCTGTCCACCCAAGTCCTGTTTGCACAATGAAGTATCCCGGTGCACAAGGGGCCTGCAGGTACCACTCTTGCCAACTATAACCTTTTCTACTTGTGGCAGTCAGGCATTTAAATTTAGCTGGCACTTATATTAGCATAATTCACGTGAGAGGATGGTAAGGATGGTTGTTCTCACCCTGAGGCAGAGGTGCAGCACTGTGCCTTCATGGAAAACCTTTTGCCAGGTTTGAACCACTTCGGGGAGGAAGGACTTTACAATGAAGATGTGACCCGGCTGTAGCACATCCTTCTCAGCCCAGGTGCAGACAACTTTCAAGGCCCTCCGCAGGCCTCCATCCATTTCCTCCTGAGACAAAACTTGGATCATAGCAGCCATGCCACGCTGGGACCAGGATGACATGCTTTTATCAAGGTTCAAAGGCGAGCTTTCTTCTAATCTATAGATTGTCACCTCTTCTCCAGCTAAGGTCAAATGGAATTATACATCTTATTTAGAAAAAGCACAGGTCACTTGAATGTTGGGTCTGTTTTTCTTAAAATAATAACAAAACGGTAAGTTACTGGTCCTGCAACAAAGTTATACAATGTAATGTATGCACAGCTGTTCCTTTTGTGCACAATGCTATGCATGTCTTTTCCTAAGTTCCATCATTTTCAGTCAGCCTTACTCCAAAGTAAGTGCATGTGAGACTAAGCCCTAAGTGATGACTGCTTCTCTTTATGACCAAAATATTGATACTCACCCAAAAGCTGCACTGGTGTAAAAGGTATTGTTTGAGCCAATCTCATTAAATTGTTCCTTTCAACGGCTGCAAAGACAGAGGTCAAATGTATGATTTACTTTCATTTCCCACCTATGAATGATACTTGTCAATATATCCTTGTTTAAGCACTCCTCATATGGTTGTTTTCTGCATAGCAACCTATTCATTTCTCTTCATTTCTCCACTGCAATTCTTTGCTCAAGGCAAGTCAGCCAGCTAAGCTGAGGAGTCAGCAGCATTTCCCCCTGTTTGGACTCCTGTGTTTGGCTGTTGGAATTCTGGAAAGATGCCTATAGTACGATGTCTTTCGTTTGAGGCCTGGAGATCGTAGGTCCCAGTATGAATTAAGCAGCACATCTAACAACTGTGTGTAGCTGACCCTACAGTGCGTGCTGGGCAGGGGAAGAGGGATGCACAGAGGTATGAACGGCCTGCACCTGAAAGACCAAGCCACATGTTATGTGAAGTCCCATATAACTTTTCTCTGACTTTTTTGCAACACAAACAACTACAACAGCAAAGAACCATTGAGAGAGACGGCCATTTGAATAGAATAGTGGCAAGAGGGGTGATTGCCCTTCCTTTTCAGCCATATTCCTGCTCAAAATTACCCACTTCAGCTACTTCTCTCCCCAAAGGTGGAAAGGTGTGGGACATGGCTTTACCTTTTTGCCTGCAGGGTGAGAGCAGCTAGGGAATCATTTTCAACAGAAAACCAGTCTCTTTTTGGTTTGAGGGTTTTTTAATGATAGTTACGTGCAACCACATGTAATTTGGCTCTGGGACATCTTCCGTGGAAATATGAGAAAAAGAAAGAAAGTGAAATGGACAGAATCATCCATCCCTACTGTCAAAAGACACTAGATTTGGCAGTGGCTGCCCCAAGCAGTATATCTTTAAGCAGTTAGAAAAAGAAAACAGGAAAGGGCTGTTTCCCCTGCATCAGGTGCCCCTAAACTCCCTTAGTCCATTTAGTCTCAACATTCTGAAATTTGCCCCTCTGAGCTGGGTAGAACAGACAGTTGCTGAGCCAGAGTTGTCTCATCCTGCTGGGATGTTAATTGGGCTCGGAGGGCCTTGCCACTCCTGAACCAAACTCTGCTTCAACTTTTAGTGAAAAGCTGTGAGCTGTGAGCTGACATAGAGTTCAGTGCAACTGTGGAAAAGGAGTGCATTGATGCTCAACTTCTCAGCTAATTATGGCTGAAAGGAGGGGCACAATCCAAAGGTTTGCCTTCTGAAACAGCTGGATTTCAGGTCTGAGCTGATTTCTGAGTTATTAACGGAGAGCATTTCCATGGGAAGGAAGCTAGAGGGGTGGAGGGTTGTTTAGAGGGATAGTTCAGCTCTCAGCATCCACCCACAGGGACAAAACCAAATGGCCTGGTTTGATATTGATTACTTGTGGGCCAGATTCTTCAGCAGAACTAACAAAAGAATTAGCAACCCCTCCCCTGTTAATAAGTCACTGCACAAGCAGATAATTTTTGGTTGGCATTACCATCTTTCCTCATATAGAACTCTTCTTCCTCTTCTGCAATGATCTTCCTTTGCTAAACACTTCTGCCTGCTCTGTGTGAGCTTCAAAAGAATCTTGTAACCAGAAACTCAAAGCCAGCAACTAATGCTACACATGGAAATTGGAACTTTGTCTGGTTCCTTGACAGGGAACAGCTGCTCCGCCTTTACCGCCTTTCTCACCGAACTTTCTATCAATAGGACTAATGACATACTCTCTGTACTTCATCATCCACTCTAGATCTTGTTTGAAGAACTTTGTTTAAACTCCAGTGAGAGATGAGATCTTCTTCCAGACCATGCACTATTGTTTACTATAAACCAAGTATTTTCATTTTCGAACCCTAACCCCAACCCTGAACAGCCTTCTGATATGGTCTATGGTTTTTCCATGACATCTGCATATTGGAGACATCCAATGCAGGCTCTGTTGTAGGACCTCACTGCTGTCAGTGTGCATGAATTTCTAGCATCTGATGCTGGGCCTGTCTCCTGAACCAACCCAATAAAATGGGAATGCCCGTAAGCCTCCCGACTTGGAAGATTATGGGCATCCTATGCAGGGCAACAGGAGTGCAGTGCAGATGCAGCCTTGAACCTCTCCACTCCTCCAGTCTTGGCCATCCACCTGAGGCACTTCGAATGGGAAGAAAGGAGGCTAAAGCAACATCAGGATACATCACATCCTGGCAGTCCCAGTTTCTTCCCCTTCCCTAAGGGCTAAGCTTCAAATGATAAATGTCAGATTAATAGAATCTAGGAACAATCCTCTTAACCCCAGTTGTGGAGTGGGATTCCCAAACACATTTCTCCTTTTGTCAGTGTGTGCTAGGTGATATCCAGCACTGCTGCTGCACTTCTGCCATTCTTGTTGCACTAGCAGGAATCACTGCTGGGGCAACAGGAACTAGAATTTCCAGCAATGGTCCTAGAAATGAGCAAAAATGAGCATCTCTAGAATGGGAGAGCTCAGTGTATCTCCCCTTTGAAAGTTCCACTGACCGCTCCATCTCTGAAAAGAGCATTTTGCTTGTTTCCAATCACTGCAAGATCCTCTAGCTTCCTATTGTGGGCCCTGCTAGCATGGACAGCACTGGATACTGTCCTAAGTTGCCTTGGCCTTCATAGGCACATGCCACTCACTGGATTTATTCATTTGGCTTATGAGATGCTAGATAGCATGGGAGGGAGAAGCCTATCATTAGATGCTGATATGTCATAACTTTGAAATTTCATTTAACTATGTCCTTCCTGTATAAAGTAAGTGAATACTGGTGGCGTGACATTCTAAAAATAAATGTGGACTATAGAGACATCTGCTGGCAAGTTTTACATATCTCATTGTCCCTGCGGGTGGAGGAAGTGTGGGGAACAGAGCTTCACGGTATTCTATTAACTGGCATTTATTCTCTTGAAGAATGTAAAAGAAATCTGTGACTTAATTTAGTGTCCAAACATTTGCATTCTCACTGATCAGTGCAGACTGGAGATCAGAATGTATGCAGTATATTTTATTACATTTAATTCGGTGCATCAGTTGTGGTCCCAAGATGTGGGAAGTTTTCTGTTAATTCTTCAAGAGGCAGCAGAGACTGGTACAGCTATCCTCGCCTGCTTGCCCAAAATACATTTTAAAAATGAACTAAAGTTTCTGTCTGCAGGCACATTTGGCCTGACACACTATGCCCTTCCTTTCTTACTGCTTCTAACACAAGATGATGGTGTGAATTCATTTTTAAGGAATAAATATAGGCTATGGGCTTATATGATCTGGGGAGGGATCAGGTGATCTTAAGATCCATTCCAGTTCCTATGCCCTCTGATTAATTTCTGAAATGGTCTGTGAGTGTATAAAACATGTTGATTGATTCAGACCCTAGACATTTTTAAATGGGGGAGAGGAAATGAAGCAAGATTTTAAGCTGGATAGAATAAAAAATAGGCAGTAAAGAGTGTGTTTTAGTCACAAGTAGAAAGTGATGGCTATTAGAAAAATTGTTGTTTTTGTGTTTCCTAGGAATCCTCCACCATTACCCTCAGTTGCCTTTGGCTATAAACCTGCCATTTATTTCCTTCCAAATTTCCATTTATTTTTTTCTTTCCAAACTTATTTTGCCAACAGCTACTTATAACAAATAATCTTAATCTTTCCTGGCTCCTGTGTTAGGAATAATCTTAATATACTGCTCTTGATAATGAGCTACTTCAAAGTGAGAATATCAGAAAATGACAAGGGGAAGGAATTAATATACTTATCAACTAATGCAGTGGTTCAGCTACCATTTAGATACTCACTACTTACCTGAGTAATGATGGTGCAGATCTTGAGGAGGTTTTAAGGAGGATGAGATTTCTGAAAAAGAATTTTTTAAAAGGATTATCTTAAATAGGGGAGGCAGAGACAAATGTGCTGTCTTGAGCACTATGTATTCAAGATTGTCATGAAACAAAGTAATGGACTTAATGTTCTAGGAAGCAGAATTGCTGTAACAGTGTTATTAAGTCCAAAATGTAGGCTATGTAAACTATCAATAAAAGAACATATAATTATACTGGGGACTACAGAATGACAGGCAATATTCAGTTCAAGGACACTCAGTTTCCCTAAAGCTGGAGAGCTAGTAATTACACTTCAAGGATAGTAAAAACCCTTTTACTGCCCACTATGCTTCATGGGATCTCAAAGGCATGGTTTCCTCAATTCCTTCCCTAGTCATTATGCATCCCATTAACTACATTATGACACTGATGTTATAGTAATACTGGTTCATTAATCTGTAATATCTAAAATGTTGTACAGTCTAAAGCAGACAAATAAAGTGAAGCAAAACTAATTTAAAGAGACACTTATACGGCTGTCCACATTCCATGTTGTCTTAAAGTGAACTCTTATCTTACCAGAGGCAAGGGCTGGGTGCAAACAGCATGCCAAAACCTTGTTAAGGATGTGTAACTATGGTCTGGCATGATCAAAGTGAACAGACAAAGCACATTTCAAATTTGCTGGAAAACAAGAATCAGAAACCACAGTTTGTGCCAACTATGGTTCAGCATGAAGCCTACATTGATAAATGCAAGTTATCATTTCTGGGGTGCCCTGTATCATAGGGATGAGAGTGCTATACAGATTGATAACAAAAGCAGAAAGGTCACTATTGTTTATGTATACATTTGGAAACTCAAACTATAGCTTGGATTCTAAGCAATGGCTACTAAAAGCTATGGCTCAGGGTGAGTTCATATAAGACAGTTTTGTCTGCTTATTTAAGCCCACTCTTTTCTCCCCAACAAGATCATTGTAATTAAAACTACACGGAGAGCCAGTGTGGTGTAGTGCCTGTGAGCGTGGGACTGGGACTCACACGATCTGGGTTCGAGTCCCTGCTCGGCCATGGAGCCAACTGGGTGACTTTGGGCCAGTCACAGAGTCTCAGCCCAACCTACCTCCTACCTCACAGGGTTGTTGTTGTGGCGATAAGATGGAGGAGGAGAATGATGTAAGCTGCCTTGAGTCCTTTGTAAGAAAAAGGCAGGATATAAATTGGGGCCGGTGGGGAACTATAGTGTGGAAGAATAATTTATCTGTTTGCTTTTTCTCTGTGGTTCTTTTAACACATCTTGCCAATTCTGCGTTTTGCTGCTGTCATTACTATGATGAAGGGTGCATTTCCAAAAACATGTTCAAAGTATGGAGAGTGGGGAAGAGGGTCATGCCCTTATGCACAGTGATGCTCACAGCAGCAAAGTATATTATCTTGAATGCATAATGTTTAACTCCAATGATGTGCCAAGCACTGGCTGGAAAGAACATTGAACTATTTTTGTCAGGGGACTTTTAATCTAAACAAGACACACTGGCACATTGTTTTTGTGGTTGTTGTTGTTGATGATGATGATATTAAATGCCAGGAAATGAGTTGTTCTGAACTGGGGACTATCCTGTCCTAGTGGTACAGCAGAAGTTTCACCTGAACAGGAGTTTCCAAATTTGACTCAGCAGAAGAATTTATTGGCAACACATCAATGGATTTGCCTAGGATTGGCAGTAAATGCCTGCCTAAAGAAGCAGTTCTTGAAGAAAGGATGGAAGCTTCATGAATGGAAACAGCAATGCTATTTCAAGTATAGGACCTCTGTCAGGAGATGCAGAGTAAAAACCAGAAAGACAAAGGGGATAAACATTAATGAATCCAGGCTGAATGGAGGGAGCAAGACTTGGTGGACACAAAAGAAGAGGTATAATCAGGATAGAAAGCTTTACCAGTGAAAAGGCTAATGGTGTGGAGTGTGACCTTGGAAGGACTTTAGGAGGGATGTGGCACGAACAGAGAGAAATCACACTTTCACAGAGCATCTGTATCAAGTGCAGGGGGTGTTACAGAGGAGATCAGGCCAGCAGAGAGGATATAATAAAAGCACAAAGAGGTGATATGGCTTAGATCACTTGAAAAGGTATAAATCAGAGGAAGAACTTGAAAAAGCAGAAAAATCGTGAGTTTTTAAAAACTCACCTAATTTAAGGAATGAGAGTTAGAACAGTAGTTAATAGTTTTTAGACTCTGAAGACAGAAGCTGCTCCAGCTGCTTAAACCTTATATATTGCTGTTGGTCCCAGAGAATGAGTCTTACAAAGGAAAAGAGAAGCATTCTTCCATTTGAGTAGCTGGTATGAAGAAATATTTGTGACTGTTCAGATGTCATAAAGCATTCTGAATAGTCACCACCAGCTGTCTAAAAAGGCATGGCATCACCATCTCTGCAACTACTTTGAAAACAGTTTGTCAAGAAGCACAATCTTAGGAAGTCCATCTTGAAAGTCTCTTCATTAAAGATTTCTCCAACTCTGAGCATTGCAAAGCCTTTGAGTCACTGTGGAGCCTTTTGTAGAAATAACTAAGAACTGGCACCTGAGATGATTTTTTTTTCCTCCTCCCTCCCAGTCCCCTTTTTCTTTCATGTCATGCCTTTTAGATTGCAAGCATAAGAGCAGGGGCTGCCTCATTACGGATCTTTGGGAGCTGCTTTGGGAGGCTTTTTTGGCTAAGTAGTAGGGTAAAACTGCTTCAAATAATAGTTTAATGCACCAAAGAATGATAGAAACATAGCATATGGTATAGAGGGGTCTGTAAAAATGTGATCCGGCATTAGCAGACTTTTAAAGATTGGCCTCTAGTCATGCTTGTTATTATGCAACAAAGTAGAAAGAGCAATCACCTACCGTCATCTCCATCTGAATGTCTCAACCTATTCAAAAACAGGTATTAAATTTACGTTTTTATAGGCTTGAAAGATATAAACTAAACAGGGAGTACCTAATATATGTTTGAATGTATGGATTCTCAATTGTCTTCAAACAACAGCTACAAGCTGCGCTGCATTCACAGGCTGACTCTACATTTCTTAGTGAGGCTCATGTTTACCAATGAAAAGCTCTACCTCACATCATTATTTCCCTTTCTTCTTTAAATCGTACTGTATTGTTTTTCTTTGTGGCTCAACCATACAAAGATGCTTCTGTGCATCTTGGAACTACATATAAAGTGTGCCAGATGTAGATGGTGTTATAGACAGAGGTGAATACAAACGCCTATCCATATTAAGAAAAGACCCCTTCACTCTTTTCTGTGTCGGAACTGTTCAGAATTGGTAGCGCTGCTGCCTGCACCAGTGGTCTGGCCGCCCCATGCACAGCGACCAATCAACCGGCTGGGACCACACAGAAACCAGAAATGAGTGATGGGCATAGTGCCCTAGGGCCATCTCGCCGAGGTCAATAGCTGTATTTGATTAAAAGCCCCACAGGCAGCTCAGCTAACAGCACTAGCAGCAATCTGCCATACAGCAAACAAAAGGAGCCTGCTTGGGGAGGCAAATCACAATACTTACAGTGGGCTCCCAATCAAATTATTCTGTCTACTCTTTCTAGTCCAAGTCACACTGTTATTTAAATCCTGAAAGGAGAAGAATCAGCATATGTAATTATGGTTTTATGTACTGTACGCATTTTCTCAACTAAGAGCATAGCCTGACTTTTGTCTTGCCCGTTCATACTTGCAGCCTCTTTTCATCAGACTAATCATCTGAGATGACTAAATGCTTTTTAAAAGAGTTGAAGTGCTGGCAACATCATCGGAAGTATAACATAGAAAGTAAGAGCGAGTCAGAAGGGGTCTCCCGGGCCATCTAGTCTGACCCCCAGCTCCAGCCGGCTCCGCTCACGACATGCCCACCATGTGCATGTCCAGCCTATCTTTGAAAACCCTCACCAATGGGGCCTCAACCACCTCCCGTAGATGACAGACTCTCAGTCCCTACAGCCACCCCCACCACCTCCGTAAGACAGTCTTCTGCTACCCAAGGCGCCCACACCTGCTTCCCTTAGCTGCAGTGGCAGCTCTTGGCCTTTCCCCCTCCCACCTAACCCCCTGCAGTGGCTGCTACCATGGCAGAGGCAGCGACGGCAGCTCCGAGCCTCCTCCTGGCCCTGAGGTCTGAGTTTCTGCTGTAGCAGCAGCCCAGCTCCAAGGACGAAGGGTGCAAGGGCTGCAGCCCCCGCTGCCTCTCTTGCCAGGTAGGAGAAGAGATGGAGGAAGGACGGAGTGGAGGTGAAGGGGTACTGGGTGAGTGGGCTGGGAACGGGGGAATGAGGTCATCCTCAATTCATCCTCAATCCAGCAGCAGAACACTGAAGGCTCTAAAGCTCTCATCAGATTGGAGGAGAACATGAAGAATCACCAGCATTCCTCTTTTGAGTAAAAAATTACTAACATCAGGGCATCATTGCCCAAGGTACAATGGCCTGTATTTGTATTCTCCTACAAAATCTTGGCTCATTGCATTCTGGCAATTTCCCTTGCAACCTTTGCTATATCTGCCTGTCCCACCATTCTTGATGCTACCGGTTAACATGTTCTAACATCAAGGGAGGGAGAGTGTCATTACTCTCTTGGTTGCCATTGTCTTAGTTGCTCTGATGTCATAGTGGAGCCTGGAAAGTCTAGAGAAAGGCAGCTGGTTGTTAAGGGGCTTTGCCAAAGCTTTGACTATGAATGCTGATATATCAACAAGATGGGTTAAATTTAGCCTTGTTATCTGTGCTTGGACATTATAGATTTTTACGTGATGAAATAGCTTAGCATCACAGTTTCTTATCCATGGCTTGCAATCATTGAATGGGAACACAACATAGATTAATGTTTATGGATTCACTGATTGGAATTGGTGCAGAATTTTGTATTGAACTTTTGTAGAATCTGGATAGGCAAGGAACCATCAGTTAGAAGGTCATTCTATTTCTATTCTTTGCTCTTCCCTGATCAGCAGGCTATGGGCAGAATCCACTGGGGTGCTTTTCCAACCTGCTGAATCCTTTCCATAAGTGTTGGATCCCACCAATTCCATTGTGAATGCTGGAACCATCACTTGCACAACAGGGATATTGGACTTCCTACAGGAAGCCCCAAACCAAGCAGAAACCCTCATTTTTTAAAAAGAGGCAGGTTGGTGGAGCCCCTCATGCAAGCTACATATGTACATATACATATACACTACATGTATATCCCATCTCTTCTTCTTGTGAGGAACTCAAGGCAGCTTACATATGAACATTTTATCCTCACAACAACAACCCTGTGAGGTAGGTTAGGCTGAGATTAAGTGACTGGTCCAAAGTCACCCAGTGAGCTTCATGGCCAAGTGTGGAGCAGAACCCAAATTCCCCAGATCTGCAGGCCACCACTCTGACCACCCCATCCCACCAGCTCCCAGTAAGTATTTCTGCTTCTTTCGGATTGATTTTGCCCTGTATTATTCAAGGCAGAAGTAAAACCATCATTGGTTTGAATCACCATAGTTTTCAACTTAGTTTGGACCAACTAATTCAAATGAAAATCTAAAGGTAAATATATTGTGCAAAGTACTAGTAGTAGGATTCCTCCCCTCATAAGTATGACTAGCTTAATCCTCAAATTCATTTAATCCAAAATTACAAGCCATAATATCATCACCAAACAGTTCAAATTTGTTCAGATATATTCATATATTGAAGACCTGAGTTCATCAATCTAGTCAACCCACTCTATTTTCTTGATGGCCTAGAGAATTACCATATAAAACTTCAGCTTTTTAAAACTATCTTCTTCATATGTGCTACCATTTCATGATTCAATGCTTTAATGACTTTTTATTAATCTTTTCTGAAGGCTAAGTGGTTAATTGCTTATTTCTTCCACAGCATCTTCTGTGCCTGCTGCATAAAATGAATTTCTCAGGAAGGCTGCATTTACTATATACTCTTCACCTGTGACAATTGAATAGGCAATTGTCTAGTCTAGATCTACAGAGTGTAAAGAGCTGTTTCACGGGATGTCCCAAGAGCTTACCTCTTGTGATTGCCTCAGGTAGTCACAAATCTGTACTGTGTGTTTCACAGTTTCTTGATTTTTCAGGTTCTGATGCATACAACTGATGTGATCCAAACCTAGCCCAGTAAACAAAATAGCAGAAATAAACAAAAAGACTAAACATTTTGTTCCAAACATAGGTTTAAATGCTGCCATAAATAGCCTCTTCTAAGCAAGGCTATCCTTGTTCTGTACCTCTGGAAAATATCATTTTTCAAAATAATATTGCAATCCCACTAAGCCTTGGAAAAACTGCATTTTTCAGGGATTATTTGCAGTCTTCTGAACTGACACATTGCTTTTTACCCTGTGTGGCACTAGAGGGAGGGAGGGAGGGAGGGAAAAGAGACCTCCTTCACCTTCCTATGGCTTGCAACCACCAGACATTTTCTGCCAGGAATGAAACCCCAGGAGGTGGAATTGAACGGAATGTGGAAACTGAGGATCGGTACAAGACAGTAAAGCAGGTGGGTGGGAGAATGAGTAGGAAAAGCTTAGACACAAATGGGTGTGGCCAAATTTACCTGCTGTCCCAGAAATAAGCATGAGATGCAAGCTGAGAAAGGGGCACATCACCCATCACTGTGTTCTTCTAAAGAATCTGATAATCTTTTCCTGATATTCTGCTGAAGCAAGCCAGCTGCAAGTTCCATATTACTATGCTTTCTACAGCAACAGTTCCAAAACACATCAAAAACCTAAGTGGCATTGCTCAGGGAGTAGAAATAAATCAGTTTTATGATTTATGAGGCTAACTGTAGCTCCACAAATGGATATATACTGGCAATCAAATCAAAACAAAAGCATACAGAATGGAATGCCATTAGAACAGGAAGCCTGCTCATTTTGCCAAAGAACAGTTCCCAGAGCTCCTAGGCACTTGATTAGAAGTTCGCCTGTCACTTGCTGCTTAGAAGTCTGCAGATATCAGCATCTGTCTGCCAAGGCAGATCCAAGTCTCCACTTAGCCCCACTCTTTCACTTCCTTCTCCCTGTCTCTCTCACCCTCCCTCCTTTGGCAGCCAGGTTGACTTGCTTATGCTGTATTTGCTTGCACAGCATTTGCAGCTCTTCACAAGAGGGCCTGCTCTCTTAAAGAAGCCCTTGTAGGAAGTATGAGTAGGCCTGCTCTTGTCTGCCACTGACATTTGTACCATTATTTTATTAAACAGCGGCAACTGTGTCAACTGTAAGATAAATGCCAACATCCATCTTGTATAATAACATACACAATAAGCTGGAGGATCAAATGGCTGCTTCTTTCTTCTTCCACTGAAGCCATCAGACACCTGATGGAGCCTAATCTGAATCTCTGGAAGCCTTCTTCTGCCTTATCAGCTTACCCCTCTAGGGTGCTCAGGTGTGAAGTGCGGTAATATGCAGGTGAGCGAGGGGCACACGCTAGCCATGCCACCTTGTCTCCTGTCATCCTCTATACCTGGCGGATTATCCCTGCCACCCAGCCTGCTTTTTGTAGCATTTTGGCTCGACCAAATGATCTCAAATGCTTGCACTTTTTGGTCATCTCTGTGCTGACCCATTTTGGAGTTAATTCATTAGAGTTACATACTTAGCTGACTGAAGCGAGCTACTGTTAGCCAGTTGGTTCTGTGCTTCTGTTTGTCAAACAAAGAACTGCTCTCAAAAGGCTCTGAACTAACTTGGGTGCTCTGGGGACAACCATCGACAGTGATCACCTGCCAAGGGAAAGGAGAGAAGAGCAATCAGTCTAAGGTAACTAGCAGTTGAACCTAATTGCCAGCAGGGCTGTTGGAATGAACGCTTCAGCTGCCCAGAAAGGAATGCCCACTACCCCACATACTTCAGGGAAAAGTTGGGGAGAGTGAATTGAGAAAAATCAAGGAAAAACAATCAGGAGTAATTATACCTGTTACTAATTGTCACCAAAAGTCACCTTTTCAAAACAAACAAACAAACAAATTAAAAGAGTGATTTGCATAATTCATTGATCTGGTGTGCAATACAAGATTTGAAGCAGGAGCAGAGGTGTGACTGGCGGCTTTACAGAAAGCTCAGGCCTGCTGAACAGTCAAGCAACTGAAGAGATGTGAGATTTGCAAATTGGCATTCCCTGCAGACTTGGGGGATTGTGGGCATCCAGCAGGGGGCAGGAGGAAGGCAGAGGCAGGGATTGCCTAGCCCTGCATCCAATGGAAGCCATCCAAGGGGGCCATCCTGTCCATGTGCAGACAGAGAAAATAGCATACAACTCCAAGCATGCCCCCAGCCAGCACACCCTTGGCGATCTCTTTGCTAGCCAAGGTACTTGTACTTTCAGCACTGCAGCTGCTATCTGAAGAACCATACCAGCTGCAAAGGAGGGTGAGGGCCTCTGAGTTCAGAGCCTCAGCTCCAACCTTTGAGCAATTTTCCAAGGTTGAGCTGGGGCTCCGAGTTCTCCTATGGTTGTCTTAGCATCTAGTGGCCATAGGATTATGCTGTAAATCACTGCAAATGTGTAACGCTTGTTCTCCCTACATACAGGGTGCAATCCTGTGCATATCAAGCATAGAGTTTGTGGCCGAGTCCTACACATTGTGACCTTTAAAACACCAGATGATTCATTTTTCCAAACATGTAAAGATTCAGAATATGTCTGTTATGGTGTGAGCTGCTATCTATACCTCACTCCTGCTCTGAAAGTTCAAAGAAACATCAGTAGAGTCAAACAGTTTTCCTTGGGAAACATCTTCATCAATGCTCTACCTTAGGTAGCCGTGTGTCCTACTTTACTGAGACTCATCTTAGTAGGTCTGTGCAGCCCAACTCTGCATGAAAGCTGAAGAGCCATAAGAAAAGGAGCAAGGCCTTAAAGCTGCCCAGCAAGAGCATCTGATCGAGCAGGCACATAATGCTTTTCAGCATAAGTCTGTTAATCACTTTAGCTACTTTTGGTTTTATCACAAAACTAATAAATATAGCAATGACTGCAACAGAAAAATAGTCTTTTTCAAAAACAATAGCCCATTTCCCCTGTTCTGAACAACAGCAACAAGCTTTTAAAAAATTGAAGCAAAACTCAGGAATCATGGCATTGTCGGAAGAATCTGTGAACATACATAAGGAATAAAAGTGCACAATAAAAGCCTTGTGTAGAAAAGCTTCAAGCCACAGTCTCCCCACTGTGGCAAAATGCATTGTATTTCAGTTAAAGTTATAATAATTCTTTCTAAATTTGCAATGATACATATAATTAGCATTTGTAATTTTTATGCAAATCCGTACCCTCACTATGAGATGAAAGTAACCACCCTAGATTTATATGGAAATTAGTGACATGGTTTAGTAACTGAGGTTTGAATTGTGCATCCAAACCACACCAAACCAAGTTCACTAGAGACATGGACTGTGGGCAAAACCACTGGAGCTGGGAATCCTGCTCAGATGAAGTCCAGTTGCCAGCTTCATTCTTCCCTGTACTAAATTTGTGTGTCCAGGGAGGGGAGGGGGGTCTTTATTACAATAAAGCAAACATATAGCACTTCATGTTTAAAATACTACCTTAAACTATTCTACTGAGTACATCTCATTCTAAGATACCCCAAATGACATAATATTACTTATTATAACTTCATCCTATTCCTGTTTTGTGTAAGCTCCAAATTCAACTCTCATCATGGCCAACAGAGCCAGTGTGGCGTAGTGGTTAAGAGCACGGGACTGGGACTCAGACAACCTGGGTTCTAGTCCCCACTCGGCCATGGAGCCAACTGGGTGACTTTGGGCCAGTCACAGACTCTCAGCCCAACCTACTCGCAGGGTTGTTGTTGTGGGGATAAGATGGAGGAGGAGAATGATGTGAGCTGCCTTGAGCCCTTTGTAGGAAAAAGGCAGGATATAAATTAGAAAATAAATAAATAAAAATAAAAACAATCAGAAATGCTGAAGTTGAATTCTAAAATATGCAGCTGGGAGATCAGGTTGGGGACGGCAGATTTATAGCCTTAGAAAAATCTAAAACTTCCAAGACACAGAAGATTAAAACAAAAGACAGCATTTATTTATTCATTCACATACTTATAAGCTGCCTACAACTGCCAAAAGGCCTTCCTAGGGTGGCTTACAACATATTAAACACACACACAACACCACATTAAAATCTATTAAAACACTTAAATTCAATGTTAAATGTCCCAGTCAATGCTTGAATTAAATCGGGTGGGGGCAAAGGATGCCCATCCCCTTTATATTTGTGCCAGACCTTGTAATTATTGTTAGAAACAATATAGAAGAGCTGACTATCACTGAGCAGAGAGGAGGATGGAAGACAAGGGAGTCACCATTGACCTCCCATTCATCTCCCATAACTTGAGCCCTGTCTGAGTGGTCTCCAAACAAGCACTGATTTATCCCCCATGCCAACAACACTCAAAAACAAATCACTTTGGTTTCTGAACTGAATTTTCATACCCTTCTAATTTTATATTCATCACTTTTAAAAACTCAAAATGGCACCTACCGGCACCTGAAGAGGTTTCTGTTTTTTCCTCACTTTTTTCATTTCTTTGCTTCCAAGCTTTGCCTTTGCCCATACTGACTGGCACAGCTCAGTAGATTTTGAAAGCTCTAAGAGTAGAAGAGGCAAAAAAGGCTGATATTTCAAACAATCTTTATAAGGTTTCACAATCTTTATAAAGTCTCACACTGTGAAGGACTTGAAGCACCATAACCTTGTGCATCTCTGCTCCTTACTAAGTCCCACTGAGTTCAGGGAGACATAGGATTAGCACTTCTTCACACATTAATAGTGTTCTCATCCTTCCACTGTGCTGTCATGATATCCTCCTTTATAACTGAGTCAGTACGTCAATTATTAAAATATCTATATTAATAAAAAAAAGTATGTACCTCTGTCTGTCAGCAGAACCGTAGAACTGAGGCACCTGAAACTTGACATGTGTGCTCAGAAGACCCTAGAGGTATGCTCCTGGGAACTATTTGGGTTTTATAATGCATTAATTTTAATTAATTTAAATACCTCCATATGTAACACCTTCAGCCATTAGGGCCAAGTTTCCCTAACTAGCATTTAACTTCCCTAATGAGCTATCTATCTATCTATCTAGTCTAAAGCTTTTATATACCGTCCCATTACTGACATCTTGGGATGGTTCACTGACAGTTTATTTTATTTTTAGTAAATATAGTTTGAAGCAAGGGGAGATTAGGAGGACATCACACAGAGGAGCGTACAGTAATGAACAGAGCTGTCTCTGGGGCTCCACAGAGGGGTGCCAGGAGGCATGGCTTCCACTAAAACAGGGCAGGCATAGTGTAGCCAACTCTGATACCTACGTAAGTTTGCTTGGAGACTTTGCTATCCTAAACTAAAGGCTATTCCAGGACTGTTCACAAGTGATCAATGAAAAACATGGACAATGTTAATGTATTTAGTATCTGTGCCTTTCATATTTTAACGGACATTTCTTTTTAAAAGTACCAATAGTAAATCCTTGACTGATGGCACTTTGATGAAAATGAAACTAACAGATAAGCAGTTCAGTACACTTTTACCTCTTTAGCACTGCCTTCCTTATTTGTCTGCATATTTGAAGATATATTACTATCACCAATGTTATCATTCATCTAATGCTTGTGAAATGTAACCCTATGGATATGTATTCAGTAGTAAATCTTACTGTGCTTAGTAAGACTTACTACTCGCTAGATCCATATCTGATCTGTGAAAACCCCTTGTTTTTTCCAGGGGCTAGAGCTTGCCAGTCTACTGCTGTGTAATTTTTGACATGAAATGTCCCTTTGAGTGTTAGTTAACTCAAAGGTAGGGGTCAAGATTAACTATTGGTGGTCAATGGATGGTCCAACCCAATAACCACAGCTATAACTAGGTTTGTGAAAATCTGCAGGTTGGTAGGTTTTCAGTACCCTGAACCTTGAAGCTTGTTTCAATTCATATCCATTCCAAGTTTTTTTTTCCTTTTTTATCCACACAAACAGATGTGCATAATTTCAGTGAGCATTTTTTAAAAAACAGGTTTCATGTACAGTTTTCAAATGTACTCATTACTGAATGTACTTTTGTTTACAAATTGCACTTCAGCTCAGAAATATGTTGGATTCAAATACAGGTTACATTCAACTCTGCATTCAAAGAGTGCAAACTAGGTAAATTATGGTCCAAAATGAACCAAAAATGAATTTCTCATACTATATCCTAGCTCTAACCCAACAATGATCAAGACCACATTCCCTAGGTAGCTGTGAAAGCCTTGAAGCTTCTTCATGGCAAGTATTTTTCAGCAGAGTAACATTCAATCATTTAAAACATTGATATCCTTCCTTTCTGAAGAGTTCATGACAGCTAACAAATGGGAAAGAAATACCAACACGATTTTAAAATATTTGAAATGTAAAATACAAAAAAAATCTATTATTAAAAATAAGAAAATACACGGTAACAGCAGACTGAAAGATAAAACCCTAAGAACAGCAGTAAAACCAATCTGACAGCATTCACCAAACAATGTGTGGGCATTGCCTTTTATTTTGCAGGGCTTTTCCACTAGGTCTGCATGGTCAGAGGAAAAACCACTCTCTTTGTAGAAAGGCCATTTGTTCCTAAGCGGATTGATCCAGACCGACATGCTGCGCCGGAAGGGGAGATGAGACTGTGAGCTGTCACTACTGTATTCTGATCTGTCAGAACTGTAGGAGAATGATTTGGATTCCTTGATCTGCACATGTCGAGAGGTACAGCTGCAGTTTTTGTTATCAAGAGAAGGAAGGCATGGCTGCTGCCTTGATGTACTGCTCAGAAAGCCCTTTTCGTCATCCGAAAAACCCCAATTCACATAGCCTCCTTCTGTTTCCTCACTATGTTGATGAGAAAGTTGAGAGATATCACTGGCAACGCTAGATGTTTGCATGGACAAAGGTTGTTCGACTGGAGCCTCACTGTTCTCCTCAGCTGGCAAGCACTGCGCTTCCTGACCCTGACTGCAAACTGGCTCATATTCTGCAGCATCGGCAGCACTGTGTACATTCAGCTGTGCAGTGGGGCTGCCATGCTTGGTTTGGGGCTTAGTTTTCAGTCCATCTTCACTCAGCTCATTCAGCCTAGTTGAAAAGGTAAGACTTAAGCCAGCATCTTCAGAGGCTCCTGGTTGAGCAGAAGGAACAAGAAGAAATTGTCCATGTCCACACCTAGGAACTGATTTGCTCCCTGAAGACGCTCCAGAGGTGAGAGTGTCATTTTCAGTGCCCTGCTCCTGATGTTTGTGTGTGGATTGTATCTCACTGCAGTCTATAGGACCATGAATGGGATGATGACCTCCTGCTGACCACTGGTTCCTTGCCAAGCTTCTCTGAAGGGAAGGGGGCATGCTGTAGTAATTGTACTTCTTTGCACTCACACTTTCCATACTGCTCAAGACCTTGGAATACATAGCATTGCTCCAGCTATGAGGAAGCGTCCGACATGCTTGATACTTCTTATCAACAAGAAGGGCTTCCTCAACTTGCAAAGTGTCCACAGCTGAAATGACTTTCAGTGTATCAACAGTTAAAACTGAGAGGTCTTGCAAATGTCCCAGTTGGCTGTCCAGGGCAAGCAAAGCATCTTTGATATAAAATACTTTCTCATGAACTTCCTTCAGCTGGAAAAACATCTCCTGTACTCTAGGAGAAAAGAAAGTACATACATTATAACATCGCCATCATGTGCATGTTTATTAACGTAATGAAAATTATTTTCCTTTTGCAACTGATCAGTGAAACCACTCACTATACAGGGGACAAAATGCTTAAATAATCCACAGGTGATTTAACTTAATGCACTTTTCTAGTCAAATTAGTCTTTGGTACAGTCCTAAATGTAGGACTACGGTCCTAAGAAAACCTGAGCAGCTTTTACAAACTACCTATCTAAAAGCCCAATTGCTGGCACTATAATGGACTTCCTCGTTTAAGGTCCAGAGAATGACTGCAGTAAAGCTTTCTCTAAATATAAAGAGGTTTGGGCCAAGTTAGGATTTAATTTGGAGAATGCTGAACAGAAAATGTACACTACTTGGCATTGCTTAAAGATAAAAAGAGATGCAGATGTAACAAATAAGTAAATGAAATGTACAGTCAATGTAAACAGCTGTAGAGTGCTAAAACTCTGCTAAAGAGTGCAAGAGAATAATATATTATGCCTTATACTTTTGATAAATTTGACATCTGCTGACCCTAATAAAAGAATACATACATGAAAACTTATGGATATGTTTGAAAGGAGTGTGTAAATGTGGCTTAATTTTGTACTTTTAATAAAAAAATCTTCAAATCTGCAATAATGCTGGTGGAAGTAGAAACAAGGACTAATGAGGGGACAATGTTTGTGAGTAAGTCCTCCTTTGAGTCTTCTCATAGTTCATGTGCCAAAGACACATTTATTGTGGGATGTAGGTCTACCTAAACCTCAAAACTTCTTTCAACAATGAGAGGTTGTTCACTGCTCAAAACCAATTTCAACCATGATTGATTAGGATTAGGAAATATGTTTTAATAATACAGCTGTAAAAACCTTTCATTCATCTATCAGAGGTGCTCCACATCCACCCCAACATCTTAGTTTAGGAAATTTTACTAAAACGCCACCTAGTAATTGTTCATGCTCTACTGCTCCATTTGAAAATGGTCTGAATGTGGTGTCCTTTAAAGGTGGCACATTTTGCTGCATTTAATGTACTATGAGAGCTCAAAGAGCTCCCAAATTTTTTTTTCTAAAATGGCTGCCAGTCAGCACAAATATACATATAGATAATCATACATTTCTCAAAATACTAGCGTGAACATTTTGAACATACTGAATTCTATATATTTAGGACTGAACCTCAGCTCATTTCTATGTTACTAAATATTTGACAGACTTTGGTGAGACTGATATTGCCATGTCAAGAGCTTCCCTACCTTTCTGTTGTCACACGGATTCTTTCACTGTCACTGGAATGGAGACTCTCATTCTTCTCATGAAGGTACATTTCTACACACTGCTCTTCAAAATCATGAAGTTTTTTCAATTCCTCATCACTAAGGTACAGCTCTGGATGATGGCAACAAGGAAGAGATGTTAAAAGTGTTGACACAGAATGTCCTGTCTAAGGGCCATAACTACTTCTCTCTGAAGGAAACTTTAAGTGGCACCAACAGTGCTGTTTTCTTGCACCAAGGAACAACTTCCAGGCTTTTAAAACCTTTTAGGGTGCAATCCAATGAACTGGGAAAAATCCCCAACGAATTCATATGAGCCTGGATTCCTCTGAGAGGACCCAGTGGATTCAGAAGTGAGCTTACTTTCTCAAGTTGTGTGAAATCTGCAAGGTTTCCTGAAAATTCCAGTGGTGGATTCATTAAAAACAATTATGAAAGCAACTAATAAATGTTGACTTTAGATAGTGCAGCTCTGTTATGCAATTGCTCTATTATGCAATGAGATTAAGCCAATAATCCTATAGATCAGCTTTCCTAACTTTGTCCCCTCCAGATGCTTTGGGTTAAAACTCCCAGTTTTCCAGACTACTGGCCATACTGGCTATGGCTGATGGAAGTTGAAGTTGAAGTCTCAGATATCTGAAAGGCACCAAGTCTGCCATAGATTGTAATCTAATTTAGAACAATATGCGATCTCTCTCTCTCTCTCTCTCTCTCTCTCGCTCTCGCTCTCGCTCTCGCTCTCGCTCTCGCTCTCGCTCTCTCTCTGTGTGTGTGTGTGTGTGTGTGTGTGTGTAGAGAGAGAGAGTTTTTTATAGCTTTTGTAAAAGAGATAAAGTACAGAAAGAAAGAAAAAGGTAAAAGAAAAATAAGACTGCCAAGGAATCTTACACAAATATAACATATACACTGATAATCTGCAAAAAAACAAAAACAAAAACAAAAAACAAAAAATATATGTGATCTCTTGAGGAATTAAACAGGTTCCTGAAACTGAGTATTGGCTGCCAGTATCCACAGGGTGGTGCTATTTTCTTACATCATCTTATATTTTTGTAATTCATTACTAAACTGGAAATGTATTATGGAATGTATTAATGTATTCCTGAAATAGGAACAGCTATGGGGAAAGGGGGAAGAAACTTTTGTTACATTACTTCACACAGAAATCATGTTGATCCATGGCTTGAAGTACATGGAACAGACCTTACTTTTGTGATTTATATAAGACAGGGGTCTCAAACTCAACTTACCTGGGGGCCACTGGAAGTAGCGTCTGGGTGAGGTTTGGCTGCATCAAGTATTCCACCACTGTGGTGGTGGTGGGCCGCTCATCCTGTGGCCGGCCCAGGTGCCGCCAGTGCTTTGAAGGCCACAGGGCCCCCCCCGTGCCCCGCCCATCTTGGCAATTGGCCCGCGGGCCACGAGTTTGAGACCCCTGATATAAGATAAATACGGCACACCACAGAAACACTGTTTTGGATTCAGAGACATTGTACATCATTTGGTTCTTGGATAAGATAATTGCTTACTCAGTTCAACATGCCCCTCCTCGTGATCCAGTTCATTTGGCAGCCGGCGATGGCACAGGCAGTTTATGAGGATGCCGATGTGGCTCAGTATGATGAATGGAGGTGGCAGCCACGGCTTTTCATGATACATCATGATGTAGCGGTAGCGGTTATATTTCCACAGTTTGTTCGATATGGATTTCATATCAAAATAAACATGACTGTAGGTTCCAGGAGACAAGAGAGGAAGTAAAAGATTCATTTGGCACCTTCCTAGGTAAGTTTTCAAAGATAGCTGCCTGTGTGCGTAGTATTGCATTCAAATTAAGGCAACCAAATAACAAAGGTAACTATTTCAACAAAACTCAAGTAACAAAGCGATTTGGCAATGAGACATCTATGTGCACAGAAACTGAGATTTGCAAAGCTTGCTTTTGGTTCGGGACACATTTCTTACCAAATAGTGGCAGTGATTATATTTATAAGGATTTCACTAATAGATCACAACAGACATGCATGACTGGGAATAAAGATTATATAAGGTAAGCCAACACACAAAATACAGGTTTCTTTAACTCTCCATTTTACATCATACATCTTACAAACCCAGGCAGCTAAGTAGTTGAGTAAGGGCCGTGAAGGAGTAGCTTTACCTTTTATTCTAGACAATGTCTAAAGTTTCATCCAGAGTTTGTTTGTTTGTTACAATTGTGTGCCACCCAATTGTGCCACAGCACCTCTGGGCAGCTCACAATCATGTTTAAAAGGCAATAAGAACCAATGACATCATATTAAAAATAGAACATCAATAAAATACAAGCAGAAATACAAAGGTCAAATGGCATTAATTATTCAAGTATTTTTTATAAAGGAAAGTCTTCACTGGGCACCAAAAAGAATGTAAATAAGGTGCCAGATAAATTTCCTTGGGGAGAGAGTTCCAGATATGGGTGTTAGTTGCAGAAAAGGCCCTCCCCCTGGCAGCCATCCCTCTCACCTCCTTCAGGGATGGGTCACACAGGAGGGTCCCCTGTGTAGATCAAAAAAGCTGGGTAGGCAAATATGGGGGCAGGTGCTTCCTTTGTTTATTCATAGGTAAACATAAGCAAGCATCTGTTAAGAATATTCAACAGTCTAACTCACTTCCTAGATAGGGATACGGGGGCATCTACCAATAGTGAGGGCCTCCGACACAGCTTTACGATGGATTCGGCTTATTTCTTCTGTCTTTCAGCACAATCCATTTGGGATGCCATAAGCCCCCAAACAGGCTACCCAAGCAGCCTGCATTGGCATCCTATGTAGAGGAAGAGGAGCAAAGAAGCGTCCTTTACTTCTGCACTTCGCTCACCTGCAAATCAGCTGGAATTTTGGACATCTGACTTAAGCTGCTTTATACAGGGAGAAGAGGCTGGGGGTGCTGATACATGGTAGCCCCCGTCACCTGCTCTCCCCACAGAATGCCCCCATAACTCCTTCCCCAAGGTTGTTCTTAGGACATTGGAGAAGCAGCTAGTGTGTTTCTTTCCACGCTAGCCATGAGGGATAGAGATCCTAACACAATTTTTTTTCTGATTTATATCCTGCCTTTTTCCTACAAAGGGCTCAAGGCAGCTTACATCATTCTCCTCCTCCATCTTATCCCCACAACAACAACCCTGCGAGTAGGTTGGGCTGAGAGTCTGTGACTGGCCCAAAGTCACCCAGTTGGCTCCATGGCCAAGCGGGGACTAGAACCCAGGTCGTCTGAGTCCCAGTCCCACACTCTCAGCCACTACACCACACTGGCTCTCTACTCTGAGCTCAGAGAGATTTTGGATAAGGGAATTTAAAAAATCCTATGGCCCCTGAGATGTTGTCTAGGACTCATAGAATTTCTCTGTTAATCTTCAACTTCAGTGACCAATATACACTAGTACTATATCCCAGTATTGTAACAATGGGATTACTCACATCTTATCTGTTTATCTTTTCTATTTATCCCTCAATATTCCAGATTTTTCTAGACTACTTTTATGATTACTGTTATTGCAGCCTCCCTTATTCTTTCCTCATAATGATTCTGATGTGATATGAGGACAGGAAATCCATGGGTTTTTTTCTCCTGCTTCTTTTTTACTGCAAACCTACATAGCTACACAGCTGTGAAAAATCATGCATTTTTTAAAACATTCATTCTTACATGACATTGAAGGTGCGCATACAATCAGATGGCTCAAAATAATAATCCCAAACTGAAATTGCAGCTGCCCTCCCATTTCTCCTGCAATAGTAGAGCTATCTAGTAGCTGCAAACAGTGGAAACACAAACTACCTTTGTGAACGTTCAAACGGTTCCTGGTTTTCCTTCACTTGAATTGCACATTTGAATTGGTGTGCAGCACTTAGGTAATAAATAAGGTGAACACTGAAATGTATGAATTAATGGGCTTTTCTATACAAGGAATTGATTATGTGTTCATCATACCCTAATCACAGCTGTTTATTGGTTCTTTAGACAACAAGGTGAACCTCCACTTCTCTTCTGTGTCTATCCAGCCCTTTCAGAATTGTGTATTTTAGAGCAGGAAAAATGCAGCACTTAATCATGAAAGCAAAATAAAACCTCATTTCCCTTTCCTTGTTTGTGCTATTCCACTATTTCAGAATGCCACTTAGAGTTATATAGCAGAAAAGCAGGAAAGAAAATGCTCTTCCTGTGGTGCTCAGATCTCAATTCTGTGACAAAAATGAAAAGTGGATACAGCAGATCAACAATGATTAATAGCCTCGTGTACAAAAGCAGTGTATCCCTCCAGAGCAGCAACTCTGTGTGTGTGTGTGTGTGTAAAAAGGCAGAGCAGAACCTCACAAACAAAAAAGGCTTCAGGATAGATCTTGCTCTTAACATCGTAGCCATGGAAAGTTCACTTTTATTCTGTTTTTCTGCCTATAAAGCCCCTGAGCTAGGTCCCTCTGCTATCATTTCTAGCAATAATGCCAATCGAAACATCCTAGATACTTACTTGAAAAAGGCAATCAGCAAATTGACCATGATGATGTATTGCACAAAGAGGTAGACAGCTTGAAGGAATGGTGTGAGGAAGGAACCGGGCGGACATTCTGGGTCTGATGCACAAGCTGTAAATTTAAAAAAAGCAGGCTCTGTATATAAAACTGGCATAGAATTGGTAAGCTATTTAATCATACATTCATTCACCATTCATCGGTTAAGAGTTCTACCTAGGATAAAAACCAAGCATCAAGCTTCACTGACTTCAATGCAAATGAATGAATAATTAACAGCAGTAAAATGCAGCATCTCCAGCCATTTAAAATGATTTGTTCTACACTGCACAGTAAGAAAGAATTTTTCAGATCAGAGGTTCAGTTTTAAAGACTGAAATAATAAAATATACAGGTTCTTTTTAAAGCATATATCATACGGATGTCTATTTTAGTTTATACTAAAGATGAAAAAGTACTGAATTACATCTTCATTGGAGAATCCCCTGTGCTAAAGCTCAGGCTGCAATCTAAGATGCCTGTGCTCAGATATACCAGGGCCCAGTATTGCCTTGCAAAATATCTAATTATTAAAAATAGTTGTAACATTTCCATTGTGAAAATTACCTTTGCACCCACTTATCCTCACTACAAACTTACGAGGTCAGTTAGTAATGATATTCATTTAACAGAGAAGAATCTATAATTCCAATGAATTAATATTGACCTTATTTCCATTTTATAAAAGAGAGCTATATGAGGTACAGGGCAGCATAAAAGGGTGGTGGTGGCCTAAGAGCAATCTGGGCTTATTCTTTCTCCTGGTTTCAGTGGGTCTGGTGAAAGTATATGGCAGTGATGCGCTAGGCAGCTGGTCTTTGCTGGAACTTCCTCTGCTCAATTGCCCTTGTGGATTTCCACCCAGGGGTCACCCACAACTGATCAAACCATCAGTTCTGCCTTTTCCCCCTTAATAGTTCCCCACTTTTTTCTTATTTGTTAAGAAAAGCAAGAACATGGCAGGTGTGGAATGGGAAAATGGGAGAGCTACCAGTTGAAGACAAAGTTTGGTGGCCCAACATAAATCTTGCCAAGGGAGGAAAGCAACTGCACAACAAACACCTCATCTGGAAACCCCTTTTGACATCCCACCTGCCTCTGCTTCAGGTTCTGGCTTGAAGGGTCAAAGACAGAGAGCAAAGAGATCTCAGAGGGCTCCAGGGTTGTCAGAAGGGGTTGGAGAGGCAGGGCTGATTGGCCACTTCTCTGATTACCTAAAAGTGATTGCCGCTCGAGCCAAGGAAATGGCATAGTGCCAAATTTTATCTCTCATTTACTTTTCAGGTTGCAGCAGAAATAATCTTCTACCACTTCTACAATTTTTAGCCCATAAAAGGTGAGTGGTTGTCTTAAAAGATATGCTGCACAGTTATTTCCAGAGAAAGGAGTAGCCATGTTGGTTGATTGCTGCATAAACAGCAAAGAGCTTTGTGTTAAAGTAATGCTGATATTATGAAATCTTGTGCCAGAATAGATCTGTTCTAGATCAAAATTGCTGTATAATTATGTACATTTATGTTGCATTCATTGAGCATTTCACAGAAAGAAGACTTACCATCAATTTCCCCTGCATATACTTCCCCAAACATCATCCAATAAGGCTGAAATACAATATCTTTTGCAAGAGTCCATGATGGCTGCTCATGCGGAGAGAGTATGGCTTTCCGAGAAACTCCAAAACTTAACAATACAATAGCCATCATAATTACAATATAGAACATGTTTGCTGTCTGCATGAAAAAAGAAAAGGAGACACAGTGGTCAGTATAGGGTGGCTTTGAAAGCAAGAAGGGGAAGAAAATCTTGTGATCATATTCTTTTGATTTGGATAAATTTGGCCGTTCAAATTATTTAAAAAGTGAAACATCTCATAAAATACATTCATGCTCATTTATTCAGAAGAAGCTTTTCTACATGGGGTCCCATTTAGAATTCCCTGCACAAAATGATTTCACCAGTTGGATTCTGCTTCTCATTCCTTGAGCATTCTTACAATCCATAATCACATTATGGAATTCATGCTATCATGAGATACAACAGCCATTAGACTTAAATGAATAAAAATTGATTTAAAAAAGAAGGTGAAGACTGCCCATGATAGTAGCTAAAGAATGAAGCCTCTGTGTTCAGAGTCAGGATTCCCCTGATGCCATGGACAAACTTCCAAGACACCTGGATGGAGACTGCTGGAAACAGAATAACAGATGAGATGGCCTTGGTCTGGTCCAGCAACACATTTCTTATCTAAAAACAGTAGCAATGAAGAGCTGTCTTTTTTTTCCTGGCATGGCTTCTGCTACATGAAAGGCAAAATTGAATAGAGAAGATTCAAACTTCATCTGCTAAAATACTGTCACTCATGTAGCCACCGAAGCCTTATCAGAAGAAAAAAATGGTATCATCACTGGGGACAACACTTTATAGCTAAATACTCACCATTTTCCCAATCATGGTCAAGTATGGACCTGCATGTTGATTCACAGCAAAGAAATCGAGGAGCCTGGTGTACCAGAATATTATATCCAGGCAATATATTAGCCTTCCTGCTGTGTGAAGTGGAGGTTCAGCCAAGCGTAAGCCAAAGCCAGTCATGAACAAGAGGATGGCAATAGAATCTGTAAAATTCCAGTACTCATAAATCCATACTTTCACCTTTTGGCTGAACTTTCCTGGCTCTGAAATAAATACCTAAAGGCAGAGGGAAAGTTACTTGAAACCCTACTTGAAACTGTTAGCTACATTATGTATTTCATGGAATGATGTGAAGAGCAGAAGGGAAAGGTGAGGAAGACACTTTTCCTCATCCCTCTCCCCAAACCATCAATGTGTACCCAACATCTCAACTGTTCCCACACACATCTCACAAAATGAGCCACATGCATGGTGTTCACACAGAACCTGTATTATAGTGATGTTCCTATCAGAGTTTTCTTGGGCAGTGTTTTCCATAATTCACTACAAGATCTCATTGAACATGCCATCTAAAATGCAAAAGAAACTACTACAGAACATGGCCCTAGAAAACTGTGTGTTGTATCCTTGCAGTCTTTAGGAAATTTTAAAAACAGGCATAAGCCAGCTGTGACATTCCATCAGCTAGCAGAAGCTAGGTTGCAAATTATGTACAAGAATGACTTGTGCATTACGTATGTTGTGCATTACATAAGGGTAACCCATTGTGCAACAGGTTGTGCCTAGCTCTTGTGTAACCCATTGTGCATTCTGCCTATACAACTGATTCTACAAGTATAATGGCAAATTACTTGTGCAATGGAAAGTTTCAGTGGAACTCCAACAGTGCTGAGTTTGCAGAATGAAACCACTGGGTACTGTGAATAGTCTCACTGGATCACCTTGGGCAAGCTGCCAGCTCTCATTATCAGTTTTCTTCTCACAAAATGGTAATTATAATAGTTTTCATGATGGGGATGTATCAGAGAGAAATGCAGAAATGTTTTTAGATACTATATATGCTCCAGAATAAGTATATTGTCATGTTGAGCAGTTTCAAAGGAGACTAATATCAAGGGCAGGATGTTTCATTCATTTATTCCTTTTTCTTTCCTTCTATAGTGATTCAAATCATGGAATTTTGCCTTTTTGAAGAAATATCTTCCAGAAAAATGAAGAAGGTTAACCTGACCTGCTCTATTTCTTCCTGCTACCCAAAAAAGCTCACTGTAAATGCTGGCGGTGTTGCTGCTTATCTTTAATTTCCTTGTATGCTCTTGATTTTCAAGCAGCATGGAATAGTCACACCTTGGGTGGTCCCTTGTCAAGAAGTGTGACTTCTGTCTGCAGGTGCTTCCAAACAAGGCTTTTATAGTACATTCACCCTGCCTCATTCATGGATTTTTACAGGTGGTCCATTTATAACATTTCCACTTCTTATTTTTAATCAGAAAAAATAACAAAAATCTGTTAAGGAATGAAAAGACAGAATAGCTACATGACACCTTTTGATTCAAAGTGCTAGGAACTTTTCATCTGAAAACAACCTGTCTTTCTTTCTTGCCTGCTGTTACAAGTGGGTTTTCTCCCCTGACCTCTTACTAGAGGATCAGGACAAAACTAAAGCAGAACCCTCCATGAAAGAAATTAGGAGAGTAAGTACTCGGAGGAGGGCTTTCTCTGCGGTGGCGCCCAACCTATGGAATTCACTCCCCAAAGAGGTCTGCCTGGCACCGTCGTTACCGGTTTTTCGGCGCCAGGTAAAGACCTTTTTATTTAAACATCATTTTAATTGTTAAAATATATGATCTGGCCAGGGCAACTTCTTCTTCCTTCTCTTTTCTCCTCCTATATTATTTATTTACTTATTTTATACTGTTAATTTTAATTTTATACTATTATGTTTGAAACTCAGTGTATTTTTGCATTTAATGGTAATCTATTATGTTCTATTGTATTTCAATGTATTTTATTGTGTTGTAAGCCGCCCCGAGGCTTCGGCAAGGGGCGGCATAGAAATGTTAATAATAATAATAATAATAATAATAATAATAATAATAATAATATGTTAAAGATGGCCAGCTAGGTTGGCTTGGTGATACCAAGGAAGAGTATTGCAGAAGTCATTACCAAGAGACACAAGCCAAGCTGGAAGAGTGGCCATTGAGGAAATATGGCTTAATGATAGGAAGTTGATCCAAACTAAATACCTCTCCTCCTTTCCAATCCAAAGAAGCTGACTCTGCCTCCAGGGTACTTCATGCTGCTTAGGGGCTGATCATTTGTGACAGCTGCAGCTCTACCGTTAGTCTGTCCTTTTAACCTGACACCATGCAATTGAGCTAATGATGTTCCATCTGCCCTACCCATTTTGATACACTCAACAGAATTTCCCACAGAACTTGAAACTGAATGGGTCTTTATGTCTCTTGGATTTATCTCTGGGTTTGCTGGGTTTGGCATTTCAGCTGAAAATTCCAATCCCATCCCATCCCCAGAATCGGAGGCAACCACCTTTGACGGCTGTATTATTGCACTTCCAGTGGGTCCAATCACTCCATCCTCATCATTCTGGGCAGAAGCTCCATTATGGTAGACATGACATCATTCATGGCTTGCCCTGACTAATTGTACAAACCCTTCTTTTTACAGCCTGTTGGAGGACCTACAGTCATTAGAAAAGTGGATGCACCAGTTTGTGAGCCCCAGGGCTTTTCTGCACAAGGTTCCTAATCGATTGTTAATGCACTGCATCCACTTTCAGTTTTGCCACAGAACTGATATCCAGGCAGTAGACAGTGCGTATTTCCTTTCCTCCTTTTCCACTATAATTGCTTCTGGCAGCACTATGATATAGCGCAGGGTTGACCAGACTGGCTCAGTAGAAGAGCCACATATGGCGAATGTTAGATGTTTGAGAATCACAAGCAGGTGCCCGCAGGTGCCAAGCGGCAAGTGGGTGCCCATGGGCCGTAGCAGCAGGCAGTGAGCAGCAAGTGGCAAGCGGCAAGTAAATGTCCACAGGTGGTGAGCAACAAGGCATAGAACAAACTCAAAGAGCCACATGCAGCTCATGAGGCTCAGATCGGCCCTCTTGATATAGTGGGATACAGCTAACACACAAGAAGAAACTGGGTTTTCTTTCTTTTTCACAATTAAATGCTGCATTTCTCTGCTCTCAAAGAACATTGCCAAAAGTGCTAGCCAGATGCAGAAGCAAATCCAGAAGGTCACAATAATGTATAAAAAACTTGCAAAAACCTAAGTAGGGAATGATAATAAATGCCTCATGCAGAAAAGCCTCCATTCAAGGTGCTGGTGCTTTGATTATTAAATGTGCTGATGGCTCTTTAATGTGAATTAAATTAAGGTAAAGCAGCTGGGATGCAAGGTCAGAAGACTGAAAAATCTTTGTTTGTGCCTTTGAATGTCATACAAACATTATAACAAAACAAAAGCTTAAGTTTACATGTTGCAAGGTCACAAAGCATATGTTGTATTGTTCTGGCTTGTTAAACTTGGAAATGAATCAATCAACTGCTCCTCAGACTCTGAACCCTCAATGCATCTCTGCTCTTCCTACTGAAATGTACTTCTCTTTCTGTTTATTATTTAACTAAAGTGACTACAAGGGTACAATTGTTAAGTGTATGTGTGTGTGTGTAATAAACTAGAGTTTTGCTGAAATGGAAAGATAAGGTTGTGTATGACAATAAATATTGCATAAGCCCAGGAGGCATGGAAAAAAGCAAAGTAGCTCTTGTAAGTGAAGTAATAAATTAGTTTTACTTTGGTATAAACAGAAAGGAACAAATCTTTGTCACTTATCAAGGACACACTGATCCCAAAAGGGAGGTTTTCAAAATTAGAAAAGTGGGAAAGGACATGTTTCTTCCTTGAACAGTCAGAGTGCCCCAAAGGGCTTTTTCAGCATTGCTAAGCAAATTGGGAACTGGAATCTTTGGAAAGTCATAAACAAGATTCTTACACATTATACAGCAGAGACCAATTACACACTGCTATGATCACACTGATAAGCAACAAGTGAAAGTGTGATGTTAAAATGTTAGCCTCCAGAGCTTAATGGGAAAAGGCATTTATAAATAACTTCATCCAAAGAAGTCTCATTGAATGGAATGATGCTATTGTTAGTAATAACAGTATTTTAAGAAATGAAAGGCCTAAAGGTATGGCAATTACTTGATACGATCTAAAGAAAACATGTTGCCACTGTTGCACATAAAAAGCTCCTGAGAAATTAATTAAGCATGTCTAAGACATGGTGTTTTGCAAAATTTTACTCAGTAGACCAGAACCAGAACATGAGTTAAGTAATTGCTTCATGAAAGAACAGTCTCATAGTTCCACAGATAATTCTGGGAGGCCTAGTTCAAAACCTCTGGAAGATGCCACAAGAGGGAAGGCTGATCTAAGGGTTACAAGTTATTCTTCCTATCATTCATTGCAATGCGAAGGAATATTGTACTACTGCTGCTGAAGTCAAACTACCTCAAGTTTTTTCCTTTCTTTGCCCTCTCTCTCCCTCTACCCCCACCCCCCTTTGCCAAGGAAAAAGTTCTGGGGTTTATTACTGAACAGATACAAGAAATGACTTTTAATAAGAAAAGTCAGGCTAGTGTGTAAGTAAAACATGGAAGCTTTACTGAAGTCCCTAAACAAAAATGTTACCATGAAGCAGTCTAAGGGTGACTGGGGATTGCTGGGAGTTGTATGCCTCTTTTCTGTATAAACATGCACAGGATTATGCTAAGGAATCAAAAGGAAAAAAAAAACTTTGCAAAAACAAAAAAAATGCTGAAAAGAACTGCAAAAAAATTCCTAGAGATTAAATTCTATATACATTATACAATTAAATGCATATGGCACAGTAAAAGGGGAGTTTTAGAACACTCAACACCCATACTCTGCTTTAATGTTACTCAATTGCCTAATTTTGAAAAATACAGTTCTCATTTTTAATGTTTAAGTTCATTAAAACCTATGGTGACATCTTTCTCCTTGTATATGCTAAACTTAATTGTAGGCACAGACTTACAGGACACAGACAGCCATAAAAGCAGAATAAAAGAAGACCCCACCTCTCTGACTTTCTCAATTGAAGTGGTGAAAATGTAGATAATCACAAGCCATTCCTGCACGCTGGGTGTTGGTTTCATCTCCACCAAGACAGTGTAAGTAAACAGCATGAGAAAGGCCAGATAGGCCATCTAAAGAATACAAATACACATTCCATGTAAACAGACACAATTGTGGGATAAAAAGTGAAATGTTCTCACAACACAACATCTCCCCTCCTCCAGCATCAGTCAGGTAAACTCTTCAATGTAGGTTTGCATGAGCAACAATGGAAGGAAGTCAGGTGCTCACAGAAGTTCTGTATAGTAACATGCACAATGCAAGAGAGCAGAAAATTATGCCTCTCAGATGTCAGGACTTTGCATGGCTAAGATCCACGAGTTTCAAGTTCACACACTACTGTTGTACAAAGGTGCCCAATTCAGTGGGGGCACTTTTGCGGGTGAAAAAGTATTATGCAATCAGCCCTATGAAAAAGGCAAAGGTGCAGAGGGTGGGGGCACACAAAGATAATGTAACTGAACATATTTTACAGTACCTCTTCTAAAGGCATAAATAGCTACTACCCTTTGCAGTTTTCACTCCACCTCAGGGGGAGAGGGGGATTCTTGCTGAGGAGCAGAAGCAGCATCTAGCAGCTGTTCAGTTGCCTGCCCGGTCATTTGGGAGGGTGGGACAGTGAGAGGTGGCCCTGCTAACTGCTGCTCTTCACTGCTCTGGCCTGATGGTTGGCTTGTCAAATGTCTGGGAGGTGAATGAATAGAAGGCCACAGTACGGAGGGCAGCCTGCCGCAGGCCACAGTATCCTCTTAAGGACCCCCCTAAAGTCTGGAATGCAGATAGTTTGAGGAAATCTGGCGTAGATGTAATGCCTGTCACTGAAGCCATGCAGTGTTTCACTGAACATCCTCCTTGTCTTACTAATGGAAGTTCTCAAGAAGCTGCAGTCAAATATTTGGATACCTTTCAGCACCACCACAATTTCATTCTCAAAGAATGGTAAAGAATACATTTTCAGACAGTTAATTGGCCACTAGAAAACTCAATCCGTACATTTTAAGAAAAATGCATCAAATACCAATATTTTATTGGTTTAGCCATGAGTGGCTATCATTTCACTGGCAAGTGGGGTGACTATGTAATCCATATTTTTAAAAGCATTTGAGTGAAAACATTTAGAATATCAACAGTGACTAACCGTGTGAAACCAGAACTTGACAATTGGGGCATTGTAGAATTCATAGACCTTTCTAGTCCCGGGAAGGCTTCCCTGCTCAGTATTGATGGGAAATGTCTGACTTTCATGTTTCTTTTCAGCTCCTATCTCTAAATCACATTTGTTCTATATAAACAAACATAATGTTCTTGTTAGAAGTCAGCCAGTAAGACAAACAAAATTCTATTATCCAGCTTATATAAGCAAAAGAGAGAAAACTAGAACAACTTGTTGAAATGCACTATTTATCATTCTCCATTCATACACAGTAAACCATACTATCAACTTAGCATTCAAACTTAAATTATCAATGTTAAAAATTAATATTGAGCTTATTGTACTAAGCTTGAAATCAGAATACTTTGTTCAGTTGTAAGGTGTTTTCCTTCAGAAAAGGCATTAAAATGAACCCTGGAGTGAAGGTTCAAGATTTTCAAAAAACTCTAAGACTGCAGTCAACTCCTGAATTCCTAGGAATGGTGACGAAGGGACTGTAACATTCTGTGGATACCCTTCTGAGCAGAAGGGGGAAACAGGTTTGCCTTCGGAATCTTTCTTGCTGTGGCAGAGGAAACTAGATTAAAATGTTCCTGTATACATATCTACCCAGAAGTAAATCACACTGCTTTCAGTAGCATTTATCCCTTGCAGCCCCTCTGCAGTGTTGATATTCAAATACACACAGAGAAGTGGGGGAGTTATATATTTTGGGATCTTTTTGGTTAATCATTTCTTACAGCTGCTTAAAACACACCATCTTCCTGTGGAACAGTACTGCCAGTTTAGCCCACTGAAATATATACCATGGAAGAAACATAGCATATAAAATGGTCACAATATAAGTGGAAGCCATGTGGGATAAAATGGCAGAAATCTCACAAAGAAGTCTAGCTGGGGTTTGCCATGTGACACACCAGTGAGTCAGACATTACAATGCTGATAAAAATCTCTAGTAGATTCTGCCATAGAGCTCATAGTTGTCAGTCTTATACAACCCAAGCGAGGATCCTTATGCAGTCCAGATTGCACCATCCACACACAACGGAAGTGATCAGCAGACCTGGAGAAAAAGTAGAGTTTGCAGAAGTACTGCACGTCTTTAGGATAAAATTAACCTAATGGGAAAGTTCCCTGAGCAGCCCCATGAAAAGTGGAAATCTTCAGTGGGTATGGAATGCTGACTGCCTCACAGGGCAGCAATACAGCAGAACTGCTGTCAGCAACCCAGTGGCCTCCACGTGTTTTAAATGAGAAGTTCCACATGTCCTAATAAGTACATGATTGTACGGATCTGGAGGGTACTGGCTTGTCCGCACTGACAGAGTTTCCTGGAAGAGGGATAGCGATTTAAAACCATGAGCGAGAGCATTCTGTGCCACACTTGTAACTGTGTCATGCCAAATGAAGCCTACTAAAGATAAACAAATATTTAGCCTCATTTAGCAGAATCGAAATCTCTAGTTTTGACTTTTTCTAGCATACACAAAATGCTTGCATGTATTTAGTAAAAAAAAAGCCCCAATTTAACAGCATTAAATCTATAGCCGGTACGATACTAACCAATGGGAGGTCATCTTTAACATTGGAGGTACTGGGATCCCCATAGTACCATGTGAACTGATGGAATTCCTGTGATTGAGGTACATGGGACATCTCAGCCTTGCTTTTGAACTCCAGCATCAAGATGGTAGGAGGCAGAAGAATACTCAGAATCACCTGGAAGCACAGCATGTGGTTACTAAGATCTTGCATAATCATATGGTTACTACGAATTGATTCCATATAATTCTTTCACCTCATCCTAGCATGGATGAGGCACTAGACAGCAGCAGCTGATGCCTCCAAAACATGAGGGTGTTAAGGTCCCACCAACCCTGCTAAATAGCTGTTGCTATAATTTCTCTCAGTGCCACTGCCCGGAGTTCCTCCATGCTGTTCCAAGCCAGCTTTGCAAAAGGGAGCCCCTCCCGTTGAGACCAAGTTAGAGGAACCACCATTAATGAACTTTAGCAATTGCAAGAATCACATTTTAAGAGTAAATAGCAGGCAGAGGAGGGCCAGTCTGATGTATGACCATGGTTCAGGGGCTATAAGGGCCATAGCTCTTTGCCTCCCACTATGATGCTGATCTAGACTATAAGGCATGGAATTTCTACAACCATCCCAAGGTCATGGTCCGAATCAGGCCTTTACTCCATCTATCTAACTTCATTTCTGTACTGTTCATAGCCAGATCTCTCTAAGTGGTTTACAGCAAAGTGTAAAAACAATAAAAGACAGTAGGTAAAACATTAACAAGAATTAAAAATTAATTTAAAGTAGCATAGAATATTAAAAGACAATAAAAAGAAAATAAAAAGACCCAGCCAAAAATGGGAGAAATGAACCTGGATAATTGTGTCAGGCCCCTGGAGACTAGGGAGGTATTTATTATTTATTTCAGGTTTTTTATAACCTGTTCAATTAGCTGAATTGGCTCTCAGAACAGTTTATAAATCAAACAATCTAAAAACATAAAACATATAATCTGTTATAACTAATCACAGTATATCAAGGGGCAGTTACAAAGGCAACAGTAACAAGACACATGGTACAACCAAATCACACTATGCCAATGACTAATAAAACCCATCCATTTAACTGTTAATTTAACCATGCATTAACAATTAAAATGCCAGGAAAATTAGAAGGTTTTAACCTGGAGCCAAAATAAGAACCATGTCAGTGCCAGGCACACCTCCCTACAGTGCTGATTTCACAATCAGGGAACCCCGCTGAGAAGACCCTTCCCCTTTTGGCCACCTCCCTTACTTCTTTTAGAGGTCACTCCTGGAGAAGGTCCTCTGTGGATGGCCTTAGGGTCTGGGTTGGTGTATATGGGAAGAAATGCTCCTTTAGATATCCAGGCACTAATCTGTTTAGGGCTTTATGCATTAGTGTAAGCACCTTGAAATGGGCAAGTTAGGTAGTTAGCTGTATATTAATCTGCACAAACTGGTATTGTAGAAATAGTCTTAAAGGGGGAATGCTATGGCTTGTGTCAGGAAAGTTCAGAGATTTATGAATGATCAGAGAGAAAGAGATTGTGTAATTTCACTTATTTAGCTAGAGATCCAGAATTGTAAGTTTGTTCTATCTGTTTGATCTCAGTTTGTGTTAACCTTGGGCTTTTCTACATGAAGCATCAATTGTGTATCTGTCCTTTTCTACTCACGGTTATTTATAAGTTCTTTAGATGACACTGTGACACTCTATTTTCAGTTCCGGGTCTAACCAGCACTTTCAGCGAGTTTTAAAAAAAATCAAGCTGGGAAAATGTGGAATTTCATTGTGAAATCAAAAGAAAACAGAATCTTTTCTGACATATTTGCACTATTCTACTATACCACAGTGCCACCTAGTGTTCATGTAGCTAAAAAGCAGAAAATGCTCCTACTGAGGTAGCTGGGATCTCAATTCTGCAATGAAACCAAAGTAAATACAGAGGATCGACAGCTTTGGGTGGAAAAGCTCTTTATATAACATGTTCTTTGTATGGATTGCTTGTAATACATGCTAATTATTCTGTAGGGATCTGATTGATTATTTATTTATTTATTTATTTATTTATTGGTTAATTTTCTAACCTACCTCATTAGCCATAAGGCTTTCTGGGCAGGTTGCAGCATGACGAATATATACAAATAAATCTGATACAATTTCTAGACATTTATACATCCCACCACCCACCTGCAAGTAAACTGCATGGAATCAGTTCCTCTCCTGTTTCTCCCTTGCCCTCCCGTGCTGTTCTTTTTCATACACATTTAGCACTAGTTCTGCAAAAAGCCACTGCCTTCTTTTGCATTTAGCAGGAGAGAGATGCTGATTTTGCATATCTCTCCCAGATATTTCCAAAGATCACAATGGAAAATGAAAGCAGTCCCAGCAAAACATGCTGGGATGATGCAGCTCCTTGCAAGCTACTATTTGTGGCAGAGAAGGGTTCAGAATCCGTGTGTCTTTGCTACATGCTAAGCTGAGTGATCCAAACGCAGTAGCCAGCATTGACTCTGAAAGCAATTTGGAGACAATCAAATGTAGGAGTCTGTTAATCAGTGTTTATTTCAGCAGGAAAAGAGCCAAGGTGTTGGCTCTTTCTGCGAAGTTGCAGAGCAGTTGTTTTTAATGGGCAAAAGTGCAAGGTACACTGCCTTCCCCACAGTAGCTGTAGTCAGAAATGCTTTGAAAGAGATCGTAAACTGCATCATACATGAGAAACAGGAAGGAGTGCCTTGTAAGAGCTTCACTGGTACAACTGATTTCTCAGGCCTCACCTCTCCATATAATCTTTGCCCGTTGTTTGTTGTCGCAGGATTGCCTGCAGTTTCTGTCCTGCCTTTTACTTCCCATGACCAGAGATGACACCTTTGCTACAAGGACTTGAGTGCAACACACCACCTTTAGGGGCCAAGCTGAACGTTCCCTAACAGCCGTGGTGTAGTTCAGTCTGCTATTTCCTTTCTTGTACACACATGAGGGCCTGATCCAGATTAGGTCCATGGTGCTTTGGGAAAAGGAAACTTGGAATCAGGGGAGACTTCCTTCGTTCTTTAAACCCCTTCAGTGGATTGCAATTTCAAGGAAAAAACAAGTGGGAGATGCTTAAACTCTTTTCTCCTAAAGTGCCATGGTCTTAATCCAGATTGGGACCACACAGCTTTCCAGAAAGTGGAAGAAAAATAGGAGACCATTTGCACTAATGGCAATTACTGCTAGTGGAGTTGCGCCCCACCTCTGGAATAGGCTCCCCAGAGAGTAAGCCTGGTGCTCTCACTGCAATCATATTGGCACCAGGCAAAGATGGTTCTATTCTCCAGACGTTTAGTAATTGAATAGTGTTTTTAAATCACTAGTTGGGAGTTGGAGGCACTGCCTTGCAGTGGTTCCACTCCCACCTGACTGGCCCATTCCAGAAGGTGGTGCTGGGGATTATGCCGCTGGGAGAGGTCATCCTAGGATTTGGGCTGCGGAGTCATCAGTACACTGACAACACCCAGTTCTACCTCTCTTTTACATCTAGTCCTTAACCAGTGCCTGGCTGGGGTAACGGGCTGGATGAGGGAAAATAAACTGAAGTTTAATCCAGATGAGGTCCTGTTGGTGGACAGTTTAGCCTTCCGGGTAGGTGGCTTTAGCCCTGTCCTGGACAGGGTTGCACTCCCCCAAAGGACAGAGCGCACAGTTTGGGAGTGCTCCTCGACCCAGAGCTGTCCCTGGAGTCTCAGGTGGCAGCAGTGGCGAGGAGCGCTTTCCTTCAGCTTCAGCTGATCCACCAACTGCGCCCTTACCTGGATGAGCAATGCCTAACAACAGTGACACACACTCTGGTAACTTCCCGATTGGACTATTGCAATGCACTCTACGTGGAGCTGCTCCTTGAAGATGGTCTGGATACTTCAGTTGGTTCAGAATACAGCTGCCAGGATGTCAATGGGGACCAGCAGGTATTCAAATATAATGCCAGTCCTCAATCAGTTACATTGGCTGCCAATTAAAGTCTGGGCCCAATTTAAGCTGCTAGTGATGACCTGTAAAGCCCTTAATGGCTTGGGTCCTGGTTACCTGAAGGAGCGCCTTCTTCCCTATGTGCCCTCCTGCCCCTTGAGATCTGAGGTGGAGGTCCTGCTCCAGGAGCCCTCCTTGAAGGAGATCAGGAGGGTGGCTACCCGGAGAAGGGTCTTCTCTGCGGTGGCGTCCCATCTATGGAATACGCTCCCCAGAAAGGTTTGCCTGGCACTGATGCTTTATACTTTTCGGCGTCAGGCAAAACCCTTTTTATTTTCCCATTATTTTAATGTCCAGTTGGTTTTAAACTGGGTTTTATCTTATTGAGATGTTCGATGTTGTGCTTTGTTTTATTTGCTTTTCTGTTGTAAGCTGTCCGAAGACATCAGTGGTGAATGGGTTAGAAAAGCTTTAAATAAATAAATAAATAAATAAAATCTTATATGACTTTATTGATGGTTTGAGTTTACTATATTTGTTAAAGTAATTTAATTGAATTGACCTTATGCAGTTGTCCAAATTGTGCTATTTTTGTATCTTTGTATTTTATTGGTTTTAATTGCTCACCACTCAGAAAGCCCTATTTAGGATTGTTGGTGTGGTCTATAAATTTAATCAATCAATCAATAATAGTTCTGTCCTTGTTCCCCTGGTTCCCCGTTGCATCTGTCCATCCATCAACATTTTCACTCCAACTACAGGAAAAATCAACACTTATTTGTATCCTAGGAATACCACATGCTACACCACCCTCCCCAACCTGGTGGCATGTAGATGTTTCCTCCGAACCCAGACAGCACAGACAGTGGTCAGGAATGATGGGGACTGTAGTCCAAAACATCTGGTACTGGGGAAAGTTCACTGAACTCTTTGCCTGATCCAAGTGATGGAAAGCGGTGGAGTAGTGGTACATTTTGAAGTGCCAGGAGCTCATGGTCACATCCCACAAAGAGTCCTAAACTGCAGGCAGCTATGATGATGCATATCAACAGAACAGAGTTTTCATCAGCTAGGAACAGGTCTAAAGCTAATGATATTTAATTGCCATTCAACTTCAAGCCAATGCCAAATACATTACATTACAACAATAAACAATTCATTTTCTCCCAGCCATTCTAAGAATTGCAGCTAAGCTCAGCGGAGAAAAGAAAACTGAGAGAGGCAGATGATGGCAGAGCCCCTGCTACTAAGTAAGTGCCCGCACTACTTCCCTGAAAGCCCTGGCTTCGCTGCTCCACCGCTGACAAGGACTTTTCCTCTGCCATGCCCGAACTTCTTTTCTGAAGGATTTTCCATCAATAATGACTACCAAAAGAATCCATTAATCTGCAATGAACTCTTGTGCAGTCACACTGTACGACAAACAAGACAACCCAGCAGCACGAGAGTAAAGAAGTGCCTTGTAACTGCTTGGTGAGGGCTATTGAGAGGTTCCTTACCTTGAACCAGGAGTTTTTCCGCATTTTCAGCCGCCCCATCCACATATCGGTCAACAGCATCTGTGTGCACGTGTGAGACACAAAGGGCCGCAAGCCCACTGACACAGCAAGCTTCAGGCACGTGGAGTTGCTCCAGTTCTTCAGCTCATATGTCAGCAGCTTCATGGCCATTTGTTCATTTTGCCTGAATGCATTGTCCAGTACATCCAGAGCAAGCTGCCCAAACTCGCTGTGAAAGCAAAAGAAAACAGGGAGATGGGGTACAGGGAAGAGATGTTGCTAGTTTTAGAGGACTGACTGAGCAAAACTAACCATGGCAGGGAATAGGATGAGTATAAAGATCCTGTCATGTCCTGATCCAATGGGAATTACTCCAAGTATGAGCCCTTAAAAGTGCCGCCATATGCAACATTATCCTTTTCCTGTTCACACTCATCACGCTCCTCTGAAAACTCTTCAGGTGATACAGAGCTTCTTTTCCTAATCACAGGCCTGGAACTTTCTATCTTGCTAGCATGCTTGTCTGTAGTTGAATAGCACAGTGCAACCAGCCACCCTTTCGTATTATTTTAGTGGATTTGGGCTGCATTAATATGAAAACTGCACTACTGCTTGTGATACAAGCCTGGGGTCATTTATTCAGAAGTAAGGTCCCTTGCTCCCTTATGAGTGCATATCAGATTGCAGCCTTAAATATCCCCTGAAATTATTCTACAAATTCAGTTCAGTTATATGAAGCTGGAATTGTTTGTTTGTTTACTTAATTTCTATACTGCCCAATAGCTAAAGCAGTCCTGTTGAAGGACAATGAAAGAATAGATGGATCTCAAACTGGTGCTAGAATGTAACACTATTTTTGGAAGATGCCCAATGTATTATGGATTCAGGGCACTAAAACAAATGCAAGTTTTAAACTATAGATATTAAGAATATTAAAATCCTAAATACTGGACCTTGAAACCAAAATGTAAATAACATTAGAAGACATAAAGAATTCAAATAAAAAGTTAAAAAATGTATGGGACAAATAGTGCATTGATTTTAGTGGGCTGTATTCATAAACTGGAAAAATAGATTCTTTTAATAAATGCTTCATGTTAGCTATAAAAAGTAGTGTAAGTCTTTTAAAGTAACAGTCATGGTTAGAATCATTGCATGGGGAAGGAGGTTCTTTGCCATATAGGGAAACAAATGATAGGATTCTAGCAGTGGAAATAGTCTGTCATCTATACAAATGCACCAGATTATATAGGTAACTATTTTTTAAGACAATGGTGAACAATGTAAAAAAAAAAACCCACCACCACCTTGAAACATTAGAATCACATTGACATTCTATCTTAATTTGGCACAATGGCTTCTCAGTATCAAGAACATTTTCATCAGATAATTTTATTTCATTCTGGTGGGGAAACGTAAGACCTTGGGTTAATTTATATTTTAGATCAGCCTGGTCCTTTTTTAATACTATGCCTCTGTCTCTCACTGAGCCAGCTCTCCCCACCCATCATGTTATACAGTCATAGTCGATGGAGAGAAAAAAGTCTAACCATTCTAAGCATTGTAGATCTTTATTATCTGAAGTGAAGGGAGAACTCCTACTTTGAATACTTCTTCAATTCTTCTGATATATCATCTTCCATGTTGCTCTGCTTGGCTTCACGTGCCATGGCTCGGTAGAGTTTGCAAGCTACTACTGCCTTCACCATAGCCTCCTTTCCGTGCTGCCAGAAGAACATGGCCATTTTTTGCCTTTTCATCAACACTGCCCAAACCAAGAGATCATTATATGGGTAAATAAAGCCTACTGACTCTTGGTCATCAGAGACAGTAAATTCATCTTTGAGCTTCTTCCTGGACTTATGAAGAATGGTTGATTTTTCCTGCAAGTTAATAAATAACTAGGTAAATTACTAGACCCCTAGCAGTCTGATCCCATTATCATTTGCTCAGTTCAGCTCAGGTTTGTGTGCCTTAGCACTATAAGCCATAATTGAACTAAGGATCATGAAAATGCATTTAAAAACATTAAAATAACAGCTGTGACATACAGGGACTCACACATTTGCAAAAGAACTGTAAAACATATGGAACAATTCTCACAAAACCCAAGAGCTGTGGCGTCATCTAGAATTCCTCTGTGAAAATAGCCCAAGGCTTGTCAACCACCCCAACAACCCACCCATGCTAGGTTGACACTTAACAGTTTGTACAAGCTGTGGAATCCACATGCTGCATTTGAGTCTTCAAGACAGCTGCTGCAACGAGCACAAGAAGAAGCCCTGCAGGAAAATTCACCCATGGTGGCTTCTCCTTACGTGTGAACCAGATGAGTCAGCCTCTCTCACATGCTCAAACTCTTGGGTCAGCAAACTAGATTTTTCAGCCAAGTGCTTTTTTAACTAACTGAATGAATAAACAAAGAATCTGGATACTTTGTATGGCTGGGCTGTTCTGATAAACTGGGAATGTGAGATGTTCTCAACAGATCCACTTCTGCTTCCCATACGATTATGCTGATGAAGAGGGGTTTTTGGTGTCAAACTGGACGTGATGCCCTAGTTCCAGTAATGCCAGGAAACATGAAACAAAGAGAAAGGAAAAATAGATCAAGTCAATATGATAAGCTTCAGTCTTCACTAAATGTTCTCACATTCATAGGCTCATAACTGTCCTTTCTCAAAGAGTTAAAAAATAAGGACCAAAACAATATATGACACATCCGTTTATCCTGGACTAGAGATATGAAAGCTTGGAATACAAAATGGATTTGTGAAGGGATACAAAGCACTGGGCACAGGCTGGCTTCCCCTCACATTTCTCATCCTTACATCCAACTTTTGTTATTTTATAAAGACACAATTGCAGAAGTATAGTAAGGTTGGGTGGTGAGTTCTAAAATTCCCTCTTTCTGTTGTTTTTCAACTAACATGTTTTTGTTGCTTCTATATAGCTGGAAAATGCACACTAAAACATGCACCTTAAAGTATTTGCCATGGTGTGTCCATATCTAGTATTTTAAAATTGCAGCAGTATAACCCAATGTTACATCTGGGTCTATGCTTTTTCTTCATTGCCAGGATCCTAAGGAAAGTCCAAAGATGCAGGCAGCTGTGTTGATCTGTTTCAACAAAGCAGTTTTATTTCCAACGGGAACAGATGCATTATCCTTCCAGCTTTTCTGAGGATTGAAGCTAAGCACAGCGGGAACAGGAAATTGTGGGAATGGGAGGGTGGCAAATTATGTCAGTGCCCCTGTCAATGCAGGGTCAACACAGGTGTGCCACTGCACACCTGTATTGACCCTGAAACATGTTTCTGGCCCCTCGGGTGTTATATCATCAAGTAACTGGCATTTTGCAGGTCCAACAAGTCAGATATGTCAACAGAGCACATGAAAATGATGCCATTGAAAGCACCTGATACAGACAATGTCTCTCCCCCTGGAACCCCCCAAATAAGCACCTGCAAAGACTTCATTACTCTTCCAATGTTCAGCCTTCCTCAGTGAGGAAAAAAAGACTGAAGCTGCACTGGGGAAGCGCAGGATGATTACAAATGGATGGCGATGTTATGTCCACCCCCTGTAAAACATGAGTGCAGGATCTGTGGAAATTCCACCAAAAATGCTCATCTGGAAGCACCCTCAACATGGGCGAGTGGTTCTTATTTCCAGTTCTGTTTGGACCCATGACAGCCCCCAGCTGTCACGATGTGTTCATGCTTGGCCATTTCCCCCAGACTACATTATGGACTACTCTCACGGGCAGATTTATTTATTTATGTAAAGCTTTTATATACCGTCCAACTATACAGCTGTGGCTGTGACCATTTCATGGAGTTTACCTTACGCTTCCTGTAAAGGCTGTTGTACAGAACTCTGAAATGCTTTCTTGTGTAGCTGCTCTGATAAGCTCCCCCAATCAAATATTCTATTACCAGCCCAATATCAATCAGCGTTACTGTATAGTCCACTGGAAGAGTACTCTGTAATACAAAAAAACTGATGTTTTATATTGCAATACATTTTGGCATATTTTCATTGTTTGAGAGTAGCTGTATTGCTTCACGGTTTTTGTGACTTTTTGCAGCAACTCTGGCTATAATGTAACTCAGTACAATATCTTCATAGGGAAGTGAAGTCAAGAGACATTGGCTTATCTAAGGCCATCCGGCATGTTCCGGCTACAGTGAAATTTGAACCATGGTTTATGGCATAGTATTAACATTTCATCCAGTCAGGACGCTTGAACACGTGAGTGATGCCACTTGCAAGGAAGGCGTGTGCTACTTTCAGGAAGCTCAGCAACCATTTCGGCACCAGCAGCAAGGGGGGCGGGGGGGCAGATGTTGTACAGCCCCAGTGGGTTCTGTGGGTGAGGGACACTTGGCTCCCAGAGCTAGGTGATTTAATGAACCTACCTTTATTTTATCTCCATTATCATTAGGGGAGCCAAGTAATATTAGTATTGACTCAAAGAACAGAAACTGCTAGAAGTTTGGTTACCTGTTTCACATCACAAACGAGTTGATGTAAAAGAAGATTTGTTGGCCCATGTTTCTGAAATTTTAAAAAGAAGGAGAATGAAGTAAATCCAAGAAAGGAGGAAAATGAACTTTTTTCCACCATTTAGGAACAAAAGATTCAGAAACATCACAGCAGCTTTCTTTGGCAGCTTTGTTTCTGTACATTGAATATTTTCCAGCATGTATCATTTAATCTATAAAATTCTGGGCTGAAATTTGCTTTGAAGAGGTAATAATAATAAAAAGAGTTCACAGTACGTTCTTCAGCTGCACTTCCTGCCTACTTTCACAACAGAACTGTCAGATGAGACTAACTAAACTCTAGGAAAAGACCATCATCCCCTCACCTCCCTCCTTGCCACTGCTTCGCTCACCTTCTGCCCACTCCAGCCTCCTGCTTAGTTTTAGGGGAGGCGTGTGAATCTGGTCACTTAAACGCAAGTGTGAATCCCCCATTTTAATCCCAGCTGTCTTATCAATCATTTCTCCCTCATAGCACTCTTTGGGATGAGATGGACAACATCCACTAAAGCCAAGAATAAGTTTGTTAGTCTGTCATGGATCTTTTCTTTGTTTTGGGCCTATGTGAATCTGTCCTTTTTCTATGTTTTCTATGAGTCTTTAAATGGAAGATGAAATTGGTTACAATTTGCTCTGGCATGGGAAAGTGCAAGCATGTAAAAAACAAACAGTTGTAAAAAGTACCATCAGGATAACACTGACGGAATGAGTCATTGTGTTTTCTTACATCTGTGCTGTTTGAAATGATTTAATACCTGGATCCTGCTAAATTCTCAAAATGACTGGGCTTGCATAACATGACAACCCATTGTGGCTTGTTATCCATGCTGGCAAGTTGCGTCATGCAAACCAAGACTGATTCCCAGAGAGTGGGTTGCTCTAGTGGTTGGTTGTCCAAACATGGGTAATGGAGCCCATTGTGCATGCTGGGAATTGGCTTGGAAGCAAAACTCATTGCCATTCTTTCCAATTTGCCCAGGCATCCAACAGTGCCAGCTACCTCACAGATGCTAAAGTGGCATTTGGGGACAGCTGGCACTGGGTTTGGCTGAAAGCCTTTTAGGGTCATTGTATCTTTTTGCCTTTTACCTTTTTTTTCTTTTTGCGATTGCAGAGTCTGACCTGACAGCTGGCTTTCATAATCCTCATTTTAAAGCCACCGACAGTCCTTCAGAATGTTTGAGCAGCACCTTGGATATGCTGTCAGTGGTGCCAAACATGTTTTCAACTTTTGGGGCACAAGCAATGTTTGCAACTGGATAAATTGCAGTTTTTTTTAGCTAAAGACTCAGTACAGCAATGTCTGTGAGGTTGTTTTTTTCTTAACAGGTGTCAGAAGGTAAGCTGTCAAATGAAAGCAAAGGCATGATTCTTGCTTGCAAAAAAAGTAGTCGGATTTACACCCCTTTTGCAGAAAGATTTGACAGCTAGTTGTCAAAACTCTGAGTTCTCTTTAACAGAGGGAACAGAGGGCATATACAGCTAAATGTTCCAGTCAGACTCTACCCACCCTGACAGCAGGTCCCCCCAACACTTGCTTAAATATGCACCTTGATATTTAGGGGTCTTAATGTCTGCACTTGCACAATGGCACTCCAGCACAGTTGCACAAGTGCACTAAAGAAAATTCTAAAAATATGTATATATTTTAAAGCATCCACAGTACTACTTCATTCGACCTTCAAATGACTTTTTCTACCCAGATAATTTCCAGCTTTGCTAATACCAAGACTACCATGTTTCTCTTTACTTCTGCCTAATAAGGAACCCATGTGCCTCTCTTAAGATTGCAGATGGATCTTGATAACTGCCGGACTTTCACTTCCAAAATGTGGATCAGCCTTAGCTTCTTACACCTCGGATCCTAAGGGTGAACTGAGACCTGAACCACCAAGTAGAGTCTAACCCAATTAAGTTGTAATCTCTGAATCTAGATGCTGATGTTTTAGCTACGACAGGGTTGGCAACTCCAGATATTTTGGCCTAGAGCTCCCATCAGTCCTCGTGAGCATAGCCAATGGTAAGGAAAGATGGGAATGATTGGCAAAAACATAAATTGCACACTTGCAATATAGCATCACACCAATGTTTCTGCCCTTTTTTGGTCTCCCTACCTCACCTCAGTTATCTGTTTTGTGTTTTACATAACATCCAGATTGAATTCTAGAAAACTCAGAATTTTGCTCACTATTTTGGTGGTCTAATTGAGATACTGCCCACTTGTGGATTTTGGTTGTTTTCTGTTGGACCAAGGCAGGTTCCTTTGCTATTTCTGTGTGGTATGATCTACCCATCCATGAATCTACATATCTAAAGGAATGAAGCAACCATGCTTTGTAAGACAGCAGAAGCATCTGTATATATTTTGGGTGTGCATCTACATGATGGACACTTACCAAGATGTATGAACAGAATTAAAAGAACTGCACAACTAGCTGTGTGTGCCCAAGAAGTATTCAGCTTTGTGTGTCTTGAACAGCATTCCCCTCCTTCCATTTCATATAGGAAAAGGCTTTTAAAAGTGAAGGGAGTGGTAAAAACCAGTCCGGGATACTGCAATGGAATAGGGTCTACTGTTCAAAGAAAAAAAATTGCCAAAATCCAACTGGGCATACCTAAAGTAGATGTTTGGCTACAGATCCAAACATCCATATGAAATACAGAATATTGAATTTTCCTGTAGTTACATTGAAACCAACCCTTAATAGCAACACATAAGACACATATTTAAGCGAAATATATTAGTATTCAGAGTTTTGGGTACTTACTGTATTGTACAGTTCTTCCAGCTGGAATATGGTAAGAAAACGGTGCAGATTCACTCCATGCTCTATGAGCAACTTCACAAATTCTACACGATCCATGATCAAAGCATTCAGCATTGCTTGTTCCAAGGAACCAACCTTCAAGTAGGGAACAAAAGGGGAGTTGAGTGGGGAGGGCTGATTGCTGTTTAATTTGCATCTTGTTCCTGATGCCTGAACTCAGATATAAGTCAAGCAACAGATTACAGAGAGCAAAAGCACAAGCTTTTACTATGAAAGCTTTCACTATAAAATTACCTTCCAGTGTTGTCCATAAACCAATATATGCTTCTTTGCAATGTCCAGTCTGTTCCAGACCAGTGCCAGATTTAACTGATCTGGAGCAGATAAATTTGTCCCTAGGAAAAAGCAAACCTTCTGTTAGATGACAAATATGCACCTCTTTCATTTCTGCCTCATAAGATGTTCTTGTCAATGGTATGCCTTAGAGAATGATGGAGAAAGGACCCAAGTACCTTTTAGGAGTGCAGTCAGGATTGCTGTATCAACGTCCTGGTGTTCTTCTGATTCTGCATCAAATATGGTTATCTGCCAACAGAGTAAAACAAATTACTGTAGGAAGTAAGGAAGCCATTGGACAGTTCAGGGCTTCTGTGCATGGCAAAGGAAAGGACTGATGTGGATAAATGAATTAATAACATGCCAGAAGTTTACAAAAAACCTGAACATCTTGGTTTAACTATTAAAAGTAGGGAAATAAATGAATGAATGTTGAATTACCACAGAGATGCCTCTAGCACGGCTGTGAAATGGATGGTGTGCCCAGTAAAGTGTGCCCAATTCACATTTTCCAGGCTGCAGTTGAATAGTATTATCATTATTACATTTGTAGCCCACCTTCTTTCCTATTGCCAGGATCCTCAGACAACTTACATAGTCCCCCTCATCTCCATTTTATCCTGACAACAATTCTGTGGGGTTGGTAATGCTGAGACGCAGTGACTGGCCCAAATGAGATTCATGGCCAAGGGGGACTGGAACCCAGATCTCCTGCATTCAACACTATGCTACACTGACTTTTTGCAAAACAGAAGCAATAGGATTGGAATTGCATGTGACTGAAATGTATACCTAGGGCAGAATAACTCAAGCACTACTCAGAGTCAAAGCAGACATTATTTTAAGTATAATTAAATATTTTAAATCACTTTAATAAATTCAATCTATTATTTTACTTGAGAAATTACAGGAGGGTGTGTCTGTATACACTAGATCAGGCCTGTAGTGTGGGAGGCTGATTCCCTCCCACTCCCATGCTGGGTTCCCAGTCTGGATCAGCCCTTCTGCCCATAATGCCCATTGTAAAAAAATGACAAAAGCAATGATCAGGTTCTCGTCAAAACAAGCCACCTAAGCATAAACATGCATAGTTTACACAATCACTACCTGACTAGAGTTTCTCATGTTGTCCAAACCTCGCTGACATGACTTGTGAAACCATAGGTTACATGGTTTGTTGAGCCTGCAACAGCCCATGACTTATTTGAAGTTTGTTTATCCCTTCAAAAAGTCATGCCACTGAGGTTCAGGTAACACAATAAATTGCAGCCAGGCAAAGATTTTGCAATTCAAGCCTGGCATATGACACAGCTCATAACAAGCCACTGTGGCTTGTTTTGGTCATGCAAACCAGCTCAGTATCTGTTGGAGCAGATAATATTTTGTGTGGTTTGCACAATGACCACATTCCACTATGGGTTTTTTAGCCATGGTTGGTTGTGTTGCCAGAAAGCACCAATTTCCTGATCCAGGTCCCACTGCCACAGCTTTTGGGGTTTTCCAAATAGAGCAAGGCTGGCATAACAAACCACCCCACAACCCTACCACAGGCTGTGGGTTCTGAATGGTTGTTAAGCACCCCAACAGTCCACTCTCACTGCATTCAGATGATATGAGATGAGAGCAGATGAGGATGATCATGCAAATCTGCTAATCTGAAACCAGAATGTACAGGGTGGTTAACAAGGAACTCTGAACCAGGCCACTGACTGGCAGCACAGAAAAGTCTTGTTCTGCAGTAACATCTTTCTGATGCATATCAGAAAGCCAGAATAATAGGAATGGAAGATAGGATCCTGGCTCAGAAGCCTACTGAAATGAGCTCCAGGAATGGGAAATAGATCCATACTCAGTCTAGGAACAAGAGAAGCTCCTCAATAAGATTAGGAAAGTTGCAAGAAGACCTTTAAGGAGTCTCTGCCTCCTCCAGAACCTTAATTTCCCTAAAACAGACATACTGAAGAATGGTTTCTACACTGGGGACAAGGCAGCATGCTGTAGGACATCTCCCATCCTGACAGGTGCCTTCTCTCCTCTTTTTTCCACCTTCTTTGAACATTCTCCCCATATAAGAAATGCATGATTCCATACTATATATGGAACCTGCAAGTAACTCCAATAACAACCGTGTTTCTTTTCTTTTCTCTTTAGTCAAGCTTCTCCAGGAATAAGAAGGAAAAAGTTTATTGTACTCAAAGTGGCCTTGCACATTATAACACGCAGCAATTACTGGACGGTCAACTGAACTGTTTTTGCAGTTCCAAATTCTGCATCATGCTTCTGCTGCAAAATGTCCTCATGCCACCTTCAGTTCTGCAGTGAACACATTGCTATTGAGCAAGAGCAGTTATGGCTACACTTCACCCTATTATCATTACTTTAAAGAGCATAATTTTAGTGAAATAACATATGAACCTAAATAAACATGCAGTGGCACTGTTTATCCTTAATAAAAGAATTCCGTGAATTCCTTGTACTTACAGAATCCCGGTGTTCCATGCACTCTGTTAAAATTTTAAATACGTGATGAGACTGTTTCGGCCCCAAACTGAAGGTGTTCTGAATCATTAATACTATCTCTCCCTTAAGCTGAGGGCTCAGATTCCTAAGAGAGAAATATGTGTACAAAAATATAATATCACAACCATAAATAGTTTCTTCCATTTACCTTAACATTATAAATACTTTCCAACAAATGAGTAACACACAAACCAGAGCATCCCCTCCCCCTCTTTAAATTATACAAAGGAATTCACTATAACACTAAACCAACCACGATAGTATCGCAACTGGCAACTAAATTGGTTTCAAGTCAATGTACTTGCTGGAACATTGACATATCTGTCCTTAGGGGTGAAAGATGACCTAAACTGAGAATGCTGTTGGAAACAAGATACAGGGCTGAGTATGCAAGAAATGTGCCTTCGGTGCAGCCTCTTTGAGTTTCCATTCTTCTGAATACAAGGACCTAAAGTCCTGTATAAGGAAAGGTTGCTGAGTTCAGATCACATGATAATTCATACTTAAGGGCTGAGAAAGAGTTGAGTGTGGGTTATTGAACAATAAGATGCTGCTGAAAAGAGTGTTACTGTATTGTCTGAATCCAGGTGCATTAACAAGCATGAAGAAAACCCATCGTTTATTGCTGGGCCGTGAACAATGGGTTGTTCACCATGGTTTGTTATCTTGGCTGGGTGCATACAGCATGACAACCAACACTTCAACAAAAACGACTCACGGTTTAATAACAACCCAAGCTCAACCCATATTCAGACCTTGAATATAGGTTATCTTGTCCTATGAATCCAATCAATGACTGGAACTATTTAGCTTAGGAAAATCTGGAATGCCATTAAACATAAGAGACGTGCACAAAATAATGCCTGGCATAGAGGAAGTGGACAAGGAGAAGCCTTTTTCTCTCTCATAACACTAGAAATTTGGGTTATCCCTCAAGCTGAAGATTAGAATACACAGGGCACACAAAACTAAGCCCTTCTTAACATACTACATAATTAAACTTGGGCAGCTTTTAAAGGGTGATAAGACCATCAGTGTCTGTTAGTTGTACTGGATATATACTGGGTCTAGATAGTATCAGGGGAAGTAGGCCTTTCAATCCCAGTTGCTGGGCAACATGAGTCAGAGGATGCTTTCTACCAGTGTTTGATCTGAGGGCATCCCAAAGACAACTGAGTAAACAGAATGCTTTATTATGGCTTCTCTTATGTCCTTGGTTTCATTTTTATATTTAAACATGCAAGCAGCCAGAGGCAGCAATAGAAATGGACCTGAGTCTAAAGGGTTCTAAAAAGAACCATAAGATTCACAGGAGAAATGATGGGTCAACAATTGGCTGATTGCATTATAGTCTGCCAGGCACTAATTCCTTTTGTACAAATTCTAAAAGAATAATGCCTTATGAATACTGCTCAATACTTAACATGATTAACTTAGAAGTTTAAAAAATATAGCAGTGAACATGTCAAACCTGGTAACATAAACAGTTGAAAGAGGTGAAACTGGGCAGACAGATAGACTGAGGACCTGACAATATGGGATTCCTGGGAATGTTGTCCTCAAAGAATCTCACACTACCAGGATCATAATTGGACCATCAGCTCAGCTTTACTGCTTTTGCTATGAGCTGCCCCACTTCTCTAGAACTCCTCTGTGAGGGCAAAAAGGGAAAAAATGTGCATCTCAGATTTAGCAAGCACATATTCGCAGCTAGCCTTCAATCAAAGGAAGAGCAGCGAAATAGCCTATTGCAAAGTGGGTACTGCGGAAAGGGCCTGTTTAAAAGCACAGCTGTGCTCCTCCTCTCTCCTTCCAGCAGGGTGAGAAGCTGGGATGCACAACAGGAGGGAGCGTCCCTCTAATACTTAAGAGTCTTACCGCATCTTTAAAGCAGGGATGGGACAACTGTGGGACGCCAGATATTGTTGGACTGCAGTTTCCAGCATACCTGGCAAATGGCCATGTTAATTGGGGCAGATGGAAGTTGTAATCCAGCAACATCTGGTGGAACACAGGTTCCCCACCCTAGGCTTAAAGAAAAACTAGTTTAGAACTGAATGCAAGATCTCCTGAGTATACTGTTATTCATTATGATGTGCACCACTGCTGCATTTTTAAACATGTAAAGACTTGTTTTACAACATGTCGTCAAACAATGCTATAACTTGAAAGTACTCACATCACATCGGCTGTGTGTTTATGAGTAAAAGCAAGAAGGTCAGCAGCTCGACCAGTTCCCTCAAATACTACTATTGGGACAGCAGGTTTATCCGTCACGTATTCCCGCACTGTCAGGATCTCATTGGGACCACCTTCCACCAGCAGACCAACTAAAGGTACTCCTTGGCTCATTCCTATTTCATAGAATCATAGAAAAAAGTGAGTCAGAATTGGACCCCCGGCTCCAGCCAGCTCCACTCATGTAATCCCCAACATGTGGTTGTCCAACCCACACGTTTTCAAACCACACAGAAACTATAAGCAATCTTTTTGAAGGAAACAAGTATAGTTTATTTGCTTTGGTGTTCATAGCAGGCAGCTTATTAGATCATGTATTCCCACCTCATGTGAGAGAATCTACAGGTTTTAATAAGTAGTTTTATTGTTGATGAAAACCTTTTTGGACTGTTTACTTAAGAACTCAGTGGAAAAACCAAAACACATGGTGAGATCTACATAGATATTCTCAGTTAAAGCAATTTAATACTGGCTGGAAGCAAGTAGTTTCATAATAAATCCAATATAATGAATTTATTCAAAACAATTTAATATGAACAAGGAAAGGATATGCATAATATTAACACTGAACTATTTGTTTCTGGATCTTGTCTTTAATGCAAAATAAAAATACAAATGCACACTAAATTGTCATTAAAAGGCTCTGAAACATAGTGATCTCTTTCAAGAAACTGCAATTTTGTTGTAAGTCATCACCATTTTAATCAATTTATACAGAAATGAGAAAAGTACACAGCACAAGAGCAGTGGCTCCTAAACCAATAACTAGTTTCAAACTGTGATCTTTTTGAAGTCTGTGTAGTTTTATTTCAATAAATAAATAAAATAAATCACCTCTCAGAGAAGGGTTGGAAAAAAACATCCTTTTACGGAAGAAACAGAGAATCAGGGTTACTCACTAGTATGTATTTTCTGCAGTGACAGATACTTCTCCAGATTTCTCCTGAGCTTCATCTCATTGCCATACTTGCCGACTGTGCCATCATCAGCCAGTATGAAGTGGGAATGCATGCTGTTGAGGGTGCTGAGCTTGCTGAGCGGGTTGCTCAGTGTCTGATACAGGGATACTACCTGGGAAGAATCAAAGCAAAAACAGTCCCTCCAAGGCGTGGCAGCATGGTCATTACCAGATGGGGAGAATGCCCTCCTGGGCACATCCCACACCTGACAGAATATCTTCTTATCGTCTAATAGACAGCAACCTATTCTGAGTTATTGTCTCATGACAGTATTTTTGTGGTGAGATAGCAGATCTCACTGAAAAATTCATTTATTAAATTTATGATAGAAGCATAGAACACTACAGTTGGAAAGGGCCAGAGGGCTGTTAGGTCCACTCCCCTGCTCAGTGCAGGACTCCAAGTTAAACCACCCTTTTCAAATGGCTGTCCTGCCTCTCCGTGAAAAATGGCACTCAAGGCCATTGCTTGGTAGTAAGGCTTTAAAATAATAAATGGACCTTTTTGCTAAGTGATGTCACAATCTTCAGATCATGATCCTTTCAGATAGGTTTACTATTGCTTTGAAAACCCCATTTGTGATCCAACTCTTACGGCGTAATTTCCTGACCTATCCCCACATAATGGAATCATGATAGTCTAGAAGCAGTGGGACAAGATATGGTCGTCCAGCTATCAGAGCTTGGTCTTCCTTTTACATTGTTTTAAAAATTCATGGAAGAGATATGCTCTAGCAAGTTGTTATATCTTGAACAACGAGACAAAATAAATAGACACATAAGCAACAAAATGGCAGGTCATTACTTCAGGGTGTGGTTTCATAGTGTTTGCCCCCTTTCTTAGCAAGCAAGGAATTGCATAACCATCCCCTGCAAAATTTTAGTATTTCCTCAAGGGAAAAACTTCATGCATCACTCAGAAGTGATTCCCACTGAGTTCAAATCTTTCCCACAACATTACTACCATACCTAATTTTGGACATCACAAACTAGACCTATTTTGGGAAGAAGGAGGAAAATGCATACTGTTCTTTTGCCATAAAGGAAATGTATGCTTTAAGATTTCTTTTTCAAAAGCAGATAGTTTAAAATCTACCATTATGTATAAAAAGGTAAAGGTAAAGGTTTCCCCATGACATTAAAGCCTAGTCATGTCTGACTCTAGGGGGCAGTGCTCATCTCCATTTCCTGGCCGAGGGAGACAGCGTTTGTCCGCAGACAGTCTCCGTGGTCATGTGGCCGGCATGACTAAACACCGAAGTGCACGGAACGCTGTTACCTTCCCACCGAAGTGGTACCTATTTCTCTACTTGCATTTGTATGCTTTCAAACTGCAAGGTTGGCAGGAGCTGGGAAGGAGTACGGGAGCTCACCCCACCTGCAGATTCAAACTGTTGACCTTTTGATCAACCAGCCCAGCGCCTCACCAGTTTAACCCACTGCGCCACCGCATCCCTACCATTATGTATAAATATGTACAAAACCTACATTAAGTTATAGGTAGATTTTCCAGTTGACTACAGAAGGGAATGTGAACAGGTCCAGAAGCTAAACTTTTAAATATAGAACTATTAATACTGTGAATTTTATAATCTATGAACTTTTAACAGATTGCTATCATTGGTCTAAAGATATATCATCTTCAGTAAATGAGCAATTACCGCAGCCTTGTGGTATTTGACAACTGGCCTAGCAGCCTTAGGCAATCAGAAATTTAATTCCAGCAGCTGAGGGGTATGGCAACGGATGGATGAGTTGGTCTGTTGGTCCCTGCAGGTCACAGCAGAAAACTTAGAAACCAGGAGGGCTGACAGAGCTGCAGCTAATTGTTCCATTTCTCATCTGCTTAATAGAATGGCATTTTATTTTACTAGAATGGTAAGAAGCTAGCAACCTGTTTAACCATGCTAGCAACCTCTTAGGTGGCTAAAGAGTTTATTTACAAGCCTGAGTTTCTTTATCATAACTAAGCTTTAATACATACATTTTAGCATATATCTAAAACTTGGAGTTAATGGTGTACAAATTGTTGCAAACACTTTATAGCTTAACATTTCCACCATAATTAACTCCACAGTAAAGCTCCCAAAGATAAAAGTTGGACTTAGTTCTTCTGTATGTAAATGCCTACTGAAATGAATGATCAAAGGTAAAATTCTCAGCTGCTGTGTAGATTAAAGCACAAACCTTATTTTATGATCCCCTATCTTGAAAGTACATCATAATTTCCTATTTAAATAGATTGAAAAGGGACACGATAATAAGGCTGTTTCCAATTTGGAAGCAGGACACATGCATTTAAGAAAGACAAACAAACACCCTTCTATTGCCCTGGAAATAAGATTTAAATTATTCATAAATGCATATATATGATATTTGTTTTAGGAGCAATGCCTTTCATACAGCTCCAGAGTAAACCTTGCTACTGATAATCTTCAAATTTACAGGAGTTGTGACCCAGATGTACTCCCATATGATTATATGAGAACCATTTTAATGGACAGAGTAAACATGGATCATAAGACTCAAGTTCAAACTACATCAACAATAAACCTTACCAAATTACTTTGACACTTTTTCTCAGTTTCCAAGATATTTTACAATGCTAGTTTAAGGGTAGAATAAGGACAACTTTATCTATGTCTAGAAGGAAAGCAAATTACATATACAATAATCAAGCAAGGAGAGGTTGAACATAAGAACAACCATGCTGGGTCAGACCAAGGGTCAATCCAGTACAGCATTTTGTTTACCCCAGTGGTTTTCAACCTTTCAACGGCTGGGAACTGGCAAAAACAGGAAAACTACCTCAGGGACTACTGAGGCACAAATAAAAAGCACCATACACATAATACAGTATTCTATGCATTAGTTTCCAAACACAGTACCAAAAAAATTTTGAAAATTCTCCAAAACAACCAGAAACCGAGCAACAAAAAATACCAACCAAAGAGCAAAATACCAGCTGCTCCCAGCCGCCTCCCAGTGAGCCATCTCTCCCCTGCCTGGCCCCCCTGGTGGCACTGGCGCACCCCCCACAAATGCAGTCCTAACCAAGGAAGAGGTGCACAGCCCTCTCACTGGTCCATGGCGAGAGGGATGCAGCTGCCCCATGGACATTTCCTACAGACCAGCGCCAGGCCACAGAACAGTGGTTGCAAACCACTGGTTTACACAATGGCCAAACAGGAAACCCACAAGCAGGACAAGATCGCTGTTGCACCCGTGTTCTACAGCAACTGGGTATGTGGGCATACTGCCTCTGCTAATGCAGTATAGAGCCTTCAGGACTAGTAGCTTTTGATAGCCTTCTCCTCCATGAGTAAAGTAAGCCCAATACTCTTTCGAAGCCATCCAAATTGGTGTCCAACTTCTTGCAGAAGTAAATGGCAGCTATGCTCTCGGTGAAAAAGCACTTCCTCTTATCTGTCCTGATTCTCCCACTAAGCCATTTTAAAGGTTGATTCCAGGTTATAGCATGATGGGAAAGGGAGAAAAATATCTCCCTGTCTACATACATTATGTATTTTGTACACCTGTGTCCTGCCTCCCCGTACTTGCCTTTTCTTCCATAGTAAACAGTCCTAGATGTTCCTCGCAAGGCAGTCGCTCCAGTTCCCTGATCATTTCAGTTGCCTCATTCTGCACTTTTTCCACCCCTACAATATCCTTTTTTCAGATGTGGTGTCTAGAAGGGTACACAGTATTCTACGTGTGATAGCTCATAGATTTGTAAAAGGGAGTATGGTCTTGACAGCTTTATTGTCATTAACGAATTGGGTCTAACAACAAGTCTGCCTCTTCCACAGCAGCTCCACACTGGGTTGACATAATTGTCAAGCTGCCCATTAAAACCCCAAGATCTCATTCTTGGTCAGTCACAACTAGCTCAACTTGTGTCAGTATATACTTGACATTTTTGTCCCAACATGCATCAATTTACCCTGCAAACAGTATTTTCCTTTTATTGCCCATTCTCCCCATTTTTGAGAGAAGCGTTCGAAGCTCATCATAATCCCCTTTTGCTTTAACGACCTTTATTGCCACTTCACTACTCAGCCCAGATTTATTATAATTAAATTGAAAAGTATTGGTCACAATGCAGATCTTTTATGGGACCCTACTGTTTGCATCTCTCCATATGTATTCCTATACTCTGTTTTCCCTGACACATCTCCTACTCCAGAGGAGATCTCCTGAGCAAGAGGGAGAAAGCCCATCTATCTTTCCCCTCATGCTTTAGGGGATGTCTCTGAGAGCTGTGGCAAGTTGAAATTGGCTCATAATTGCAGCTGTAAATGAGAGGAGCCCCACTCCTACCCACAGTGTCCCCCTGGATACCACCAGGAGGAATTGGGAGGGGGCAAGGAGGCAACGAAGAAACTAAGCCCCCCCGATGGGCTCAGTCCTCTCCCAGGCTCACCATTGGTGCTTGGCACATAATGGCAACTCATCATTATGATTTACCACAGTGGGTTACCATTATCTTTGCATGTGCCCATTCTAGGTGAACTTCTGTTACTGCAGCTTAGAGCAATCTTCAAGCATTTTGTGGGGATTTAATTCTCTTCAGTCACCCCTTTCAACTTTGTTTTACTAGGTCTCTTATTTGAGGGAAGCTTCCTGTTTTCTTAACAAATGTAACTTTGTTTGATTTTGTAACAAATTTCCAATAATAATATTTTGGAATATTAATAAAATTAATGCTAATAAAAGTAATATTTGATTGATACTAAATATAATTTAATATTAATACATATTAAATCTGGCAGCAATGGCATCACTGTTTCCAATTGAATCAACAACATGTATCTCTCCTACTAGCTCCTGGATGACATCATTTTGAATTAAAACCAAAATTGCCTCACCGCTGGTCAGTTTCATGACCAACCATTCTAGAGTCATTTAAGGCATCTAGAAAGTCACCTCTTTGTCATGACTGGAACATGTATTCATCCAATCAGTGTGGAGATAATTGAGGTCACCCCTTGTTACAACACTTCCTTGCATAGAGGCTTCCTGATTCCATTTTCCATCTCAAGTTAACTCTGAACTTTCTGGTCTGGAGGACAATAGCACACCACTAAATTAGTTTGGAGCCAGGTATTGTCACTGCTAGTGCTTCCGTGGGGGAGTCTGCCCCTTTTCTAGTGGTTTCTAGGTTTTTTAGACTGTTCGATATTATCTCCACTGACTTACAGAGCAACAGCTCCTCCAGGTTGTCCATCCTGGTTCTTCCTATAAAGTTCATCTCAAGAGGTGACTGCACCCCCAAACTTTCCTCCCATTCCACTCTCCTCCATGAGCTAGTGGGCTCATATTAGCTTCAGGCACTTTTGAATTACTCTGATTGCTTCATTTCATTCCCCCTCACCAGATATAAATCAGTAAGTTGCAATTTATTATGTAAAAAGTTACAACCAACCAAGTCTTATTTCAGGCTAAACAGCAGGTTATCTTGCAAAGCATTGCTACAAAAGCCTCAACTTGTTCAATATCCTGCCAAGCCAGCTTCTGATGCTAATACAACAAAATAGAGATTTGGCATCAAACTGATGAGAATGGCTGAAGTACATGCATTTTGGCCACAGGTGCTAACAAAGCTTCAAGATGGAGCCTTCCCTTGCGGAGTCTATTTGGCAGCCTTTCATTTAGAAATGGATCCTCCTTTGTCATTTAAGGTCTATTTCTGGTAACCCTTAACACCCACTCCTTTCTCCTTCTCCTCTTTGCTCTGGCTCAGCATTCCCATAATTTCACAAGTGCCTCTTGGACTATCAGTGCCATTCTTACCTATGTCCAGTGCAGTGGCCTTGAAGTCTAAGCTGCACGTTCCCTCTCTTTGTCTGGTTCAGAATCAAATCGCACTTCTTTTTAGGGCACTTCCACAGAGGTGCTGGGATAAAGACCTACATCCAGTCTGACTCTGGGACAGGGGCAGCCCTAGTCACTTCATGAGAAGCCATAAACTAGGGCAGTGGGGGTGACCCTATGGCATGTGTGCCACAGTGAGCACCCCGAGCCCTCTCTGTTGGTATCCGAGCCCAGTCAACCCAGCATCGCCCCAGCAGCTGAGCATTGGATAACAGCACACAGAGGGCCCATGCGCATGCTCAGAAAGGAGTAACAGTGCCAGGTAATGACATCACAGGCTGCGACTCATTAGCCGCAACTAGTCTGAGCTTTCACATGGCCAGTCAGTGCGCCGCCAATGAGAGAGAGAGAGAGAGAGAGAGAGAGGGAGAGAGAGAGATTTGCTTAGACTGGCTGTGAGTTGTTTTTTCTAAACTAAAACCTCAGTTTTCAGGGTTTTTTGTAGTGTTAGCACTTTGCGATAAATAAGTGGGTTTTGGGTTGCAGTTTGGGCACTTGGTCTCTAAAAGGTTCTCCATCACTGAACTAGGGAATAGATGGGTGGGGGGTGACCCGATTGGTTCTTCTGGCCCTCGAAGCAGCTTTGATGCCACTGAACATGCCTTACTTTTGGAGAGTCTCTCTGTAACGGGACTAGAGGGCACAGTAATGCAGTGGCACCTCCATTCTGGGGCATGGGCACAAAAGGTGTTACAAGTGGAGGCTTTTGTTCCATCCTTAACAACTGGGTGTCTCGTCCCTCATTCTTTGCAACATTTGTATTGTCAACACAAGGATAACATAACATTTCTACCTCTGTTTTCCAAAAGCTGATCCCAGGAAGGCAAAACAAAATACAAAGGGTTCATTAACTCACATCTTTCCCAATTAGGTCCTTCTGGTTTTCAATTATACCCCAAGGGGGGATCCCAACAGCACAAATCTTTCTTAAATGTTGAGAAGCATGGATTTTCAATGCATCTCCCACATGCCTGGACACTCCTAGACAAAGTAATTGTGATTAGGAAATAGTTGGCATTTACCAATAGAGGCATTTGCAGCAGGACTCTGTGTGTGTGTGAGAGAGAGGGGGTCTCTATCCCTTAAAAGAAGCCGTGCAACTGGTGGAATCACTTCAGAATTATTATAGGTATTCCACATGTAAATATTCCACAATAACGTGCAGTTGTTTCTTGGGTAGTGCACATAAGCCAACTAGATTTCTTCAAGATAACAGTCCTATTCCCAGAAAAATGAAATATTACCTTGCTGAAATCATGCAGTATTTTAACATCATGCATCAAAGCAGGTAGCAAGTGCTGTGTTGAACATAGATGCAGAAATGCTATTGCTGCACATTGGATCTCTGAACCAGTAGCCAAGAGTGTGTGTGTGTTTGTGTAAAAGCCGGGCGTTTTGTCTGAGTTTCTAAAGTGGGAATTGTTTTAAGTTCACAGCAGCATTATCACTTAAGGTGCATGCTTTAATTTTGTACCACTTATACGCTTCATAAAGTGTGATACTGTGAGTGTTGCCCCAACATCCTGTCTGAAAGCTGAGAGAGCTGCTCCCAGACATTGTAGAGAGGACTGAGCTAGCTGCACCTATGATCTGACTCCATGCTTGACAGCTTCCTGTGTTTCTATGCTCCTAAGAGATCACATTAAAGTAGAAGAAGAAAAAAGACTGTACCAGTGTTGGTGCCTTCTGTTAGTATCCATGCTCCTGTGGTCTCAGCAGCTTTGGTCAAGCCTTTGCTGAAAAGCTGTTTAAGTTTAGATGGAAGTTTGAAGTTCTGGATGCCACCATGAACAGAAATGACCAGTTTTGGCAATTCCATCTGCCATTCTTTCACCATGAGTTGCAGCAACTGATCCGGTTTGGTATCATAAGAGGTTCTGATATACTGGAATAGAGGGACATAAATAGCCATGGTTGTTAGCACATGTACACAAATGTTGATGAGAAAAGAAAACATTACTTTTTCAGACAGAAGATAGTGCCTCAATTCTAGCCTCTTTGGATGCAAATTTAGTTCATTGCATTGTATTTCTATATTCCACAATACCCAAGGATCTAGATGTGATAAAAGATAATATAAATGTTTTGCCATTCGAGGATTTAAAATAGTTTGAAAACAAGGTAAATGTGATTAACAATAAAATTGCCAGAACCAGATTAAGAAAAGCAGCAGCAACGATGATGACTCTAAAATGCCCCATCACATGTCATCAAAAGTCTGGGAACAGAGGAAGCATTAGGTTGCTGCTAAACATATGATAATGTTTGTGCTAGATCATCCTTACTGGGGTGAGCATCCCACAGTCAGGGGGCCACCACTAAGAGGGTCTTCTCCCTAATTGCTACCCTCCAAACTGGCTCCAGAGGAGGAACTCTGAGGACAATATTGAATGTTGATCATAGTGTAGGGGTATTTAGTAGCTTTCATATATTTTTCTCTGTGGGAAAATAAGTAAGCTTACAGAAATATTCAGACACTAAAATCACAGTCAGCATAGTCTAATGTTGCCTCACTTTTTCCTTCCTGACATAAAAACAAAAATGGAAATCCATTTATCATGGTGGAATAAAAAAGGTGCAATCACTGACCTTATTAGTCTCTATCTGTCTCATCACTTAGTTGAACATGGTTTCTCCCTTAATTTAAAAGCATTGCACTTGAGTTGATATGAAATAGCAGGGACGCTTCTATAATGCTTTATCTATTTCATACATGCATGTCCTTCCTGGATATTGCATTCCTCAAATCATAAGGAACCTGGCGCAAACTCAAAGTTATCCTTTCAAGGAGGTAGCCATGTTCGTCTGTTGTAGCAAAAACAATTAATGTGCCCAAACCTTGGCATGGTAGGTATGATCACTATCTTGGAAATTGATAGTACCAAATGCATCAGTGGGGCTTGTCACTGTGTCCATTTCGACAGACCATTCCTTATTCACATTCGCCTTTGCAGGCCAATCATAATCTAACCCAATATGGTCACCAATTAGTCGTCCACAGCAACATCTCAAATAAAAGAAAACAAGAAAGACACTAATTACAGACTCCGTTCAATGAATGATGTGCTAGTGCGTACTATATATGGACACTGAGTTGCTCACATTAAGGTATTGTACTATAATGCTATTATATATTTCACATGTTTAACTGAAATCCTGAAAAAATAGTCCACCTATCTTGATCAATATCTTTTGATGCCTGGAAGGCCTTAGAATTGCAACAGAGATACACATCCAACATTATCACCTCAGGTATTTCTAAATCCTCAATGAATTCAAGGAAAAAATGGGGAATTTTTCAGTCTTTGCTACATAGAACAATAGGATTTCTATAGCTCCAGTCTGTCTCAACCATTCTGTTATGAAGGACAAGCAGATGAACTTCATTGTGCTTAATGGAAATACATGAATAAAATATTCCCGTTTCTTAAGTATTAATAGCAACTGGAGAGCTGCCTGATTTGGATCAGGACCACCAGGGGAGGAGCAGTAACCAATATAGTCCCCTTATTCAAATCCTCCCTAAACCTGCTATTTGTCCCATGGAACAAATGCCAGCTTCAGAAGTGTGTGTGTGTGTGTGTGTGTGTGTGGGAGGGGAGTTTAAACCTTCACCTGACCACTCCAGCCATTGATTCTACATTTGAATCAATGGCTATTATTCAGACTTAAAATTAAAACTGGAGATTCCATTAAAGAAAATCTCTTACGTATAATTTAGTTTTGCACTAACTTGTCCAAAGACACCAGGAGAGCCTCCATTGCTGAATGAGGCTTTCAGCCCAGGTTTCCTTGGTTTAAGTCCAGGCCAGAGATCGGCAGCTTGTGGTCCTCCTACAACTCACATTAGCACTAGCTAGCATGGTGAGGGCTGATGGGTCAAGAAACTGATGGGTCCAGAAACTCTGGAAAACCACAATTTCCCCACTATTGTTATAGAGCAAACCATCTCTAACCTATGCGACTTGGCCTACGGACAGCTATTTAATCATTTAAACAATAGGTCCCCGCGGCACATGTATGTCTTTGCAGCTTTGCAGCATGTAGCTTAACATCCAAAGGAGGATTTTTAGCAAATCTGTTGATAGCTAACGAAATATACAATTACCAGTTTTATTACTAGGGCAGACATATATAGTAATTGCATCCTCAATTGCCCATTCTTTAGTTTGCAATTATCCGCAGACTTACCGGATTAAATTCTGGCATACTTGGCATCCTTCAGGACATCTAGAAAAAAGCATCCATTAGAATGACACTTCCATACTTGAATTATTTTACATGAGGGTGTCATTCATAAAACACACTGCATGCTGTTTAGCAAAAGACAATGGATTTTTTGCTTGCATTGCGCACTGAAACTTTGAGCATAGCTGTGAGCTGCATTATCCATTATAGGTACCAGCCACTGGTGCAGGGAGGACAATAGAGAATGTATGGCCCCTGTTTCATCTTTCATCATGTACAAGCATAGATTGTGCTGACCAGGGCTGCTGTTAATTTCAGAGAATCTCCCGGGACCTGCATTCTAGTGGTAGATGGGGCCAAGGCAAAAGGGGTGAAACCAAAAATACAAGAAGTGACAGGCTATGTACTGCCAGTGACTGCATTTAAGCATTGAAGAATGCACAGAAGGCAGAAAACCACCAAACAATTGGCCATCAGGAGAAAGGGATGAGACCTGTGAAAGGACATATGGCCAGCTGGGGAGCCCTGGAGGGCGAAATTGGAACCATGAGAGGGCCAGATTTGACCTCCAGGCCTGATGGTCTCCGGGATTCCTGTAGGGTCTGCATGCATAACTTTAGTCCCCCACAGAGCCCCATGTATGCAGCCCCAAATGCTGTTGAACTGGTTGACTTTTCAAAAAAAGATGTGCTGCTTCTTTTACATGCAGTGCCAGACAGAAGCAGCTCATTTCTACATGCAGACAATGCTTGCTAGACTAAGACATCTAACTCCAAGGAAAGAAATATCATGTTGCACAATTTTATTTTAAAATTCTTTGCAAAGGCAAGTCATTCATTACAGTGCTTAATTGCAAAAACAGCACAAGAGAGAATCACAGTTTTCAATTGAAATCTGGTTCATGTTAGTACCAAAGGTTCCTTAGAGAAAGGTTCATATGTGAAAATGCAAAAGTAACACCAGAACAGCTTCAAAATCAGACAAAAAGGTCACTGTTTCTAGTTTCCATTTTCTAAATATGGTTACAGTATTGATTTAAACAATTAATAAGAGGTACAGCATTGAACCAACTCAAATCATTAAAGAATTTATATCATATCAAAGGATGCAAAAATCAGAGATCTTAAAATCTTTATAGTATCAGTTACATGCAACATGTAAAATGGCAATCTTAAATGTAAATTACCCTTTAATGAAACTAGTTTTAAATTTGAGTTGGTGTGTTATCTCTATTGGCCAATGCATACAACTGAGCAAATAAGACAGTTGTCCTAGGCAATTGAACCAACTTGACATAAAACATAAAATAGTTAATTTTTACATTCCCTATTTTTTTTCACCTTGGCTGTATGCCAGATCTCCCATAACCTTTCTGCATTGTAGCTGCCACTCCTAGGACCCTCTAGATGCTTTGGGCTTCAACTCCCGTCAGCCCCAGTTAAAATGCCTAATGGTCAGGAATACCGTTGGCTGTAGTCCAAAACATCTAGAGGATGCCAGGTTGAAAAAGGATGCTTACAGTGCCACAGAAATGTCTGTGTGTCTTATAATCCCTCAAGTGACTTGTGACAAAGGTATTTATTTTCTTCCTTCAATATTTTAGCAAACTGTAGAGTAGCCCAACATTCCATTCAATTTATGTAATCTATCTAGAGATCCTGATTGCATATAAGATGGAATATATTTTTATTATATACTTGAATAAATAACCAGGTGACCTTCAGATTTTTTGGACTTTATCTCACACCAGCCCCAGCTAGTTTGGCCAGTGGTTAAGAAAGATGGGAGTCCAAAACATCTCAATGTACTTGCTAGTACAATTAGAGAATACTCATGGAATATATACTGGTAATATATCACTTGAATTATCCTTTATAAAATGATACTCTATGAATCCTACCACTTTAAGGATAGGAAGAAAAAGAGCAGGAAGTTACAAGTTAAAATATGGTTACAATCTGTTCTCAAGAGTTGTATTTATCTTTGCAGCAGATGGAAATGTTTGTATTTGCTCATATAATGCTGACATTTAAAAACTGTGAATTACATGTTCTTTATAGAATTTCCATCTTCTTGTTCTATCTGCTATATTGTACAATCCAGTCAAATCAAAACAAAGTACCTGTGAGGATCTCTGGAACTTGGTATGATTTTAGCACATTCTCTTTTACTGAATACGCCTTCAATCCAAGATTTCTGGGACTAAACAGAAATATTACATTTCAAAAAGACATATCTATACAAAGACAAATTATTTACATATGCACTATCTTTTGAAATTCCCATCTACCAACAATTCAGAAACTTCTTTAAATACCCTTGACCTACTATTAAAATGGAAAAACAGTCAAGTAGCAAAAAGCAATAGCGGCTTCCAAATGAACTCCCTCATACACTCAGTGAGTGAATGGCTACTGATCCCATTTACAAGCTATCCACACCTTCCCCACATCCTGAGTGCCGTATGAGGTCTACTGGATATCTGAAAAATTATAGCAAATGAGATAGATTTACTGATATTTAACTTAGTAAGTAAACACAGTTCAGCACAAAGCATCCAGAAACCTCTACAGAAGCTGCTCATTCAATCAGGCTTCTTAATGAAGTCAGAGTAGAAAAGGGATGGAGTGTTTGATGGCCTGAGAGGAGTAGATGGATGCTTCCTGCAATCAGCAGGATGGCCTGCCAGAATACTTCCTGTTCACATGTTGGGGTGACATGTACTTGTGCAGAGGGCAGTTATCTGTACAACAAAGTGTGGGGCTGGATCACTAGCCCCATCCATGGCATGAGGCAGTCTGGCTAGTTTCATGCCCACCTTACATATGTTGAGCACTGGCATCTGACTCATCTATTTGCCCCATGCACAGAGTGTCTTTGCCTGATTTTTAAGGACTTGCTCTTTGCTTCTGTTCCACAGTCACATTCAGCAACACACACACACACACACACACACACACACACACACACACAGAGCAATTTGGGCAGCATTTTTGGAAGGTTGAGGGGAAGAGGAGGAATGGAGGTCTGCTTCTATTACCCAGTTGCACAAACTTAAGTATGGATCTAACCCGAGATTATTGAATGGGTATACTGTTTCCTTGCTGTACAGACTAGAGCCAAGTACTTTAATGTACAAGATGCAATCAGATACAATGATGAGCCAAGGTTTATTGTTACAGGAATGAGCTGCAGCAAACCGTGGGTTGGCATACTCATAAGGAACTGAGAAGGTTTTACTGTCATTGTGGATTAACCACCATTTAAGACCAAATCACAACAAACTGTGCTTGATCCTAACAAGGTATGAAGCTGACTTGTTTAAAACATAGTTAAGCTTAAACATAGTTTGTCTGAATTTGGAAACAATAAGAAGCTGTGTTTAATGAAACACAGAAGTGAAAGTTCCCAGTCTTTTTCTTAGAGTCATGCTGCAGTGTGTGAGGCAAGATAAAAGCCTGAAACTATCTGTGGCTGTTCCTGTTACAGTAAACCATGGATGGCTGTATGTCCAAATACAGCCACCGTGTTTATGCTTTTTGATGCATGAGTGAAGTGCAAATGCTTTAATTCTTCTAATAAACAGAAGATTTTTAAATTGTTGTATTAAACTCAACATATTAGTTACTTAATGTCACTCAGAAGAAGCATTCTCTTTTAAAACTAAATTAAACCTCAATTTGCTCATTTACTCAACCATAAATGTGTTGCCAAACATAATTACTTCAAAGCAAAAATCATGACTAACAATTATCAAAATGCTTGAGGATTCAAATCACTGGTTATTGCTTCTTGGCCGTTTCAATGCCTACAGATGGTTGCCTCTAGAGTAGCTGCTTCTGCAGAATGAATAGGGGTGTTTTAGTTTTTTCAAAGCAGAGAATCCCAACATCAGGGGTGAGGGTGGCATTGACAGTGTTGTCATTTTTTTCATCGTATAAATGTAGATTGAGGCTTCTTGCAGGTGCTAGCCTTTTACTTCTATCCTCCTTAGCCAGGTACCTGCTCTTACACCAGCAGCTACAGCCCTCTTGAAGCTGCCCTCTCATGACTAGCAAATTAAGTTATTTCCCCAAGATTGTTTTAAATTATTATTAAAACTTGGGGATTGATGAGAAGGGTTAAGGAAGCATTTGAAAAAAACATAGGCTTCGGGAGCAATCCTACCCATGCTTCTAATATTTTGCATGTTTCTAAAGGTGCAGTGCTGCACATGTTTGGGCAGGAAAAAAGTCCTACAATTCCTAGCATTCTCCAGCCAACATGTTGGGCACACTGGGAGTTCCAGAGCTTCTTTCTATCTAAACATGACACAGCTTTTCTGCCTTAATGACAAACCCTCCCAGCAGGTTTACAATCTAACAGGAGAGGATAATTTGTGGCCCTCTCTAGGTTATGATCCATAATTCCCATATCCTCTTATTGGCTTTGCTGGCTGGAGCTGGTGGGAAATGTAGGCTAAACTATTTGGACGAGTCCACCACTCCTCTAAATAAGCAAGTACATGAAAGAGAGAAAGGGGGTAATTGGGTAAGGGAAGACAATGAAGATACTTTGGTATGAACTTGGTGAATTAGTGAAGGCCTGGGAAAGCATGAGCTTTAAGGTACTTCCTAAAGATGGCTGGGGCTGAATCATGTGGATGTTTTCTACATGTATATGAAGGTATTTTTGTATGGTGAAATATTCACACATGCAAGCCATCACCTCCTCTGGACTCATGCTATCTTACTTCATCAGGGCAAAGATTAAAAACAAAAAGCTGCTACAAGAAGGCAGGTCATGTGCATCAGATCTTGACATGGTGTTTGTTCGGCCTGATCTCATGGGTTGGGTTTTCCAGCTTCAACCATGCTTCCTTTAGCAACTGACATAAAGCTGTTCCTAGATCAGAGTCAAAGCTTTTTGATGCTGTTGGCTAATTAAGCACTGGTAAAGGATAAAATGGATCTAGGAGGTTCCAGACATAAGTTCATTTAATTCAAGTCTGCACAAGTACGGACATGAACAAGCATTGTTCAGAAACTGACTGGTGAACTGGAAAAAACTAGATTACAGTACAAATATAAGCATTAGTAGTCCAGAACTTGTGGGTTAAGATAGTGTTGCCTACTAGCTAGCTTCAAAGTCAGCCAGACCCAGTTTTTCAGTGCCAGATAAAAATATTTAATGGTTTTTTAAATATTTAAAACTATAACTATTACTAATTAATAACTATTAAATATTTAATAGTTTAAATTCTGCCCAATACACAATATCATTTTCATGATATGAATTTGCCAGGCTTCCCATGAAACAGAATAATCCCAGACAATACTTTAGTGGTGCATTTTAATCTACATTTATACATACACACAAACAGATATACTAGGCAAGGTTATGCCATGAGATTTTCTTGGTCAGCCAAGTAGTTAACACATGAAACCATAGAAAGATGTTTCCCCTTTTCTGTAGGAAAGGGAACAAATATAATCAAAGAACAATATCAAACACTGTCAGACCATCTATAACAAAGTCCTAGAGAACCTTTAAACCTAATATTTATTGTGGCACACATTTTTGTAGATTAGCATTCGCATCAGATGAATGAAATGTTATCTTCGGTTGGCAGATATATATCTGAATCTTGACCAGATACACACACCTATATATCACTAGAGAAAGGGCTATGAAATGGAGAAGATAAATACAATACTTAAGCAATTAATTGGAGATCATTTCACCTTTGCTATGCTAATATTTACAGTGGTAAAGCAAGCCTAGGAAAATAAAACTTATGGACAAATAGAATCAACCTCCTTGTCTCTGAAATTCTTTTGCTGAAGAATAGAAACTTTCAGGACAACAGGAGATTGTTCTGGGAGACTGAATGCTGCAGTTCCTAGAGTCTGGTATGTGCTCATTTATTTTGCTTATTGGAATATATATTTTAGGCTGCTTTTAAAGGTGGATACTTTTGTATGGAGGTTGAACTATTTGCCCTCTGTAGAAAGTGGGTCATTGATATAGAATTACACATTTAATGTCCACAACTGAAGCTGCATAAGATTTTGAATACCTTGGCTCAGTCATAAGTTCAAAGGAAGATTGTGGCCAAGAAATTAGAAGAAGACTGAGATTTGGAAGGGCAGCAGTGAAGGAACTAGAAAGATCATCAAGTGTAACAACATTTCACTGGAAATCAGGGCCAAGATCATCCACACTATTGTTTTCCCAATCACTATGTATGGGTGTGAAAGCTGGACAATGGACAAAGCTGACAGGAAGAATATGGAAAACATGGTGGTGAATGAAAACTTTGCAAATACCCTAGAGCAGTGATGATGAACCTTTTAGAGACCGAGTACCCAAACTGCAACCCAAAACCCACTTATTTATTGCAAAGTGCCAACACTGCAATAAAACCTGAATACTGAGGTTTTAGTTTAGAAAAAGCAACTTACAGCCCATCCAAGCAAATATATATATGCAGCTCATTGACTGGCCATGCAAAAGCTCGGACAAGTTGCGGCTAATGAATTGCGGCTTGTGATATCGTCGCCTGGCACTGCTACTCCTTTCCGAGCATGCGCATGGCCCCTATGTGCGCTGTTATCCAATGTTCGGCTGCTGGGGCAATGCTGGGCTGACTTGGCTCGCATGACAACTGAGAGCACTCTGTGTGCCTGCTGCAGCATGGATGCCATAGGTTCGCCACCACTGCCCTAGACCAACAGAAAAATAAATAAGTGGGTCCTAGATCAAATGAAGCTAGAACATGCCTTGGCAGCAAAAACAATAAAATTGATACGGTTATGCTTTGGGTAAATTATGAAAAGGCAAGACTCACTGAAGAAGGCGGTAACATTATGGAAAGCTGAAGACAGAAGAAGAAGGGGAAGAGCAAATATGAGATGGATTGGTTGCATGAAGGAAGCCATGGCCTTGAATTTACAAAAGTTAAGCTGGGCTGTCAAGGACAGGACATTTTGGAAGGTATTCATTCATATGATTGTCATAAGTTGGGATGACTTGATGGCATGTAACAATAACAGAACGCAGCTTATTGCCGATATATCATGCTGTAAAATAAAGCAAATGTATCTCTGATGTTGGAGCGGATGTAATTAGGACCTATGGCAGTGTTGCCTAACTGGATATAGAGATAAAGCTGACATCTCAGTTGGTAGCAGAGTGTGGTATTTGTTAGTGTGAGTAGCTGTTGGTAGCCAAGGCCCATGTAAAGCACATATCATTCTCCACAATGTACTACAGATCACTGATGATACACTGAGTGGTTTTAGCTGCCACTTTCCCTTCTGGGTTTATGCTGCCATATCAATCTGAAGAATGACCTGTTTTTTGTTTCCCACTTTCTTGGATGCACATTATAGTTTAAGAAATGGTTGGTGGAAATCCATACGGGTCACAATCTGGCAATGGGTCTTGTGCAGTGTTCAGGGTGGGAGCTAGAGGTGTGTAGCATTTAGTTGATTCCAATAGGAACTTGTGCTTATATGCTGATTGTGCAATTGCACAGTAGTGTCCCAAAAGTGAACCTGCTACATAGACTGATCTAGCCTTCAAGTGACACGTGAGATGAAAGTTGTTGAAGCTGACTTTTTCTAGGGCCTCATCCCTTTGGCTGATATAATGAAGAAGCCAAAAATATATTCAGGGTAGAAGAGAATGCTTTAAGTACATGAACTGAGTAAATATTGTTCGGTGTAAGCTACAAATATTCTGGCATATTGTGGATCTAAGGAAGAAGAGCCTTTAACTGAAAAAGAAACTATGTCTCAAAGATACAATGAACTCTGCTTATACCTGGCACTAATCCTAGATTATTCCAGTCCTTTCCAATCATCACTTGCATATCTGGTTTCACATTAGGTGGTTTCATGGCAATACTTTGAAAAAGCCAGTGAAATGTTTTACTAATATTTGTACGTTGTAGCATCCTGTATCTTTTGGTAGCTAAGTCAGGGCTCTATTAATGTATTTCATGGTTCAGCAATGGGCTCTGCAGGAGTTATAGGTGCCTATTTTTCCCTAGATGAAGCTGAAAGTGTGTGATTGAAATAGATCCCAAATCCATGTCTTAAAGATCCATCCACTTGGACAGATTTGTCTGACAGCTGCTCTTCCTACTCCACACCCATGCTGCGACAGGCTAGAACACTTCAGGTGATCAAAATCAACTGATCCCAGCTTTTTTCCCACAAATGTTGCCTGGCTGATTAAAGTCCAAGAGGTAACTCTGTTTAAACTGATAGCAAATCTCTGCTGACACTTTTGAGAGCTATCATTTTCAGATTCATTTCAAATGAAAAGAGCAGAAGATGTTGCAATAACTGGCCAAGTCAGAAACCTTTTATTCATTTCTTACAAGGTGCAAAGGAGATTTTTGGTTCTGGTATATTATGAGCACTATGCTGAATTTTCTGGAACTGCACAAAGGCCTGTGAGCAATCTGGGGAAAACACAAAGGGAATGAAATCCATGAATGCCCAAATGCAAGTAAAGTAGGTAAAACTCAAAAGTGTTATTTCAGGGCAATCATTCTGAAATAACTTTGCCCAAAAAATCTGGATTAGCAGATTAACTCTCAGTTTAAATACTTCAGAAGCAAATGGCACTTATAATAAACCCATCCACAAACCGTTACTGGGTTTGGGCTGGTTATGGCCACTCAATCATGAACTGCTTCACAGGGTTACGCAAGAATGAATAAGAAAATGGTTATAAAAGTAATACTGACCAACAACCTGCTGCATCCCAGAAAAGTAAAGCTGCCCAGTTCTCTTCCTTCTTCCCAGGAGTGATTCTTAAACTGCACAAAATGCTTTGCGATGCACAGAGGAGCAAAGTAGCAATGAGGGCAGGTGATAGATTGAGACCCACACACATTTAACCACGATACCAAGCCGGCTCTCAGTTACAGAAAGAAGAAAGTTAATCTACCCAGAATTGCTTAGCTACGTGTTAGGACTTGGGACATGACCATTATGGCCAAATGGTCATGTCTAGCATGTCTAGGCTAGCATAGCAAATAGCTAGAGAAGGTAAATTCAAGGATGATCAATTTATAGGAAAATGGAGCTCTTCATTTTTGTTCTGTAGTAAAAAAAATCAAGGTGCAGTTCAACCTTATTCACTTTTAGAGATAATCTTGCATTAGCTTGAATGTAATGTTATATAATGTAATTATTTTATTATTCCTACTTCTGTAATCTTTCTAAAAAAGAATTGATAATTGTGCCATATTTCTGAGTTATCTTTTTTGTTTGTTTGAATTTGTAAAGAAAAGAGGATGGGTGAAAACATAAAATAGGAGAAAAATAATTGCAAATGCTATGTTGTTTATAGTATAAAGTGATGCTCAAATGACCACAATACATCCTTCCAGAATGAAAAGCCCTCATTCTTTTAAGCTAAATTACAAGCTGAAGCTAAATATGATCTCCTAGTGAAAAGGTACATCACACCTTATTAACCTGCAGTGGACAACATCAGTAGGGCCTATATAAATTGACAGAATATGTATAACAGGGAACATTATTTCAAGGAGTGAATATGAGTTTTAAACAAATTTTAAAAACACTGAAACATTGGTCTCCTGGGAGAAACTCAGGACAAACTGCACCTGAAGCATTAATTTAACATTGGTACACACAGCGTCAGAGTCAAGCCAAGGTTGGTGACTTTGCACAGATGTAGCAGCTAATAACTGCATATACACTTCAGTTACCCAATGGCTCAGCAACTCTTAAACATTCTTGATCTTGCAATTTAGTTTCACTATATACATAGGGACCAAATTTCTAGTAAATAATTTGGAATTGCAGTCATAGGATTGGGTCTACCCAAAAGTAAGATGTGTTGCAAATAAAATTGCCATATTAGCAATCCTGTTTATCTTACCTTTAAGTATTCCAAGATATGAAATTATTTATCTTTAAGTATTCCAGGATATGGAAAAGAACGAACCCTTGTACTCCACAACCTTTCTTTTACTGATTTCCTTTTGTCATTCTCTTTTTCTCCCTGATACCTGTGGAGATGAACCTAGAGCCCTGCTTGCTTTATAAAGGACTTTATTCTCTCTTGTTGCCTCAGAAGTTTAAGGGATAAACAGGATTTTTAACATGGAAGATGGCAATGAACATAACAGTTGCCAACTGCTTTCCGGACAGGCTTCCTGTGCATATAACAGCTGAGTCATAAGAATTTAGCAGGTGATGCTTTGTCAAGTACTAGAACAAAAGTAGTGGCAAAAGCTCCATGTATTCAATACATGCTTGATAACTCAGCTGCTAAAAATCAAAAGAGCCCTGCCAGAAAGAAAAGCAAACACATTTTTGGCAATCCTGTTGAAATCAACACTGCTGCAACCAGTGGTGCTAGGTAGCTTATTTAAAGGAATGTTCCTTCTTCCACCTACACAGAACAATCACCTTAACTTGTTTTGTAACTGAGAACACTGCAGTCTATTCACTTGAATAGCTTGCCAAGCCATTAATGCTATTATAAGTCTCTCCTCTTCACTTCACTTAAGGTCACAAAGACAACAGATTCAAAATATACAATCAGCTCACTGAAGTCACAGAAGGAAGAGGAAAAAAGAGGCAATTTATCATCCCCAAACACTGCTGTATCTACTCTCAGAGACCTTTGCTACACAGCTTTCTGCACTTCCTTGCTGTTTCAACATATGGTGGCAACTATGTAAGCAGGATTGCTAGGCCAGTGTGCAAATTGATGCTAAGTTAATTGCAGATGGGAAGAAAGAGCTAGCAATTCTGGGATGCTCCAATTTGATCAATAGCTGCTAGAATACGCTAAAAGTACTAGAAACTCCAGTCAAAACTCATCTAATTGACAGCTCAGCAGAAGACATTTTACCTTCACTTGAACTTTCATCTTGTCCGGTTGTTTCTCTCTTTCTTCTTGGCCTGGGACTCTGCAGGTTGAAGCTGCGCTCATAAACTAATGTTTTGCACTGTGATTTCCAGTCCCTGAAGCTCCTGCAGGAACACCAGTATAAGCAAGAGGAAAGAAAGTCCATTCAAATCTCAATATTTTACTTGATCCTTGGACTGCACTGGAGGATGGTTAATGTTCCACTTTCCCATATCAGCAGTTGGCAATGGTCTTTATGGCCTGGGTTCTTCACAGGACTCCGTAAGTTACATATGAAGACTCTGTCTTGCACAACATTTAAGTATTTAGGCCAACGTGCGTCATCCAATTGCAGTGGCTCTGCCTTATGTAGTTGGTTCTGTTATAAAAACCCAGCTGATGTTGCTCCACCCCAGATGAGACACTGTGCAATTTCTCACTACTCTTAGGTTAAAACAATAAATGAGAAAGAGTAAAGTTTCAAACCTTTTGGAACCTTTACTGAGAACTTGTCAAGCAGGGTTGAACTGGGCCAACCAGCTAGACTAATTGTTTTATGAGGATATGGCTACAGACACAGTTTTAGGATTCTCTGCAATACATGGGTTAGAAGCTAAGCAGGAAAATATATTTTACTTGAAGGTCATGAACTGCAATACAGAATGGGCTTGACTTGCACTTTTCAAAATGTAGAGATTGTTCAAGGAAAGAAAGGGAAGAGGAAAAGGAGTCTCAAATCGTTAAGTAACGTCGGTGTTATTTCTTCTCTGTTGGGGCATCATTCATCACTCAGTGCAGCTTGCAGTTGGGAGAAGCAGCTAACAGTTGACAGTACACCCAGAAGTATTTGCAGATGTGTAGAAAATGAGAGCATATTTTTCTTTACAGAGCAACTCATATCTGATAATTTATACTGTGTTATAGTGGCTGATAGGGGATGCAGGTGGTGCAGTGTTTTAAACTGCTGTGCTGCTGGGCTGGTTGATCAAAAGGTTGCCGGTTTGAATCTGCACAACCGGGTGAGTTCCCATTGCTCTGTCCCAGCTCCTGCCAACCTTGCAGTTTGAAAGCATGCAAATACAAGTAGATAAAAAGGTACCACTTTGGTGGGAAGGTAACAGTGTTCTGTGCACTTCGGTGTTTAGTCATGCCGGCCACATGACCACAGAGACTGTCTGCAGACAAACACTGGCTCCCTTGGCTAGGAAACGGAGATGAGCACCGCCCCCTAGAGTCAGACATGACTGGACTTAACGTCCAGGGGAAACCTTTACCTTTACCTTTTTATAGTGGCTGATACTGCCTTATTTGGTAATTAATTGGAAGTGTTAAAATGTTAGTATTAGTAAAGTGATTTGACTGGATTATTATTGTAATGATGCACTATTGCAATTGATGTATTGGTGTGTGCTCATTTTTGTATTGTTGTGTTATGAGCCATTTGGAACACATTTTGTAGAAAAGTTGCATAGAAATTATATAATAATTTCTAGGGTATGAACTCAATGTTACATGCAGTCATGGTATTTTATCAGCTCTTGAAACAAACAAAAACCCAAGCAACACCCTGGAGGCTATGAGAATTGAGGCACAGTGGGAGAAAAAAGAGGCATGTAATCAACCAGTCCCTACAGTTTTATTTGATTTATATACTGCTCAAGTGAAAATGCCCACATTGATTAGTCATAAAAATTAAAACAGCATAGCTACCAATCTGATACAGCCAATGAAAATTTAAAGAAATTAAAAAGATTAAAATTTCTGCAGTAAAAATTATATTGAAGACAGTTAAAGATTAAATGCCTGCCCAAAGAATAAGGCCTCAATCTGGCATCTAAATGTATAAAGATACCAGGTAGGTTCTCCCTGGAAAGGGCATTCTACAGATGGAAGGTTGTAACAGAAAAGGTGGTGTTCGAAGCCTGTTCAAAGTTTTTCTGTTCAAAGGCTCCTGCCTATTGTTTTGCCTCCACTTCAAGGGTTAACGTTTTGATTTCTTATCTCACTGGGGGTGAGGGAAAAGCAGCATTAATTGGGATTTTCTATCCAGAAAATGACCAAAGGGGAAAGGGTCAAACATCCTCAAGCATTCTTCTGTTTGATCCAGCTCAGTGGTAGAGCATCCCCTTTGCATGCCAAAGGTTCCAGGTTCAATCAAGGATCAGGTTAAAGGTGATGCGAAACTTGTCTGCTTAAGATTCTTGAGGGGTACTTAAAGTCAGAACAGATAATACAAAACTAGAGATGTGCAAATAGTCTAACCTGGTAAAAGGGAGATTCTTAGGAAGTCACAGCTTCCTGAGGATGCTTACAGTTTTAAATATGCATTTATATTTGAAGATATGTCATGTGACTGGCAAAGCACAGTACAATAGAACACCTAGTTACAACAGTTCTACCTTATCTCTTGGGAACAATCAGCATGGAAATTTAACCAACTTTAAATTTGATCAACTGAAAAATGTCCAGTCACAGGCTTCACTGATCACTTGCCTAGAACAAAAAGTAACAATATCTGAACTACTGACCTGACTTGCACACTTGCATTTATCATCTGCGAAGAACAAAGTCAATTGTTGATTTGTATCACAAAATGCATTGTTGGAACACAGGGTTATTTCTGCAGATCCTTACAACAGGTAAGCTCTAAAAATTGCACATTTGTCAGCTTGCTGCCACATTTACATATGCTTAATTTAGTAATAAGAGCAAGTTTATTCATAAACCCCACTATACCAAATGGGTTTTATACTCTTGTGCAATTTCTAAACAATACTTTCTATCATTAAGGAATAATCTCTTGCTATGATTTCTGTTACTAGTTTCAAAAGTGTTGATTTGGTTTGACTGGTGTCTAGTTACATTTTCTAACTTTTTTTGACTACTTTTTGGAATGTATATGGTTTTGGATTTTTCCACCACTTAATAGGTAAAGTCCTCTCATATTGAGAATGTTCATTACATACATAAAGAGCCAGTACTTTTTTCTTTCATTGTAAATACTGTCATTAAAAGGCATCTGTAACAATCTGTTAGTAGCTTTTCTTTCTTAAAAGTAGTAGAAGCAGCAGTGGGAGTAGCCAATGCTATCACCCCCCCCCCCCCAGATTAGTTTCCCTTTTTAATAGCTGGGTCAAAAAAATAATGGGCTGCTAACATTTCACAGCTAAACAAAAGAGTGAGGTGTGGGGGAGAGACACAACACACATATGGAAGCCTCAAGAATATTCACATTTGTCTAAAAATGTTTTTAAAAAGAGACTTCATGCCCTTGTATAACTTATAATCTAAATTATACATCTAGTATGTTGGTGTCTACTTCCAATTGTTCACCTTCTTCAGGGGTCACTGTGCCCAATTACAGATCCATAAGCATGTTAAACTCTCAGCCTAAGTGAATTATAGACCGAATGAGTAAGGCCTAAGCCAGCATTTTTGTAAACTGGTCAAGGTGTTGCTCTTATGTCCAAAGCTATTTCTATAGTCCTTTGTACAAAGAATAAGCAGGTTCATGACATGACAAGCCACAGTGGTTTCTTGCACAGGATGGTCTGTTGTGCCAATTGAACCCTGTCATGGTATTTCAGCATGCTACATTGTTTTTAGAAACCACAATAAGGAATAACAATGTGTTCCATGGTTTCCACACTTCATTGTGTTCCTCTACTCATCCAAACATGGCATCGTGGTTTCCATGGTTCTGGTGTGCTGCTCCAGCCATCAAGGGTAGGATTGAATTTCAGGCTCAGTGGCTGATGGGATATCCACCAACAGCATGAGGACTGAGCAAGGAGGATGGAAGCCACACTAGCACAGAAATCACTTAAGAGAACTGTCAGTACCTCCAGGCAAAACTGAATTGTGGAATCACACAGGGTTGCTTGTCATGATATGTGAACCCAACCAGTGAGTTGCCAAGCTGAACTGAAATTTGAAAAAGGGCTGCCAGCACAAGTATTTTCATTTCAACTTATTCAGTCCTTAACTTTCCATTAAAAAAGCAGTTAACAAATGATTGTCAGTTTTGCTATAAACAAATTAAAAAATAGTACATTTTCCAAAATGAAGCCAATAATATTTTATACTTTCATTCTCCAGACACAAGTAATGCCTATATAAAAACTTAAAACATTACACTAGAAAAGTCTGCTTACTTACCTTCTTCATCCTCATCACTAAAATATCTTTATAGCCTTCAGCCACTGGATTTAAGACTGAAGTTTCCATCTACCTCACGATCAGATAAAGCTTGATTAGCACAAGCAACTAATGGAAACAATGCTGAAAAGCAATGCTTACAAATTTCCATGTGCTTACACTTTAATGGGTGAGGGGAAAGAGATGGACTCTGAAAACCCTGGCAAATTATTTTTGCTACAGTAAAACCGAAAAGACTATCACCTTATAATCAGGAACATGTGATCTGGTTTCAAGTTTATATGCCACATTAGGGAAATGATTAACATTGATAATGTCACTTGTTTGACGTTTCAGTGGAAACTTGGTTCAAAATAAAAGCTTGGTGAAGAAAACAATTTCAGATTTTCAATAGGCAGCTTCTTTGCATCTCCATTGCCACCTAAAGTGTTTGATTTCTAGGCATTTGTTTTATAGTCACCAAAAAAAGCAATTTGGATTACACTGTTCAAACTAGTTAATCTCAATAATATAGATAAAAGAAATTATTTCCAAATAGTAGCAGTTATCACAAATTTAGCTGCACCAATTGACCTCAGAAAATTGTTCTTCTTTGTGCATATGTTCTTACAACTATCTAAAATGTCTCTTACAGCTATCTATTTATCCGTGCCTAGATTATAGTGTAGGAATAATATATGTTTCTGGTGAAATACCTCTGTCAATGCACACTGCTCCATCTTTACTTCAACATTTGTTCAGGGATATCATACGGTTCACAACAGAAGTGAAACTTGTCACATGATAGCTCTTTGTATAATGGTGCCTCCTCTATCCCATGTATTAAGTACATAGGAACAGACATACTAGATCAGACCAAGGCCTATCTAGTCCAGCATTCTGTTCACACAGTAGCCAGCCAGTTGCCCACAAGCACAACTTTAGCGCAACAGCACTTTCCTGCCAAATTCCCTTGCAAATGGTGTACGTAGGCACACTGCATCAGACACCTATATTCATCAGAATTTGTGAATTTGTCCAGTTCCCTCCAAAGATTGGTGGTTATCACTATATCATGCAGAAATGATTTCTGTAGTTTAGCGCCAGAACTCATAAGGCTGATTAGTAGGAGATTCAGGTCAGATAAAAGGAAATACCTAACACAGCACAGAGGCTGGTAATACAGAACTTTTGCAGAAGCCATGTTGATTCTTTTTCAGCAGGGCTTGTTCTTCTATATGCCTAATTTTATCTTTAATAATGTTTTTAACCTATTTACCCAGAACAGATATTATGCTGCATAACATGATTTCCTGGATCCTTTCTGAAAAATTTGTGCTACTTTGACTGTTCTCCCGTTCGCTGAGAGATAAGTTACATATTTCCTTTAGACGATCAACATTTTCATATTTAAGAATTCCCAGATGTATACAATCTGGGCTTGGTAATTAATTTGTCTTCAGTTTGTTAATAAGGTCAATAACTTCATCTTTTATCACTGCTATTTGCCTCAGTTCCTGAATCTCTGCCTGAGAAATCAGTTCAGGCAGTTATTTGTTCTGTATGATCTACAATGAAGGCAAATTAAAAAACAGTAATTCAGCTTCTCCACAATTGCCTTTTTCTCCTTTAGTAACCCTTTAACTCCATGGCCATCCAGTTGCCCAAATTCCTAACTTGTTTATGCTATATTTAAAGAATTGTGTTGCTCGCAATATGCTCCTAACACAACATCTTATTTCTGTACCTTCCCTTGCTTTCCCCCTTTGGGTTTATTACTTTTTTGGTGCTTTAACCACAGTAATGCTTGCAAAGGAATAAGTCAATCTAGAGATTCATGATTCATCATCAAATTATAAACAGGTAGGAAAAAATAGAGACACTTCTTTTTCCCTCCCCAGTTTAAAAGAAAAAAATCTAGGGAATTTCAAAAGTATAATAGGATATATGGTTCAGACACTGAAATGAGAAACAGGCTCAATCCTATTTCACTTTTTCTACACACAAGAAGGAAAATATGCATACAGCTCCACCCTGATTAGGCTAAATGAGGCTGGACCCTATAACCTCTTATCTGGGAGTAGGCTCCATTTAACTGAACTAGACTTAAAATATGCATGTTTGAAGAAACATCCTATTGCTGTTGCTCTTTAATATTTTCTGTGGCCTTTGTGAGGGAATAATGTAACTGAGCAGGCCTAAGGCCTATTACTGACCAAGACCTGTATAGTAGTTACTTAGTGATATTCTTAAGTAGCTGGGAGAGAGTGACAATCGCTTTGAGTATTGTTAGATGGGACCCAGGACAGGTCAATTCTAATTGGCTGGGGATTCTAGCTTAAAAGGAAAAAAAATAGTTGAGAAATGATAGTGAAAGAGCTGGTATTTTAAACAGTGAAAAGTGAGAAAGGAGGCTGCTGTTTGGTGCGTGGTATTTTAGGAAGATTAGGTGAAATTACCTAGGGATTGCATGTTAAGCTAGTCTGTCTCTGTGGGATAACTGTACGTGGCTGGCAGGAACAGGGTGTAGGTGGCTGTCTTATGCCAGGAAGCTGCCTCAAAATCTTGAAGGGAGGTTATACATACTGGCACTAAAAACACAGCTAGACCGTATTTAACTTGGATGGGATTTCAGGAAATTTGGCCTGAAGTAATTCAACGTCATTATGACGCTTGCAATAGCAACAGTATTTCTTGAGTCCTTATGAATTGCCATGAAGGCATCTTTTGAAAGCCTCAGAGTAAATATTCGTAATCCCATTGTAGCACGCAAAGTATCCCTTTAATAAATAATCTTGTATCTAGTTTTGGTGCCTATCTTACATCTATTTTAGTACTAGTAGATTTCAAAATATTCTTATACAATTGGTTGTAGTGCAAAAATGTCAGCTTGAGGAACTCTTTGAGTTATACTAGCTATAAGTTCTTTAGGCCCTGAAATGTATTTATTTGCTATAGATAAGAAATCCAACAAGTGGGACTGCCCAGTTAAGGAACAGTTTCCCCATTAGTGGTGGCAGTGCTGGAGAGGAGAAATATCTCAGTTTGTATAGGATTTAACTGTAAAACTCTATACCTATTAGAATGGTACAAGAGACCTACATTTTGACTTAAAAAACAAAGTATGCATATGTACTCCTACAGAATATTGGAAAGGTGATTAAAATTTCACAGTTCAAGTTTATGAGTCTAACTAAATACTCATTTTAACTAGAAGACAAAAATACATAAATGAACTCTGTTAAATCTAAGCATATACAAGTCCCTCCCACCTCATGTTAGCATAAAAGTACCAAGGAAACATACAGTTAGTATAAAGAGTCAGTAGTATGAACACTACTTCATAATTTAGAAAATCTGGTAGAGTTTTATTACACAATGAAAAATATATCTGATATGCCAAAGTTATGATGTACAATTAAAGAAACACATATAACTTATCTGAAAAATAAGTAACAAATGACTAAAGTCTACTGAAAATCTTGTTTCAGGCAGTCATTGCTAACAAAGGTAATTAAATGGCAGAGTACATTTATGCTAAGGCCAATATTTGGCAAAAACATGATATTAAATTTAGGATTAGAACATCTCCAGAAGTGGAACCTCAATCAGTAAGTCCTGAAAAGTGTGTCCCATATTTTTACATTGCTCTGGATGGTCCGCCTTCCTTGTCCATCATGGTCAGTGTAGTTAAATAAAACCAAAGCGGAATAAATCCTAACATCATTTGTATCTCCTGACAAGTGAACGTAACTCTAGCAAAGCATAAGGAAATTTGCATCACAGCTATTTTTTGCAAACACTAATTACAACAGTCATTTTCCTTTTGCATAGAAGTGTGGGATTTCATTTTTATTTGGTCAAGCTGTTCCAGCAACAGACAGTTCAGGCGATCCATCTGTATTCTTTTGCTTGGCTGGATATTAGTACACACCCTTCCAGCGAACCACATGCTGTTCATTTTACTGACTATGAACATAAAGACTTGCTGTCAGTGTATTATCAATTTTCAGATGTTCCTGTAGTTCTTCATTTCATACTCCATTCTGTACACCATCAGTTTCTTTAGACAACTGACTGTTGAGCTCTACTGTCATTCCTTCATTTTAGGAAAGTTATACTTCCTTCTAGACAATCTTTCCTCCTACAGAATATAATCTCTGCTTATTTTTCCAAATAAAACTAGAGTGAAACTGAATCCAAATTCTGCAAAGTAGATTAGGTGAGCCATTTTTCAGGTTTCCATTTCTGAGATGCCAACACCACTGGAATCTCTTGCTTCTATTGCATCATCTTTTTCTAAATCCAGAATATCAGTCAAATCAATGGTAGGTATTGGAGACCTCCAATACTGGAATGAGTTGTAGTGCCAAACATCATCTTCATGCTACAAAATAAAATATTAACAGATTTCATTACAACAATGACATAAATATCTCTGAAAAGTTCTTTGTATATAAAAAACTATTCCAGAAATAGTTATAAAACCTTACATTTATTACTAATTCTGCTGCTTAAAAAGATACAAGAACCACTAATCAAAGAAAGAAGAGAGCCAGTGTGGTGTAGTAAAGAATGTGGGGCTGGGGCTCAGGTCATCTGGATTCTAGTCCCCGCTTAAGCCATGAAGTCAAACTGGGTGACTTTGGACCTGTCACAGATTCTTAGCCCAACCTACCTCACATGTTCTTGTTATGGGGATTGGATTGAGACCAGGAGGAGAATTATGTAAACCACTTTGAGCTCATTGAAAAAAGCAGGATTAAAAACAAACAAATAAATGGCCAATAAATAAAGAATAAACAAAACCTTTTTATTACTTATTAGTTCCCACTGCTAAGGAAAGATGCTGTTATAGATTTATTTTTTCAATAATGACAAAAGCTGCATTCTTCTATGTGCACAATGCTCCCCTTCACATGCACATTCTTTCAGATACTGGTTTGTGGCTGTGTGTGCTAGTAATGACAAAGAAAGAAAGAAAAGATACAACTTAATGTGAATAGTTTAACTTGTTCTCCCTCTGGTGGATGAGGTAGAGAACAATCAATCATATCCCATGAATTCTTTAATCTGAATTATACAATAACTATGTCATAACCTGCCGGGAATCTGCAAACGTTGACTGCATTTGTTACAAACTAAAACTTTGTAGTTGCTAGGGTCATGCCTCAAAAGGTGGGTTTTGATGCTGACCTCAAGCTGTACCTTTCCAAACACAGCATGTCTATCCCTTGCTTCTCCTTGCAGCACAAAGCTCTGAGTTGGTAATATTGGAGTTCCTGTGAAAAAAATTCATCCCCTGCTCAGAGTTGGAAGAAGGATAAGCCTTACTTCTCTTTCTCCTAGCCATGGGGAAAAGAGGCCACCAGCTGCAAAATTAAGTTACAACACTGTGCAGTTACCCTACTGAAATATATTAAGAGTGCACCTAAAACCAACAGCAACAGCAACAAAAATCTTCTGCATGTGGAGGTATCCTTCTTTCTTTTTCTAGGAATGTGCAGTGCCCAGCAAACTAAGTACCTATTTCTGCCTCCCACTCCAGCTGAGAGCTAATGAGATGAAACAGTTAAGCTGGCTACAGAAAACAAAAGTACACTGTCTTGCTTTCCCTCTGCACCTGCTGGACATTCTGAGATAGGAGCAGCTGGCAGTGTGAGATACACTTATCTAGAGTCCTCCTCCAGCTCAGAGCTGAGAGAGGAATCATATAAGTGCACTTGCTTTGGTTCTGACCGGTTTTGCATGTCATATTAAACCACAGTGGGTTGTATCAGAGGTGGTCACAAAGTTGCTCAGCAGGATGTCCCAACCTGGAGCCATTTTCCCATAGCTAGTTTTGCACAAGAGGTCCACCTTGAGAACCCACAGCCTGTAGTTGGGTTGTTTAGGATGGCTCTTTCTCAGGATGGCTTAGTGTGATGCCCAAGCTAGGCAGTTTGTTTGCCATTGCCCAGCAAGAATAGGCAGAGAACCACCTTGCTAGGATGGTGAAAACCTGTGCTGCTCTTTGTGAACTCTTTAGTACTTCCACATTTATTTTTTACTTTTACTTTATTCCTCATTCCTTCTGTACACTATCTTACCTACTTTAAGGAATTACAACATGCACGTGCCAAGTATTTCATTAAGCAACATTAGAAGAGAGCCCTCTGGGCTATTAAGGTGGTATATAAATGCAAATAATAAATAAACAAATAAATAAGGTGCAAGCTGTTTCTTTGGATCCTACCAGGTGCAAGAAAGAGGAAAAACCTGCTAAAACTACTTTTGCAATGGATTTTTCCCCCTTTCTCCGTCTGTTTGCAATTCCCAGCACTTCCTGAAAATCTGTTCCATTCTCAATTCTTCAGACAGAAGCAATTCCATCAGCAGAGATACTCCACTGGATTTCAGTGTTACATGGTGGTCTTCCACTTATTCAGATATAAGATCCAACTTTGTACAAATATATCATTGGGGATCTAGATTTGCATAGTACTAACACTGCTATGGTTCCCAAGCTGGTCGCAAATGTAGAGGATTCTGAGCTGCAGAATCAAAAGCAGAATTTTAACGTAGAAAATACTAATATTACTTATTTTTGCTGCAAAGATGTACAGTAAACATGCTTGTTATGCTGACAGCAAAAAGTCATTCTATCATTCCAGCTGAGTAAGAAAAGATACTCCTATAAATAAGTTCCTCTGTATATTATCTTATTGCATTGATAATATTACATTACTATTGCAGCCTGAGATGTCAAAACCAGACCATAACTTTAAGAAGTAATACCACTGCATATAACAGAATTGACTGTCAAGTGACTGGGCTTAGAATCTTAGCTTTAATTAACATCTTTATTTTATTTTAAGATAATCATTTTTGCATCTGTCATGCATCTGGGCAGATCACAAAGAAATAAGACTAGTTTTGATTGAAGTTAATGGTATTTTTCAAACAGTCCCACCCACATAGCAAATGAAATATCATTATATTAAAAAAAAAAATCCTGACACATACTTTACTACTGGCCATTCTATATTCATTTCCGGTTTCCCCAGATATGTTAATGGAACCAAGTAATACTACAGCTCAGCCACCTGAAACTGACCTCAAACTGTGTGGTCAGTGCTCCCTGTATAACATAACTGCCTAACTGGGCCCCATGAGAGCTCTGCCTCATTATGGGAAGAATACTGGACCAGTACTCGGAAAATCCCGAATTCCAATCTCTGCTCAGCCTTAACGCTCAATGTGTTAACCTCAGACCAGTCACCCTCCCTCTCAGACAGCTCTACTTCACCGATTTTTTACGAAAATAAAGGAGGTGGAACTCCCCACGCCCACCTGAGCTTCCTGGAAAAAACAACGGATCTAAATGCAATAAATACACGGATCTCTTCTTTTCTTCCTTAGTGCTCATCTTGTAACTGCTAGTTTTGAAACGAATTAGTTTATTTACAAAATTATGCGCGTTGCTATTGTCGCGGGAGGCTCTGGCAACCCATCTTTTTATAGCGATGCGGTTACGGGGAGATGCGACCGCAGAACGGAAAGCGCTCAGCGCGCGAACCGAGAGGCAGCACCGAGCACGAAATCGGCGCGCTTCCCGCCGCCGGTCCCCGCGCGCCCCGCGCCGCCGGGAAATCCCCGGACGCCTCGCGGGACTTTCCTCCGCGCTCCGCCCCGGCAGAGGGGGCGTGTCGGGCAGCACTTCTCCGGATCCCTCCCTCCACCCCAGAGACCTCCTCCCTTCCCATTCTCACCATCTCCTTCGACTGCTTTACCTCTGCGGATGCTTTCGGTGGGGGACACCCCCGCCAGTTTTCTCCCGAGGCCGCCGCCTCCGCTTCTCTGCTTCTCCGAGCCAGCCCCTGACACTGCGCCGCTCCTTCCAGAGGGCGGGCGCCCAGGGCCCAGCCCTGCTCTTTCAGGGGCGCCTTCATCCCCGCGGACCGCTTTCCACGAGGCGCTGCGGCCTCTGCCTCCGCCTCTTTTTCTTCCTCCGCCGCCCACGCCCGTTTCCGCTTCTTGTCGCCGCTCTGAAGCGCGACGCATCGCGGCTCCCGCCGTTCGAAATCGGCCCGCGAGCGCTTCGGAGCCGGCGCGTGAGAAAGCAGGCTGTGGCAGGGCGCGCGGCACGCCAGCGCCTCGGCCCCGCGCTTAGCCATAAAGCTGGAGCTTCGCACGACCCGAGCAAGAGGGGGCCGGGGGCCCTCCACCCCCACGCGCGCGCGCGTGCGACTACTGGGCGCCGCGCTCCTGCTCGGGGGCGGGGCTACTGGCGCGCCGCGCGGCCGAGAGGAGTTGCGTGCGGCGCTGCGCGGAGCCCCCTTGCGGAGGCGGCCGGCCAGGCAGCGCGCGCCGCCGGCGTGCTTGTGCTGCAGCCTCTCCGATTGTGCCTCGCGGCCACATTTACTCCGAAGGAAGCTCCGCGCCTGCCAAATAAGCATGTAGGCGACCGTAGCTTACATCAGATCGTACACCGGTGAATCCAGTGGGGCAAAACTCCCAACTGCGTGTGCATAATAATCAGTCTATCGGTAAGGCTGTATTATGTGCACCCAATCACAAGTGACATTCAGTTCCGTGGATCTTGAGAGAAAGCTTGCTTTCGATTTGGTTAGCTACGCAAGCCCGTATAAACCGTTGTCTTACGCTTTCTGAGTAATAACCGGGTGAACATACTTCCAAAGGATATACATGTTGCCTTAAATATTCTAATGCATTGGAGGCGTGGGGGCGATATTTTTAGACGAGTGCAAGATTGAAACTATATGGTATTCTGAGACAGGATAGCACAACAGAAGCAACTGTAATTAATGCTGCCTTTTCTCAATTGTTCATATAAAGAAAAAAAAGGTGACAGCAGAAAAAAAAGGGAAGGTTACAACTGGAAAGTTCCAAAGGACCCATCTCCAGTCAATTTACAAAAATACAGTGTCTGAAAGCACTTGCAACCCAGTTTTGCTTCTGGCTTTGGTAAGAAAAGGTTAAGTCGTTATATTATGTCCAGACAGCAGCTGTCAACCTGAGCATACAATCCAACCCAACCCAACACTGTTAGAATTGCAATTTAAAGTTCAGCATATATACTACTCAATTTGCTAGGGTAAAGTGTTCTACTTTAACCAGCACCATTTCAACAGTTTATTATCCACAGCTGACAGGGGATAAGTGACCTTGGTACAAATATTTATAGAGAAATGAGGCTTCTGTGAACATAAATGCAAAAAATAAAATACATGTAAATATATTTACACACTGCTTTGTTAATACAAAAGGCAGCATCCAACCAGGGCACTAGCCTTTGACTAATGTTGTTTTGCCAATACAGTTGCATAAGCATTCCGTCAACAATGCTTGCGCACTTCCTGGAGAAAGCAAAAAGTTACCAAGAGGTCTTCTACAAAAGCTACATATAGTACTAGATGTGGAAAATATCACAAAAATTGGTAATAGTTATTACATCTGCAATATTTGTAGCTACAATTTTAACATAATACTTAGTTAAAATAGTTAAATTCATTCTTAAGACTAATAACTATTAAACTGCTTTAACATGGATATCAAATAAATAATTTACATTATAACACATTAACAATAGATTTTTCCCCAAATAGATTTTTCCCCAAATAAAATTATTTATCATAATAAAAAAGAAATTACAATTATACCAATTTGATCACTGTATAAATAATACTTAATATCTACCAGTTCTGTTTTTTCTTTGAATTGCTGAATAAAGTAGGCCTAATAGATATTCCATTTATTGTAAATTTTTTAACCGGTTTTCTATTTATATAGCTAGTTAGCAAATGTATCAGCTAAGTCAACCTTGTGTAAATTCTAATTTTTCTCTCAGTTATAAGGAAAACATGTATAAGCTTTCCAATTAACATTAAATTCTTTGGCTAAACTTCTATTTACAGTATTATGGTTGGTTAATTTTGCCATTACTGCATATTCAGCTAGCTTATTTTTCCCATCTTCCAATCTGGCCAGTTTTCCACTTTCCATTTTGTCCCAATTTTAACTTTAGCTGCTATTACCATATATTTAAACAATTCTTCCAAATTTCTTGCAGAAATTGAGTTTCTGGCAGAATACTCAATAGCGTGTTTTTTGTTCATAGGAAAATTAATTTTCAGAATTTTTTGTATTTCAGCATGCATTTCTTTCCAAAATTGTTTGACCTTATTGAATGTCTACCACATATGGTAAAAAGCCCAGTCCATTTCCTTACATATCCAGCACCTTGCATTTCCAATATAATTCTTGTCCCGTTTTTCAATATTTTGGGGGTCATATACCAACAAAAGAATGTCTTGTTCAAATTTCTCTTAGTGCTTTACTAGCTGTACATTTTGTATCTTTCATCCATAAGGTTTCTTATTGGTGGAAAGATATTTCTTTTCCAAATTCCGCATTCATCTTATCATACATGTTTTAAATTGTTCAGTTTCACTGTCATATCACAATAATTTCTTGTAAATCTGTCCTAATAAATATTTTTGCTGTAAAATCAACTTTTCAAATGCCATCAGATCTCTTATGGTGCCTCTTCCTAATTGCATTTCCCTTTTCAGTCTTGAAACCAACTTCTTCATCGAGTTTTTGGCAAGGTTTAATTCCTCCTTTTTGGTCAATCATATCTCCATGTTATAAAATCATTGCTTTTCCTTAAATGCCTGTCATAATCGGCTTCAGTGGAGATATCAAAGGAGAGATTGGATGGCTAATTCTTCTTCTTATAGAATACAAAACCTTCTCTAATACATGGTTTTTGTGTTGAATCTTTTTTGATTAATTTCTTGGCCCACAAATAATTATGTAATCCTTCTTCTAAATCAGCTGTTTCCAATTTTATTAATCTTTCATCAGAATTTTTAATCCAGTCTGCAATCCAAACCAGGGTGGCTGCATAGTAATATAATATTAGGTACTGCTAAACCTCCTCTTTCTTTCCTTTTATTGTGTAATACTTTAAATCTAAACCTTGCTTTTTTCCCATTCCAAATGAAGGTGCGCAATTGTCTTTGCCATTCTTGTAAGGCTTATCCTTTTATGAAAATTGTTGTTTGAAATAGAAACTTCAACTTACATAGGACATTCATTTTTCGAATGGTAATTCTTCCCAGCTACAACATTTTTAGTTTTGACCATCTCTGTAGATTTTTCTGAATCTTTGTCCATATTATTTTATAATTGTCTTAAAATTATGTATTATTTGTCCAGTCAAACTTATTCTCATATACATATAAATATTTTCCTCTTCTTACTTCATTAGCATCTTTTAAATTGTTTTCTTTATAGCTTGAGATATTTCTTGGATGGTAATAGCACTGTTCGATATTTCTTTTTCTTTTCCCAACACACACTATTACATAGGAAAAAATACAGAACAAAGGAAAAAGTAATATAAACAGAACAGACTAAGGTGAACAAAATAAACAAAATTTCCAAGGGATTTACAAACAACACAGCCTATATACTGCAGCCCCCATAACCAACTCTCTTCATATCTTTCCATGCTCTATGAGAGTTTGCAAAATAGAAAAAAGAATCATTATTCTATACATCAACAGATTTTCTAACCAGTTCAAATTCTGATGCTTTCCTTTTTCTCTTCCAAACTCCCCTGAACTTCCATTAATCATACTAAGCACAATAAAAACTCTATTTGTCATTAAATTCTTCTAAAGGTCTTCTGCATGTTCTGCTAATCTTACTCCATTCTTCAATGGTTGGAGGCTCCAGTGATTTCCATTTTGAAGCTATTGTGATTCTTGTTGCCTATGTCATATATTTTATTACTGTATTTGCAGCCAGAGTGGGTCATCAATTTATTTATGCTGTTAGCCGTCCAGAGACATTAGTAATTGGATGGCATACAAATTTCATAAATAAATAAATATTATGACATATTTTTAAAAGTGTGTCTGGCACAATATTTAAATGCATGTTCTTGGACTCATAGGAAACTTAATTTTAAAGATTTTCTACACTTCTGCATGTATCAATTTCCAGATTTTTTTGTGTTATTTCACAAGTCCACCACATATGATAGAAGGTCCCATGTACCCTTTTACATTTCCAACATTTTGCATTGTAATTCTTATCTATTTTCCCAATATCTTTTGGAGTAATGTACCACCAATAAAACATCTTATACCAATTTTCTCTTAATGCTTGACTAGTGAATTTAATATCTTTCTTCCAAAGAGCCTCTCACGGCCCAGATATTTGTTCACCAAGATTCTGTTTCCAGATTGTCATGTGTTTCTTATCTTGATGGCTTTCAGTATCATAGTGCAGTAACAGTTTGTAAAGTCTTCCCGGTAAGTGATCATTCTGTGTAATCAAAGTTTCAAAATCTCTCATCTCTCTTAAAATGCCTTCTCCTAGTTGTATTTTCTCCTTCAGTCTTGAAATCAATTGATAGCATCCAGTATCTCTGTTCAGATGTAAATTTTTCAATACGTGCTTCTTCTGTATATTGCCCCATTTCATCTTCTAAGACTGGGTTTTTTGAGGGGAAAAAAGTGGATTGCTCCTATATTTCTTTTTCCACATGAGTAATTCCACTGCCTTTCTTTAGCCATGTTATCATTCTCCTTTTGGTTTGATTAAGACATTATCTTCTAGGCTTGTTTGTGTGTTCAAAATATTAACTTCTGTTAATAGCTTCTGTTTTAGAAGTATTAACTTCTTCTGTTTCAAGCATATCAAATTGGTTTAAGTTCAATTAAAATTGATTTAATGATGCTTTATGTTATTCTTCCAATATTTGAATTATTTCAAGTAATTTCTTTGTTCCAACTTTTCTTTTTTCTTCTTTGAGGCTATGGTTATTTCCTTTATATGATTTCCTTTCATATAAGTTTTACTGATTTCCCATATTGCTGCCATGAAATATCCCTTCTATTATTAAGTCTATAAAATTCTTCTAAATCTTTTTCACACTTCAGACTATGTTCTTGTAGTAGATGATTATCTTTAATCTCCATCTTCTAGCTTGCTGTTTTCGCCATACTATTTCTACTAGATTATGAAAATATCTTTGGTTGATTTTTGCAGCCTCTAACTTCTTTAGTTTTAGAAATCCAGCACTTATCCATTCTTGAATATATCTGATGTCTCTCCGAAAAAAAATCTCTAACTTTTGTGTTATGCTCCCTTGCATCTTCCAATGGTAGCATTTCATATCACTGAAAACATTTCTAGGGAGTTCACCCCATTTAACTTTTTTAGACTTAACTTTATTTGGTCCATAATTCCATTCATCAGTATCATCTTTATTTGGTCCACGACTCCAAAAATCAATCTTTCTCCTTCTTGGAAATCCAATAGTGACTGAAATAATTTTTCATAAAATTTTTCTTTTGCATTATTCAAGGCATGTATATTGTTGCCAATCTACATTTCTTACCATTCAAAAATCCTAAGGATAATCTTCCTTCAGAGTCTTTTAATTCTTCTATAACATTGAGGCCTTGATTATTAACATGCATTGCAACTCCTTTTTTTATTTTGGTAACTGCTGAAACTTCAAAAACTTTGCCCAATTTGCTATTATTTTAAATATGACCATTTTTTTCCTTTACATGTAGAGTTTCTTTGATACACAGTATATCTTCTCTATTTGTTTTTCAGATTCTTTGAATTTAGCTTCAGTTGGTAATTCTTCTGTCAGCTGCTTGGCTTGTTCTAGTGTTATAATTTTAATTATCCCTTCAGACACTACTACTTTTATAGCAACTGGGACTATCCAACAATATCTTGTGTTTTCCTTTGTAGAATTTGTCTTAAGAAAAGGAAGCCATTTCTTTTTCATAGCAAATTTCTTGGTAAATCTTGAAAAATCTGTACTTCTTTCCCAGTTATTTTTTTAGTAGAGATCCTCTTCTGTTCAATAGAGAATCTTGTGTTTTCTTGTTTGTAAATCTGACCAATATGTTGCGAGGCAATTTATTGTTAAGTGCAAAGATTGAGTATATTCTAAATACCTGTTCAATGTTGGGAAAGTTCCTTTAAATATTCATATAATCTTGTAGAAGTTATGAAGATGGTCTTCAAGATTTTTTTCCTGTCAAAATATCCAGAGACTCCTCTGAATCAAATATTCTTATGTCTACTCTGGACATCAGAAATTTGGATTCTTTGGTTCACCCTTTCAGTCTCAGAATCTTGCCCTTCTATACGTACTTCAATTATTTCCTGTTTATCTTAATTTTTGTAAGTTCTTTTGAATTTTCTTGTATCTCCTTTTTGATATCCCTAACTAAAATTTCTGCCTTAAACATGAAATTTCTCTTATCTTTTCCTGGGCTTTCTCCTTTGTTTTATTTGTAACTATTTGAGTTAATGTCTCTTGAATCTTATCCATCAATTCTGTAACATCTGCATCTTCTTCTCCAGTTCCACCCCTCTTCCTCATTTCCTTTGACTGGGCTGCTGCCATATTATTCTTTATTCTATTTATTTTCTGCTTAAATATGTCATACAATGTTTTCATTGACTATTTCAAAAATGTTAAATCTATGCATAACAATTCCCAATTCCAACACTGCAAGATCAATACTATTCTTAAATTTCTTGGATTGTGTAAAAAGATGGATAAAAAGCATTACTACATTTAAGGGAAAAAAGGAGAAGGAAAGAAGAAGGAATCAAATGTCAGGAAAGAATAGAGGAGGAAATGGGAAAAATTATTAGCACATTGATTTCTTAATGTTAGTATATAATGCTGCTAATTGTTATAATTTTGTTATGTTAATTTATTAAGGATGACAATCCTGTAGAATTTTTTCGAAGTCCTTGTGCAATTCTTTTTCTTCACAAGTGTGTCTGCAAACAAAGGGAAATCTATTGCTCCCTATATTTTTTCAGGGTCCTTGTAATCTTCTTCAAGTCCACCAGATGGTGCGAATGTTGTATTTTAGTATTTTGAAGAAAAACCACTTCATGGCACTAGAATCTCCTCCACTTCTTTCCATGCAGAAAAGGCAAGGGGGGTGGGGGAAGGAAAAGCTCTCAGTTCTTTGCTTTGTCTGGATAACAGCTGTCCAGGAGAATACAAATTCTCTTTGTTTTAAAAATATGCTTAAAGTATATTAAATATTCAAACTGGCTTTTAAAGCGTATGTATTTAGGGTTTCTTTTTTAAACTTTTCAATATTTTTACACTGAAAAGGCAAAGAAAATGGCATCTCTAAACAACAAAGATTGCTTTCTCTCTCCCTTTTAATGAATATCAGCAACTTCAAGTTGTCAGCTTATCATCATTGAAATACTTACAGCTTTACCTCCTTAAGCACAGCTGATAAGTGACTTTATAGTTTAAGTTATAAATCAGATCATTAGTAAGTATCCCTTTTGATTAGTCATTTAAGTAAATAAATTAGAAATTGCTTCTTACTTTTCAAGGTCTTGCTTTCAGAAAATTTACAATTAATGCTCCCATTGAGAGAGGAAAGACAGTAACATATAATAAAATACAGAGACAGTTTTTAGACTCAGGGAGTCTACCTTGTCTTGTTGTCTTGATGTAATCCGAGCACACCAGACCCTTTTAGATTGAATCTGGATAGTTCACCTGTCAAAGTAGTCCTTAAACTGGTGGGAGAATGTCTTCTCACCAGTGTTTTCATTCCGAAATGCACCAGCATAAAGATAAAAATATTAGAGCTGTGTGGTTTTTGTTGTATGTGCTAGGTATGATGGACATTTGCCCTACTATTTCAGATAAACCCAATCCACAGAAATGTATTCTAGATAGAAAAAAATATTCAATTATTTCACCTAAATTCATAAAGAGGACAAAATTTTGCATTGCTTTATGTGAACCACACAAACACCAAAATTACATGGATTTAAATTATGCATTAGCTGCAACACACTTAATCTGAAAATATCAAAGTGATACTTATTAAACCTAACTGTGTGAATGCTGGCACCATCTACACATCATATAAATAAGCAGAAATGCCATCCTTCAAATAAAGTCTAAGCATGTGAGCTAAAACTCACATCAGCGTACTTGATAAATTGAGGATAGAGAATGTGTAACCCACCAGCTGCTGCAGGACTGCAACTCCATCATTCCCCATTAGCAGCTGTGCTGGCTACAGCTGATGGGCTGCAATCCAGCATACAGAGGGCACCAGGTTCCTCTAACCTGTGCCAAAGCACTGATATAACTTGTGCAGCTAAAGCCTAGGCCCTGTGTGCTTACAGGGAATGGAGAAAAATGGATGGGAAACAGCTATGCTTAAGGTTCCTCTGTTAAATTGATAGGGAACGTCAGTGAGCTGTTTTATAGAAATACTCCGGCCCTGCAACCTTTCATTGATTTAAAGGGCAGGTGGAAAGCAAGAAGGCAGGCACTTCTGAATAGGACTAAAGCAGTGGCTTTGATCCAAAGTTGTGGATATGGAAGTCTGCTTGTACAACTGTCCTTTCTGTTCTATTCCTACTGCAAATCTCCAGAGGGTTCCTCAGCCCTCTGAAGCAAATTTGGGAGAAGGAAAATCCATTACACAATCAGTTTTCCTTTCTGTTGACATGATGCAGTCCAGCCCCATGTAACTAAATTAGATAGAGTGCACAAGAACACCCAGAACTTGGGGACAGGAGGAACCACAGCTAGTCATAAGCTTACAACACAGCAATGTTTACCATAACATATAGTGATGGCCACATGGCTTTAAGGGAAAGTAACCAAATTCATGGAGCTTAAGTCTATCAAAAGCTATTTCCCAAGAGTTACGTGCATCAGAGGCAAGATTGCCTGTGTATACCAGTTTCTGGGCAGGGTCTTAACTGAGTTTCCAGAGGGGGCTAGCTTGCCACTCTGTCAAAAGAATGTTGAACTAGATGGATCCTTAATCTAATCCAGCATGGGTATATGGCAGACAGATGAGGTTTAGAACAAATGCCAGATCGTGTAAAAGCACACCTACTAAAGTCACCAATGGACTTTTGCTGACTTTAGCATGTTTCAGCATGTATAGCTTAGTTCAACTGAGTAGTTCTACAGCACAACCGTTGCGGTATCTACATAGCTGTACCTATACAGATACTCTATAAATGGGGCAAGTGAAAACAGAGCCATGTTGCTTTACAATGCCAATGATGCTGGTGATTCATTTGCTGTCACAACAAGGGTATTCTTTAAAAAAAAAAAGTCAGTTACATAAGCACAGGTTCAGTCTTGAGGTACAGGTTCCTGGTTCTTTGTATTTAGCCACTAATAAACCTTGAAGAAAAGGCATTAAAGACATTACATATAGCAAGATCAGTATTAAAAGAAAAGCCAACAAAATATTGGCCATACTTAGAGCAAAGGCTAGTAGAGAAAAAAGCCATTTTACTTGTCACCAATAAACTGGAAGTCATTTTGCAGTAAAGTTTCCAGTTAACACCTTCACAGCTGATTGTAAACTTATTTTGAAACAAGCTATTTTACATTTTCCCGTTTACTCAAATTTAATTGACAGAGTATGAACCTTTAAATGTTACTCTATATAGCATTTTAGATGTAAAAGGTTAATACTGCCGATCAGGTAATTTCCACTTTGCATATAAACATCACAGAATAACAAAGACACAGAGTAATTCATGATTAATCTTATCATATACAGTACATGAATTACAGAGATAAATAATGGAAATACAATTCTAATGCCTAATATCAATATTTACCCTGCCTTTATTCTGAAATTCTTGTATGCATTGAAGAAAAAAATCTTAATTCAGAAATTAATTATTTCTGAATAATAAATTAATTATTGCTGAATTTCAGAAAGGAAATATAGATGAACACTCTCAATAGTAACTGATGTTTGAGTGGGAAATAATAAAGCAATTGGAAAGACAGAATAAGTCCTATTTGGATAAAGTCCAAATATGAAATCTAAGGCCTTAACAGGTTTTTATTAATTCAAGGAACTTGATGTACATAGTAAAATTAACTGTTTATGGAATAAATGTATATTTAACTACCAAGCACTTTCTTGCTTCAGTCTCAATTCACACGCCTGCAAGAGCAAAGCCCAAAACTTTGCTCCCACCCTAGCAGTGATATAGCAATATTAATAGAGGGAGCTCCATGTGAAACCAGCGATCAGCTACAGATGATGCTTCCTAAAGCACTGTCACATTATTTCACTAATGACTATTGTAAGCATAGGTACCAACTTGCTAAAAGTAACAGTACAATCCTATAAATGTTTATTCAGAACTAAGTTCCACTAATTCAGTGGAACTCGCTTCCAGCTAAGGAGCTTAAGGGAGGCTGTAAGATTGCATCCTTGCTCAAACTGGGAAAATTGTGGCATTTTTGGGAACTATAAATGCTGTTCAGATGGTTCCTAAAATATTTAAGGGAAAGTCTACTAAAGTGGTAGTTTTCCTCCAATCTGTACTAGAGCAAAGCAACCCAAACACCAAATCTGAATTCTTACATGCCAACCTATTCGATTTAAGATACAATTCTTTAAGGTAGCAGAAAGGGCTACAAGTCTCATAAATGGCTGGCTAGGGCATGGTGGGACCTGTAGGCCTTTTTGCTATCTAAGCACACACAGGATTGTACCCTTTCATCACTAGAACAGTTTTGCTTACTGAGCAATTCATTACATGTTAAATTAATTTACATTAAAGCATCACTGCTGAACCAGACATTGCTAGCAATGTCTAACCACAAACTGGAGTGCATTTGTATTATTTGGTTCTCAGCAAAAACTACTCACATCCCCTTAATTTGAGATCAATAATTTTAAGCCATGTAAATTCATTTAGTCCTTCATAATCAATTTGGATTGTACTTGCCAAACAAGTCAGCCTATTTGATCTGGAGGAGACAAACCTCACACATCTTCAGGTCTTGGGAGATTTGAAATGTGGTTATTTCAGTAGCAAATTTTACTGTGGTTATCTTTTAAAGAAATGTTTTATATATTCTGGTAGCCCAAGAAATCATTATCGTAACTCCAACCATAATTAGAATTTTAAGCTGTGTAGTAAACAATAAGTGATGGTCACATGAAATCCAGATAAGAATCTCTGACAAGCAGATCAAGCTAAATAGTGGTAGCTTGGAGTGGCAGTGCATCTAGGTAACAGCTTCATCAAAGTTGTATCATCCGCAGTATTAACATACACATTCTGGGTTGGTGAGCTCAGAGGAACTGCCAATGTTACTGTCTCAAAAAGCAGTACTAAAAGTTGGTTTTGTTTCCTGAGTTTTAATTCCATTATACAAAATACACACCCTGCCTTAACATTGTCAGACAATCCCTCACAGAATTAGGTATATTTAACTGCAGCTATTGGAGGTTGGACTGTGGCTACTCCAAGCAATTCAAGTATTACAATATAAGGATTACTGTTAACTGTCTCATCTTCTCAACTACTAATTTTAATGACTTCTACCACCTATTGATATTTCAAATGCTTTGTCAACTGCTTGACATGAAAGTGGGATTATTAGGAGTTCCAGCCCTCAATATCAGTTTCATGTTAAAGGTTATAATGGAATGTGTGACCTTAAGTTTTACTCATTGCTTACCATTCTGCATCTCTTTGATAATTAGTAAAAACTACTTGTAAAATTTGCAGGAAACAAGTCATGCGTGATGCAAAGGCAACAAAAAATATTTAAATACATTCACATGGCGGGGGGGAGCTGTTTGTATTTGCCTTACATACAATGTGAGACAAAGGAAACCAATCGTATATCCAATATGATGTTAAGTATTCTTTTAAAGACAGACAGTAGGGAGTTTAGTATATTACAGAGAACTGTGAATGTTAAAAATGTCGGAGTTCAAAGGAAAAACAGTAAATATAAGTTAGAGGAAAACTGTAGGAATAGTTGCAATCCATTTTCATTACTGAAATACAGATATCCATAAGTTCCTGTCTTGAGACCATATGAGAAAACAAGAAAAAAAAAAGAAATACATTCTGTGAGAAGTAAGAAGGCACCACTGCTGAAAGGTTGTGTCCAGACATCACTTAGAGGGCATTTTGCATTAACATTATCAGCAAAATGCCAGCATTTCCCTCCTTGGATGATCCATTTCACATACTGCTCTCTGGTTTCCTAACCACGAACATCACACATTCGTAGTAATATTTCATCATAGATAGCTCATTCACGGTATACGTTGTCAAAACAGATTCATTCTCCACCTGAAAACAAACATTTTCTTGAATGCTCTTTTGTAAATTTCATTCAGAATATTGAGGTTAATTATTAAACTGATATAGACATTACATATATAGATATTTCTGTATCTTTTAACTGAAATTCCCCAGGTAGTTTATATAAAAGAAAGAAAAACAGTTGAACTACAGATAATAAAATACAAAGGCAACAAGATCTTAAGAGCTACATTTTGAAATAAAAATCAGCAGAGTATAAGAGATCCTAGGACTTTTTTTAATTAAAAGATTCTGTGCTAGTACTATTATCAAGTCAAAAGGATTCTGGGGAGCGGAAGGGGAAAGATGTCCTTTTCATTTTTTTGATCTTGAAATACAGGTAAATACAGCTTTTAAAACTTCACTGCGGGTCAATTTAAGCCCTTGACACCTCAACATTCCATTTGTTCTAGAATGGCAGCCCCATATCATGTCACTTTATTTAAATTATTTTAATCAATAGATGTGTGCATTTCCATATACCTAAGACAGTTCCCAAATATGCAGAAACTCAAATTTATTTTTGGTGGCATGTTGGCAATGCCAAATGATTGGCATTCAATTATAAACTATAAACATCATGTGACTGAAATGACATAATAATGAAGTGCTACAAGATGTAAATGGAAGTTTAGGTTGGGTACGGCAGTTGTGTCTGGGCTATTGAAACACATTCTATGTGGGGCTGCCCTTGAAAATGGCCCAGACACTGTAGTTGGTACAGAATAGAGCAGCTTGCTTGTTCACAACGCCTGCAAAGCAAGATCATATAACATGTGTTCTTTATCATTTACACTGGGTTACCAAATGAAATTTGGGCCTGCTTTAAGGTGTATACAGCCCTAAATAGTTTAGGGCATTGATAGCTGAAGGGACATCTCCCATATATGCCTACCTAGTCCTTAAGATCATCTATTGAGTTCCTCCTTCAGAAGCCACCTTTAAAAGATTTAACAAAGGTGGTCACAAAGGGAAGAGTCTTTTCAGCCCAAGGTGGCACCCTGATTGTAGAATCAGCTCTTCAGAGAGGTGCACCTGGAGAAAAGTCTCTCTGTTTTTCAGTGCCAGGCAAAATCCTCCTTATTTTCCCAGTATTTCACATGTTAAAATAGGAATTTTTAATGCCATTTTATACTGTATTATATACTGTAGTTGGATCACTATGGATTGTTTATTGTTCGATAACCATTTATTTTACTCTAATTGGTTGGGGATGGGATATTATGGTTTATATTTATGTTTTACTATATTGTATTGTTTTATTGTATTAGATATTTTTAATTTTATTGAAAACTGTTCAGAGAGCCTATTGGCTAATGTGGACAGTATATAAAAGCTTTAATAAATAAATAAGTTCAAATATCCAATGTTTGATATTGTTGGTCCATTAATTTAATACAAAACCCTTACCTCTATATGGAATCCATATTGTAATATAACATTTTTAATATCTTCATAGCTCAGCTCAATAGATAATTCATTTGCTAAATTTTCAAAGTGGTAAAGAAGAGGACCTAGGATACATCAGAATAATCAGTACATTTCATTTACCAAAGCTCTGGTAATAATGTTTATAAATTCTGCATGCCCTATCAATAGTACAGTTCAAGAACTATCATTGTAATACTCACTTTTAAAAAATATTTTCTATCTGCTCACTGGAATTCTTAACTTCTATTCAGATTGTGACATGCCTAGAGTAGACCCATTAACCTTCATGGATTTAGTTATGACTAGATGAAGTCTAAATTTCAAAGGCTCTAATCTAAGCATGACTAAGTCTGGATCCAACCCTTTATATTGTATCTGCCTTAGTCGTTTTGAAGGAAATTTCTACAAAATGGATAGGAATTTAAAGAATAAGATTGTCAAATGCTTAAAATTCACTTGGTTCAAACAACATCAAGTAATATATCTGGATTCCCCTCACCCCCAATTCTAACAGTGCAAATGGTTCAGCAAATTACCTAAATTGATCCATATTCCTCCAGGTTTGAGTATTTTCCATATTGTATCAATGTAATCTATGACATTATGTGCGGTATCTATGAAGAAACAGGTTGCTATGCAATCCCATATATCTGTATGAAGAAAAAATATTAGCCACACTTTAAAACTAAGGTAAATCCCAGCTTTGCACAATGAATAGGCATTCTGTGTGCTCAAAGGAAAATCTTGAATTTCTACCAATGTTCTCTCCCAGGTATATAAGCCAAACAGTGTTCCAAACACTGTTTGGGATCAGGGGCAAGATCCAAAGCAGAAAAACCCCATTCTGTTTGTGATTTGTAGGATCCAGCTATTTCTCAAAAATAAGGCTTCTGAATCTCCTGGGCCTAAATTCATCATCTGTATACAATGAGAGAAGTAAACTAGGCATGAATTAACTTGAAATAACATCCCTTAACTAAACCCTTTGAACTCTTGTGGCAGGCAACGGATTCAGAAAAAGGTAAACAGTGGATTCAGATTAGAAAGCCAAGAAAGCTCATGCGTAACAAGCATGACACTGCACAGGATGCCTGAAGATGGGCAAGCCAATGTACATCACAGATACAAACTTCTGAACATCAGCAGTGAGTCTATCTAGAGATCCTGCAGCGTCTTGGGGACTTACATGCGTTATATACAAATGCTAACTGCTTGTTCTATTTCTCCTTCTAATCTTCGAATTATTATTATAAGACTGCATGTATATGCCACCCTTTTTCCTCTTGTGAAGAATCCAAAGCAGCTTACATGGCTCCATTTTATCTTCACAACAGCAACCCTGTAAAGTAGGTTCGGCTGAGAGACTGGCCCAAAGTCATCCAGTAGTCAGCCAAGTGGGGACTAGAACCCAGATTTCCCAGGTACCCATTCCATTTGAATGTTTAGGACCAAAGATCCTTACCCAAGATGACTGCAATCAAAGACAACATTGCTACATCTCCTGTTTCCAAAAGATAAGTACCAGTAGATGATCCTTTTGACATAATACCCATCAAAGTAATTAAATTATTTGTCAAATCAGCTTATAGTGGAAAAATAACAAGCTAAAAGATCTGTGCATTCTGAAAACTGGCCAGTAAAAGTTTACTTTCTTAGGTTTGCAATCAAAAAATAAATGGTCTAGTAAATCATCCATAAAAGATCAGCAGGGAGTTGGGGGCAGTATCATCCACAGCTCATGCGAACCGGGGCAGACACTGGTTGGTGGGTGTGGGGCAGGTCAACATGGCTTTCCATTCCAGTGGTTTTCAGAGGAGGAAATTCCCTTATGCCTGCTTTAAGCTAGTGTAGGTGAGGGATCACCCTTCCTTGTGAGGGGTGGGCCAGGACAGAGCAGCTTTGGGTGCATTAGATTCAAAGCTGCCTCTGCCCATTCACAAGACCCCCAAATTTCTTTTTTCAGGGCTGTCCTGTCCTGTATTGAAAATGAAGACAAAGAACTAGAAACCTGATTCACCTACCAAAGAAATCTAAGTAGTAGAGAATTACTACAAGGCATCTATGGGAAAAAGCAAAACAAAAAAACACCAGTTAGATCTTGTGTTTTAGTGTTAATTAAAAAGAAAAATACAACTTCTCAAAAAATTAATCAATATAAAATAGAAGTTTTATTTTACAGTAGTGTTCCCCAAACTGGGTCCTCCAGCTGGTACCATGCTTTTAATTCTCATCAATCCCAACTAGCATTGTTAATGGTTAGGAATGTTGGAAGTCGTAATCCAAAGCATTTTTAGAGCACCAAGATGCAGAAGGATATTTTAACAGTGTCGTTTTACGTAGCTGAACAGGTACTTAGTACATTCATGAATGTTATCATCTATGTTTTTTCTTACTTACTACACTCAGAGTAGATTTCCTGAAAATCGCCTGCTGTCATAGAAAAATTTGCACCAGGAGGAAGACTGTGAGGGTCAACATCGGGAAAATAAATTGGCTGTATTTGATCGGCAGATCTCTTGTTATTGCTAAACTGATGTATCCAGGGATATAGTTTATAGGAATTAGTTGCACAGCATCTGTAATATAAGATCATTAGAAACAGTGTCACTTAGAAAATAGCCTTTCAAAAACTGCTGGTTTTTTCACTTTACCAGCACTACAAGCTTACCCTTAATAACATACTATAACAGGGTTATAGAAGAGACAATTAAAGAAGATATTTGCAGTTTAAAAGTTAAGAAAATATAGTCAGTTCTAACATTCTCAAAGCAATAATGAAAGTTAAATGTATATTTTATTATGAAACTTATTCAACACTATTAAAATTAAACATTTTCCATACTGCTCACTAGTCTACTTCCAAGCTCTCATTACCATTTTTGTATTTGTATATGTCAAAGTGCTGGGATTCCTAATTGAAGAGACATGACCTTTATAAAATGTTTTGATTATAAAGGTAGCCTACAGCTATTTAATTTCATATTAAATGTTTGATTATTGACCCATACAGAGGGTGTCAAAAATGTATACACACTTTAAGAAAGGAAAAAAACTGTATTACAATGGCAATACTCAATATATGCTGATAACAAAAGATGAATACAAGTCATGTTTGACTTCTGCAATTACAAGAGGTGCTCAGAGTGGTTACCATCAGCATCCAGACACTTCTGATTATGGCGAACTACTGCATGAGCAACGTTATTCAAAGTGTCCACTCATATTGCTGTGCCTGCCATTCAATTTCATCCTGAGTATCACCAGTGTAGCCGGGTTTCTATGGGACACCACATCCTTTAAGGGCCCCCACAGAAAGAAGTCCAGGGGTGTTAAGTCAGAAAAACTTCAAATACCACTTCAAAATGGGTTTGCGCTCCTCAAATGACAACCGTGCCTCCGCCATTTTCTTTTACTGTCCTGCCTGTCATATGGTGATACCAGCATTCATTTGATTAATGCCATCTTTTGAACAAATGTCATACTACACATTGCTACGGTAATTCAATTCAACAACTCTTAAAATGTGTATACACTTTTTTGGCACCCCCCAGTATTCATGCACAGATATACACATCCACGCACATGCAGAGACATTAGTCCAGTTCAAACATAAGGATCTCATTTTAATAAACTATGGTTTCTTGGCCCAATAAGCCATGTAGTTGCACATTTTCTCCTTGTCCCACCTTCTGCTTCCCCACATGGCTTGTTGACATTGTAACAACTTTCTGTTACAACTGAATTAGAACTCTATAGCTTAATTCTTGCTCAATAACCAGTATATTTGGCTAGGATCCAATCCAGCTAAATAAGCAAAGAATAAAAACAGAGTTTCCCCATTCAACTCAAACTGTTTCAATAAGCCACAATATCAGTACCAACCAGGCTAGAGATACAAATACAGAATTAGAAGAACGTGGAAGAAAACCAAGAACTAAAATAATTTCATGTACCTGTTGAGTACAAAATTAGAAGAGAACAACATAAAGAGGCTCCATTCATTTCCTTGGCAAGTATAACCAAGCATAGCTATTTCCCAAGCCAATCTACCTAGGCCAGCACCAGGTACCAGGATATTAACTTTGGAGAGATCCCTGAAATACAACAAAGATAATTGTCAACCCTTTATTAAGTATATTTGATAGAACAAACACAGCCAATATTTTATCACAAAGGTTCAGTCCCATTTATCTTGATCCTTTGTATTCTTTCTCAAACATGGTTTGCTAGGTATTCTGAAAAATAGATCTATCCAATGAAGTTTCTATCAATTCTCTACATGGGGATGGGCGGTGGGCAATGCTCTTCCAAACGTTGCTAGACTGCAGCTCCCCTCCTCCATTATCATGAGCCAATGCTTGCTGGGTGATGCTGGCAGGAGTTGAAGTCCAGCCTTTGGACAGGCTTACAGTCTGTGCATCTGCTATAGCGCAGCATTTGCTCTTAATCTCCACACATATTAATAGAAGGGTTATCATGTTTGATTTTGCTCACTCTTACAAGGCCCCTATACAATCTCAGAACTGCTGGAGGCAGTTCCGAAAGAACACTGGCTTAAAAAGAAATAAAAAAATAAAATCAAGAACAGCTTCTTGGCTTTCATCCAGGGCTTTGCACAAATAATGCTTTGCACGTGTACAGACAACCTAAGTCCCACTTTTATCAGCAGAACCTATTTCCAGGTAAGAGTGCACAGGATTAGAACCTTACACTGTGATGCTGTGTGGTGTTACGTAGAAGCAAGAATGATCTTACTTGCAATTAAATATACATGCTGCTATATTGCTAATTAGTCTGCAGAGAGTTCCTTGAATAAGTGGACACAACACTTTAAGTGCACAGTCCTGTGTAGGTTTAGACAGAAAAAAGTCCTACAAGTCCTACAAAAAAATTCCAGAATTCTCTAGCCAGCCTTTGTGTATTTTTCAGACACTGGAGTGTGCCTTAAGACACTGCTTCAGACAAACCTCACAATGCTGCTCACCACAAACATCTCTTCTACATACACCCATTTTAATTTAATATTTACCATTTGTGACAACTGAAAGCTAACTCATTACTTCTGCTTCTGTTACTTGCATTTTGCATTCACCTTATGCCACCATTTTATTTAATATACAATTAGAGTAAAACAAGCAAGGATGGGGATGTCTTATTACTATCACCATTGTCATTCTCAAAGAATGAATGCAGAACCTTTTTCAATTGCATGTCCTGTTGATACAAGATCACTGCTGGTCCACTGCAAGGAGTACTAGTTTATCAGCATCTCAGAGCCCTGAAAGCAGCTGGAATATTTGGTTCTGCTCACTGGAGGCATTTTCCAAGTTAGGGCTGTTCTTTGATGCCACCCCCTTATTTCTCCATGCCGTACCTCCTCCTAGAACAATGAAGGCGACTCAGGCTGCCCCACACCACCACTATCTCTAATATGCACGTTGATGCCATCTGAGCCTGCAGCAACACCCAAGAGATTGTTTGGGTTGAACTGGCAGTGCTGGGCATTCTGTCCCCCTGTTCTAAATCAATCACAGGCTCCAGTATGAGAGCTTCTTTCTTGCCACTTTCACTAACTATACTCCAAGGATTGAAATGGTCAGCTGAGAACTCCTTTGTAATGCAGTTCTCTTTGTTCATTAAACAGGAAAAATAGGAACTGTATGTTCTAATAACTGAGGAAGTCTTATACAGCAGCTTTATTTTAGGTCATAAAAAGCCTCAAATTGCCAATGGCAGATGCTACTAGTTATATTAAAATATATAAATCCTTGTTAGACTAGAACAAAATGGGAAACAGTTGACATACTGGAGAACTTCTTGGGCATACACCAAAACATTAAACTTTATTGCACTTGTATCACTGAAATGGTTGAATGAAATTTTTGATTGGCTCATTTTTACACTGTATTAAGGTTTCTGGAACACGTGTCAAGACACGAGGATCTTTTCCATTCAGAACAACTGCTTCGTGTACTTAGGTGAAGGAATCAATCTGTGTATACAACTCTTCACACTCCCATGTACAAGTTTTAAGTACACATCTAAGCACACTGAGTCCTCTGACTAAGGGAAGTGGATGCTGAAATAAAATATTAATGAAATTCGGCAAAACTAAACTTAAGCACTTAAAGCATATGCTAGGTGAGACCAAGGGCCAGTAATTCAGTAGTGGCTAACCATCTGCCTGTGTGAAACTCATCCCAACAGGATCTAATAGGCCTTCATGATCCTCAGCTACTGGCAGAGTGACATGCTGCCTCCAATACTGGATTAGCATATAATTAAGGGGATGGCAGAGACTGAGGTGGCTCGATGGAGTGTCACTGAAGCAGTCGGTGTGAGCTTAGGTGGACTCCGGGGGATGGTGGAGGACAGGAAGACCTGGAGGAATGTTTACATGGGGTCACGATAGGTCGGACACGACTTCGTGACTAGCAACAATTATTGCCATTGGCAGGGTACAATCCTCTCTGCCTGGAAGCCTCAAAAGCCTGACCCTCTTTGGAGATTTTTGCTAAATGGGCTTTGGAGGAGGAAGAAAGGACACTGGAGAAGGCTCAGGATCTCATATCCTGGTCCCTCAGGTCTCCTCCCTTCACCCAACTCCTCTTCCTCTGAGGTTGTTTTCCTACCTCAAAGGGAATCTGGTACAATTCTTAAGGTGAAAGCTGCAAGGTGTGTGTGGAGTCTGATGTCCAACTCTCCTTTCAGAGGGTGGAATGCTCCCTCTGACACTGAAAAGAATGTTTCTAACAATCCTATGCTCCCCGAGACACTCGCCCAGGAACCACAGGACTGGTCCTTTAATTTCCATAAATCTGTTGTGGTTAAATGACACAGGTATATTACAAAGCAAACCTGAAGTTCTGACGTGTATTTTTTTCAGGCATCAAGTGTTAAAACTTAAGCCATGCATATTTTTCAACACCTCACAGGAATGTGTAAATGTGAATAGTAATGTTGAATTTCCTTTAGTTGAGTAATAGTCTTGTTTAATCCCAAGCTATTATTTTTCAAAAGTTGCACACAATGAGACAAAATGTGGCAAGTTGTATCAATTCAAACAATGAAATCTACAAAGCTAGAGAAGCTTGTTTCATTTTTGTGTATATAGCTAAAATACTGTTTAGGATTCTTACAAATCAAACAAGTTGGTTTGCTCAGAGTCTACATTTTTTTCCAAATAATGAACTTGTTAACACACCCCACTAAGGAATTTCTCAACCAATTGCCTTTGTGACAGCAACATGCTTCAAAATTATAAAGGAGATAATTTTAATGTAAATGTTTGTTCTTAAAAAGCAGAATACACTTGTTTAACTTGGTGACATGTTTTAAGACGCAAACATATTTTAGAATGATGATATATGATGTATATCTGGTGGTGGCTTTACACTAGCGAAAACAACTTACGCTCAGAATGGCAGATAATCCAATTTTTGCCATTCCTAGATAACTACTGCAGCCCTCTGTATCATCTCCTATACTGTTCTTGATTATTTCTTCATTTTCAGAAAGTGTTTACGGTTTACAATTTATTCTCTTAAAAAAGCAAAAATGGCTTCCAATTTAATATGGAAAGAAAAAGGTTTATGGCTATGAATGTTCCAGCCATTCAAAAAGTTGTAGTAATTTCAATCTGTAAAAATGTCTGATACAATTACTTTGTTTATTTAATTTTAGTCAGTATGAACAGAACATTTCTACTTGGAAGCAGAATATAAAACGTGTTTTAAGGTTGCAATTCTAAACACACTTAGTACAGAATAAGGCTCACTGAAGACAGTGTGAATTACTTTTGAGTAAACATACACTGGATTGTGTTATAAAACTCCTGTATCACTGTATCTAACCTGTCCTGTAAGGCTTTTTAAAGAAAAACATCCAAGTTATTTCCACTTTGAATCCAGCTTATTTATCACTACAATATTATGTTCTCGGCTACAAATAGTCCCAGGACAATTGTGTATCCCAGGAAAGGAAAATTTCACTAAACCTATAATTAGAGTGGAACTAGGCTTCTAGATATGTGTATACAGAGCACTTAGCTAGTTGCACATGCACACACACACACACAAAATAGAAAAATAGGGGAATAAAACTTCCAGTGCTAATCCTCAACTATTAGCATTCTTATGCAATTGAAAACTACCAAATACATGGAAATGTTGCCTTTTTCCCTAAGTTAGGGGGCAGGGCAGAGAATGTTCTTAACAACCAAACCTTTTTATTTAAATGTATAAAAACTTACCGTAGTTTTTTCTATAATTGAAGACATTCTTGAATGCCTTGAATCTAACAAGGGAAGGGTATTCATGTTATATTGTGAATGAATGAGCTGTTGCGCCTTTTTCTTCTTTAAAACTCCCCTGTTGGCTAAGTAATGCATTAGCTCTGACTACAGCTAAGCTAAATGTGGGATTGAAGAAAACTGGTTATTTCAGACTATTTCAGATTGTAACCATAGTTACAACTGGAAATTTGTCAACAGGATCAAGTGGTACATCAAAAGAGGCACACAGAGATGCTTATGGAGAGCAGAAAATAATATGCTCCATATACATTACAACGTCGTTGTTTTCTGACTTTGCATTATGCATATATTTTCATCTCTCTTCCAATGTGTGGTTTGATCTCCTGCATGATCCATTCGAAAAATGTCTTTATAAAGATCTTCCAATAGCTTCGCTTCTCTTTGGTTATCCTATTTCACAACAGAGGGTTGGACTAGAGAACCTTTAATTCCCTTTCAACTTTGGTTCCATTAAAACTCTAAAATATAATCTAATCAGATTTTTGAACCTCAACACATTCAACATGATTAAATATAATTTGCATACATAAATATTATAATTATTAATCCAGGGCATTATCCTGTCAAATCTAAATGGATTGTTGTATCCATGACCATAAATGAAGACCTTTCCTCACAGCTATTAATAACCTTAATTGAAAAGGTACACCAAATGTGCGATTTTTCTTTATGCAGTTAATACATGACTTATCAGATATTCTAACAGTATTTAACTTTTTCTGTCTAAAAATGCTTGCATTACTGTGCATACCTTTTTTCAAATAGAAGTTTACTTACCATCTGTCTTTTGGAAAGTTCTTTACAATTTCATTAATGATTGGCTGATAGCAGGAATCTCTCTCAGGTTTCCCAGTTTCACTCCAATCTCTTACAAATTGTTTCAAAGTGGATTTTAATTTATCCATGTCAAAAGTTGAAGCTGGTGTAATCTTTTTATTTCCCTGATAAAAGTATAAAAAAGAAAGTAAGTCATAGTATCAATGCAAGAACTGGGTAAAAAACACACAAGTATCTATTGTTTGTAATAAAGTGCCATATCAGTGAATGATTAGTTAACAAGTGTATTCAGAAAAGAGCTCAAGGTCAATAATTCAGTCCTACATGAAGCTGGATAGTCTAAATCAACCTCTGACGCACCGTTCTCTATTATACTTAGGGTGTTCATTAAAAAAAACAAAACAAAAAAAAACAGGAAAGATGTTGACAAAAACTCAAGGCTGTAAATAGCTTACTTAGATACTTCTAGCAAGTAAGAATAAGGAGCAAAGAGAAGGCAAGATTTAATTTTATCTACTTTAAAACGTCAATGTGCTAAGCAGATAATACGCATGGGTAGGCTGGCTTGTGAAAACTACTTTATCAGCAGATAACTTTTGTGGAAGACTGTATCAATATGGCTATTATATATTCTTTCTTCGTAGTAGGCTTCTCCATGACACTGAGAAGATAGAAGGAATCACTACTGAAGAAGCTTTGCCCTGGGGTTGTAAAATCAAAGAAAAGGGAGCTGAAAAAGAATGTTCTTATAATAGCTAAGTGTTCATGAATACATAAATCCCTAAAACCAGTCTGATGGGCTTTATTATGTATTTCATTTCTATACGAACCCACAGTGAAAGCTGTCTGTCATTAATGCTGACAAAGTTGTTTTCACTGTCATGTCATAATGAAAAAAAATCTTAAAATTTAGACTTAAGGTGGCAAACATATTTCTTTTACTTTATTATAAAGGACATAGCTTTCATGATATATAACCCTCTAGATTATATGCTAGTTCAACCATAAAATACTGTTTATTAAAATAATTTCTAAGAAATATGTAACAGAAAAACATCCACATCAACATTCTAGATTAGAAACATGAATGCTGGGGACATTTTGAAGCTGGGGCAGGGAGTTAATCTTTTTTAAAAGATTCCTGGCATGGTCATTTCTTCCAGTCCTTATTAAAGTAGTGATCTAAAGTATGCTTTACTGATAAATATACAAGAATGTTTCAAGTCATGTTCAGTTTCTCAATATATGGTGAAAGCTACTGAATTATAACATGTGAATAAATGTACTTTTTAGGACTTTCAATGTGCAATAAGGGCTTTTAATAAGTTTTCAATTAGTCCTCACTGTTAGGAGATGCTTCTTCAGCTACAAAAATAACCTCTGCCACCAACATTAATCTTCTATACACCTACAAGAAACTCAGTAGCTCCTGTATTTTAGGCACTGGACTTGCACTACTAGAATACAGCCTTTCAAAATGAACAGAAATTGAGAAATCTATTAAGGGGACTTATTTACAAAAGGGGATGAAATGTCCTGTTTTAAAGATCAGGTTGAGATTGCTTAAAATTAATTAAGTAGCCAATGTCCAGTAATGCTGTGTTCCCTCTGGTTCTGTTGCTCTCATGTGATCTACCACTTGCACAACAGGAACCGGCACTTCCAACAATCATCCTGGAAACAAACAGAAACTGAGATAAGCAGAGTTCCCTTCTGAAAGCTCTGCTGGCCTGCCCACTCCAAAAACAAGTCTTTTGCCACAAAATCAGCTAGCATCTCATTCCACTAGCAGAGAGTTCTGCTGGAATGTATACATAACTGACAATGTACAATGCCATTGGTTACTATTCCAAATAGCTTAGAGAGTTTCCTCACCTAAAGAAACACTCAGTAGCTTTTCCTTTAGACCAGATTTACCTATACTCTATCCTGAAAAAAATCCTCAGGCAGGAACTAACTTCTGAAAATGACTTATTTATAACTTGGTGAACATGCTCGGTAGATTAAATTTAAAAGCATGCTTTTTTAGACAAATAATTTTAAAATTACTAAGGTTACTTTAAAATGATTTAATTGTAATGCCAATCTTACATGCAAACCAAGTTAAACATATTTCATTTTCCTAGAGTGACAAAGTGACTTTAGATCTGTAAAGAGTTCCAAAAACACAAGTAAAAAATTTTTTTCCCTCAAGCTTTCTTTTCTGGGGGAAAAAAGGATTCCCTCACACCTCCAGAACTTCTGGAAATTTTACCACAGAAGGAGCACATACATAATAGCTCAAAATACAGCATAAACATACATCATCACCATATTCTTTATTTTCAAACATGTGTGTGCAGTCATTCACAATGGACTGCAAGATTCCTTGATTATGATCAATGCATTTCCGAATCTTATCAAGATGAGGAAGGAATTGAGGAAGCAATTTCTGTTGACTGACTGGAAGGGATCTGAACTGTCTTTCTGCACGATTCACTCTTTCATGCATATTGATTCTAGAAATGAAAAAAAAGGCAACAGAAATATCAGAAACTAACATAAACATAAAACTGATGTTCTTTGCTATAATTGTTATGTATCTACTGAGGATTCCCACACTGAGCCAGTTTCAGAATCATACATTTACAGAGCAATTAGCGGAAGATACATCACTGTATCTCACTATGTAGCCAATGCCAATTCATGGGCTTGGCTACAAGAAAAGATACAGTTACAATCCAACCAAAATTTGCCAGTTTAAGTTTCATGAATTACAGTGGGAGATTTAACACTATGCTTATTTCTCTTGCAAACTGAAGGTGCTTGATTTTGATGGGATCATACCATATTTTGGAAAAAGGCTTAAGCAAAAAGAATTAAAATTTCACCTGTAATCAAACATATTCAAGGACTTTGCATAGAGCATACTGGCACATCTTCAGAAATCTTTATAGAGAAGGAAAAGTGTTTTTAGATACCAGCTGTTGTCCCCCACCATCAGTTTTATTTTGTTGCTGTTTTGCTTTAGATTTTGCATTATGTATTTCCTATATATTCATGAAGGTCATGTTTTTACCTTCTTTTGAGATCTACAGTGGTACCTTGGCTCACCAACTTAATCAGTTCCACGACTTTGGTAATGAGCCATATTGGTCGTAAGCCAAGTCAAATTTCCCCATAAGGTTCAATGTAAATAAGGTTAATCCGTTCTGTAACTTTTTTTTTTTAAATCACAGGGAAGTTGGCATGGGAAGACAGATGCGATCACAATCGTCACCTGATGTGTAGTTCGCGACCTGAGGAAATTTTTTCCTGAAATTTCTGTTCACAACCCGATTCGGTCGTGAACTGATACATTTGTGAGCCGAGGTACCACTGTACTCAGGGAGCTTCAACTATTGGGTGGTATAGCAAAGCAATAAATACAACAGTTAGTCTACATCTGCCACATTGGAAACAGCAGCACAGGTCACTACAGTTTTGTTTATTCATTCTTATAACTATTAGCTTGTGTTAGCTTTTAAATTGCAGGATTTAAAAAATGCCCTTTCTATTCATTATAGAAAACATCCAAACTTCTATGAGCAATTTCTGTTCATACAGTGGGTCTTCTTCCTTTTCTCTCCATGCCCCAAATATGTTCTTAATAGTACCCCCTCCACACACACAGCTATCTAGATCAGATCTGAGAGGTGGATATGGGACAAGGGAATCGGTTTCATGTACAATGTCTACTCTGCTGCTGGACAAACAGTTGGATACTATCCTAGCTATATCTGTATCAAAGGTTCAGGGAAATACATGAACTTTTTATACACACACAAACACACATGCAGAATCCAATATTGAACTCAAATGCCAGAGCAAATGTGGGTGAACAGAACCTAATTTATAAGCAAGACTATACAACAGTTCACATGGCACAAAAGTTAAAGCAAGTGCCAACTTCAAGTTTGCATTCATTTTCGAGAAAAAGAGAAGCCAAAGCTATTATCTTAAAGTATTGATAGTATTGTTAAATAGATAGCTATATGTATCTTTTAATATGTAAGATAGAAGGCGCATTGTATACATTCAAGGAATCACAGGATAGTATAGTTGAAAGCAGCAAATAAGGGTTCAACCCCCTGCTCAATGCAGGGCTCAAAATAAATGATTGTCCAATTGCATCTTGAATAATCATTAAACTCAAAAGTGATTGCAACCTCTCCTCTACTCGTCCATTGCACTTCTTGCCCCACAGACTTGTATCTACTTTAAACCTGTTTAACTTCCATGATTTGCCTCAAAGAATCCTGAAAACGGTCGTTCGATGAAGCTGGTGGAAATTCAATTAACAGATCCTCAATCCTGAACTATATTTCTCAGGACTCTTTCAGAAGAACAATTTTGATTAAGCGCATTTACTAGCACAATCCTATGCATGTCAGAGGTAAGTTTCACAGGATTCTTTGGGAATTACACCCAAGGATGCATAGGACTGCAACCTTAGCATTTGGTGCAGATACGTTCTAAGGCTATAAACCAATGCGTGCTTACTTGGGAGTAAATCCCATTGAACTCAGTGGAGGTAATCCTGGTAATCCTGGACTGAAAGTGAGGGAACCGGGAACGTAGCTGAAATTCCCCAACCCCCTCGCAATGGTGAGGTTGAGGGCTACCAACGAAATTAGAGAGCGGGGTGTGAGTTACCCATAGTAACGAAAGGCGTTGATAATTCTCCGGAAGTGCTCCCGTTCCAGCTTCTCCTCCTCCTGCTCCTTTCCATCCTCCATCGAAACTAGCTGCTGCACGGGCTGCGGTTCCCGCCTGCACCGCTGGCTGTCCAGCGTCACTTCCCCATCCCACAGCGGCTCCTGCTCGTCGTCCCTGCCTTCGACGCTTTGCCGGTTCCCTCGGCGCATGGCCTTCACCGGCGGCAACGCGCACGCAGCTGCAACCGACATCCCGCCACCCCGCCTCCAATGCCGAACGGCTGCCTCTTCGCGCGCCCGCTTCCGGGCTCGCTGGCGTGCTTCCGGCTTCATCGAGAAGCGACAGCTCATCCAGCCACCTCTCGTGGAACGCGTTGATGCCGTCACAGGCGCGCGCGCGCACGTGACGTTTGCAAGCGCCCGCTACGGGCTGAAAAAAGGGAAAGGCGCGAGTTGCGCAAGCGCAGTGCAATCTGGTCTTGTCTTGTGTCGCGCGGCGGCGGCAGTGGCGACCACAGCCTTGGGAGCTGCATATAATAGACTTGCGCACACGTGGGAGTCCCGGGTTCTGTGCCAGAAGTAGGGGGCGTAGAGTCTGCCAGCCTTGGGCCCATCATGGTTGTATTGTTTATTCTTCTGATTCGATGGGAATACAGCACAATTACTGCATCAGTTGCAGACCCATTGAATAAAGAGGCGTTAACAACCATGCATCCGTGCATGGAAAAGGCCACTTTTCCTTTGCGGTCTGCCTTTTCTTGTCAAAGGATAAATAAAGAATACGGGGCCGTGCTGAGCCACCTGGCACAAGGCCTGCAAAGGCAGACAGGACTGGATAGATCGGTCGAAGAAAGGTAAAAAAGGTAGAGGATGCTCCGAAATACTCGGTTCTGGCTTCTAACTGAAGGAGTGCCAGCATCTGGAGGATAAGGTTTATCCTAAGCACAAGCAATCGCAATAACGATCTTGCATGTTTTCTCTCATTGTTTAAGGACCCGGAGGCACACCAGACATAAACAAGGGGGAATGGGCTAAACATAATTTGACGGCCCATCCTTCAGCAGCACTCCTAGGACACCTGAGCTTATACTGTTAGTACACAGAAAATGGAAGCACTGTGGCTGGGTCCTTTATAACTTTTAACTTCTGCACTGTGATGTGCCTGTAGCACACAAAGGTCTACAACAGCTCTTACTCATAAAGAATATAAGCACCAGGGCCTTTATTATTGAACAAATGAATATTTCACTTGTATATTTCAATTTCACCTCTGCACTTAGCCAATTTCTAAATCTTGTATGAACTAGAAACCAAATTACTCTCATTTGCAAGAATAAAAACACAACAATATGGATGGACATTACCACAAGTACTCTCTAATATAATGTTTTTTCTCATCAAAATGAGACAGCAGGTTATTTATTTTAATATGTTCTGGGTTCTTTTTTTTTTTGGTTCACTCTCTGTAAGCTGCCCAGAGACTTTTTTAGTAATTGGGATGGCATATAAAAACCTTAAATAAATAAAGTCCTCATCTAACTAAAAAAACCCTTACTATTTAAAATATATGAATTTCATAAAGCCATCAAAATGGCTGCTAAAAATGTCTGAGAAAGTACAGCACACCAGTACTTTATCTTGCCATATTCTAAATACCAAGAGGCTCAATAAAAGCAAAATGTATATCCTCCTTTGTATACTGTATTCAAGAGACCTCCAGACTCTGCTAGGTTCAGAATGAGAACAGGTAGCAAACCCAGATAAACTGACTGTCCCACTGAGAAGATATTGCTGTAATAATTTACTGTGCAGTGCAGTGTAAACTAGTATAGTAATATTTTCAGTAGGCAGAAAAGTATTTAGTCATCTGGTTAACCCTGCTGATGGTGGAACAAATGGCTGCCAACATTCCACGGTAATCATTTCCTTTATTTAATAAAATGAAGAGGTTTATAGGAAGGGACTCGACATGAATTCAAAACAAAATTATTTTTATTAAGCAATATTTTAAAAATACATGTTTCTCTTTGTTGACAGTTTGCATACAGCAAATAGATTTTTTAGATTTCCAACCTTTTGCAAGAGTACCATAATGACCCATGTGGACGGCCAACTTCACTATGCCTTTCACCACTAACAGATGTATTGCAGGATGCATCCTTCCGGTAGTGTTTTTAGGGAAGTTGAATGAAAAGTGCAGAAGGTTCCCCCGCCCCCGCTGGAGGAAGCTTGCATCCCTTTTTAATATGCCAAGGTAAAAGGACAGCGAATATGCCTGGGTGTAGTGTGGGATAAATTGAGAAAGAACAGTTGAGAAGTTCAGCAGCCATGTAAGTGCTCCCTTTTGTCCACAGCCTGAGAGCTTCCAGGCACTGGGATAAATATGCCCAAATTGATCTTCTGGCAACAATTACAAATAGTTTGCAACTCCAAGTGGGAAATGCATCCATAGGAATGCCATGGCACTGTCTCTGGTGGGTGCCGCTTTAGAAGAACTTGCTTTTAGGCATAATATATACATCAGTATTTTAATGAAGCTATTATTGTGTCACTGAGTAATATGGATTCATATTCATAATAGTGTCTTAATAGTGGCTTGCTCACCTGGAGAAGAAAGAACCACACTTGTTAGTTCAAGGGCACTGTTGCAGGTTCTTTATAGCCATCCATCTGTTTCCAATCTTATTCCTGCATTCTCCAGTCTGATCAATTCAAAATGTTACAGTCAGATTAATTGAATTCTCTGACAAACTACTAATCCACCAGTAACTAGTATCCTCAACAGACTGGGCTTCCAACACTTTTTGAAAACTTTCACACTTCCCTGAAGTAAATCCAGTTTAATTTAATGGGATTTACATCAGAGCAGGTATGCTAAAAATGCAATTTTGCTTTATTTTCATGTCAAATATATGCCAATAAAATTTTGTAAGTTTAGTTATGCTAAATGCACACCTTGAGCTAGACCAATGTTTCTATAATGAAGAACTAGTTTACAAAGTTCCTCAAAGTTTCCTTTGCTAGGAGGGGACTGAGTTATTGAGACTTGCTCCAAGTTTGAGAGATTCTCTACCTATTATGTGGTAAAACTCTTCTGATATCAGCATCCACACAAATATAATAGGGCCACCTCTGATAGGTTAATTTATTGTATTTATATCCCACTTTTTTCCTTTTAAGGGACTCAAGGCATCTTACACAGTTCTCCTCCTCTCAGTTTTATCCTCAGAACAACCACCTTCTGAGGTGGACTGGGCCAAAGAGTCTGTGACTCGTCCAAAGTCACCCAGTGAACTCCACGGCTGAGTGGGGACTAGAACCCACATCTGAGTCCTAGTCTCATGCCCTTGTGACAGGCAGCTGGAAGTAGCTAATGAAATTATGTAGCAGCACCTTGGAATTCCTGTAAGAAATCTGGTGCCATCTACTGATGCCACTACAGCATCTTGACCCCAGGTGTGGGTGGCCCTGTGAAGGGAAAGAGTCTAGAGCAGTTACAAGCATTGGAAACCCCACCAGTCTTCGGGCCTAGGCAGCTGCTGCAGGATGCTAAGGGGTTGGCCCCAGGCTTCAGTGCAGCAAGTTATTTTCATATGCAGCAGGCAGCCTCTTCTTGTAGAAAAAGGGTTTTGACTTGCAGGGGGTTTCATTAGCCAATTTATCTCTTGCAGTACACAATTTGAAATATACTGGCCTAAACTAATATAGTACTTCACAGAAGTGCAACAGTGTACAGGAACCTTGATGTTTTCTTGGCCCAGCAAGCTACTTACTTGCCTTTTCTAGTTCTTAGGTATATCGTTACAAATCCTTGAACAGAGGTCTTCTTGTGATCTTGTTCCATCCAAATAAACTGTAAGAGGAACAGCAGATCAGATTGCAAACATTGTCAAGATTCACTGCTTTACCTACACAAGTTGACCTAACTGAATGGATATAACTTGAAGTGATTTCAGCATTAAATGCTATTCACAATTGTTATTTATTTGATTAGAATGTCTATATTTTGTCTTTTTTCCTCTTGCAAGAATTCAAGTCAGTTTAGAGATTCTTCCTCCTCTCCATGTTATTTTCACAACAACTTGTGGTATTGTTTAGGCTGAGAGTCAGTGACTGATCAAAAGTCACCCAGTGCACTTCAGGGCAAAAATGGGGGGGGGGCAGGGGAATACAACCTGGATCCCCCAAGTTGCAATCCAACACACTTACCTCTACATCACAATGGCTCACAATTCTCCTAATATTTAGTTTTACATGTCATCAGTATGCTAACCCATGGTGTGATGACTGTGATGGGTGAAACCAGCCATGCCAACAAACCATGGTTTGTTAACAGGAAACAACCAGGGGAAAACCCATGGTTTGCAGATGACTGGTCAACTCAGAGATTTTAAAAACAGCTCAGAACCATGAGTTGTTCAACCAAACTACAGAGGCAGCATGGGTTTGTGCTATGTGTGAACAAGGTCTGTCTGTAAAAAAGTTTCTTAAAAAGCAAAAAAGCTGCAAACCTGAGTGCATACCAACCATGCAATTGTACAAGGTTTCTAACTAGGAAAATGCTGAAAGTTTTTTTTTCTTACAGGTGCTCTGCCTATTCCTTCCTGTCCTCATTTTGTTTTTAGACAAATGATCATATGTAATGGAAAGGCTGGTCTATACAGGGCACCTCCTCTGCATGCAGAAAGTCTCAGGTTCAAACCCTGGCAAGCGAATCCAGGTAGGGTTGGATTAAACTCCTGCCTGAAATCCTTGGAAAGCCACTGCCAGCCAGTGATGACAATGATGGACTAGACTGGTCAATGGACAACTTTCAGTCTTCCCGTGAACTATGTAAATATCACAAGCTTGCACCAACACCCAATGCTTCAATAAGCTACATGTATATTAAGACACTTACCAATGCCGGTTTCATTTTCTTCCATCTCTTTCTTATGTTTCAGATACATGGGCCACACATGTCCATCAAAGTACCCTGGTGGGTCTGGTGGATTATAAATTCTATTGCTACATTAAGAAAAAAATTATTTCCATTTCAAGTTATAACACAACAAAATCTGGAAAAGTCCAAAGGAGTAGAATTGTTTTTCAGGGCACTGTACACTAAGAATCAAGGGACATGATACCTCTGAACACATGCTAAGCCCAACTATTTGAAATGAGAACTGGAACATGGGCTTTCACTCAGAACACCCCCCTGGCCCCACAAGGGTGTTTTTCAGTAACCCACCTTAGGAAGGAAGAACATTTTTGGTTGTTGCTATTGTTAAACAATGAAGTCAGAAATCTCAGTGCAAATCTGTCTCAGAAGTATGTGAGCCGCCCCGAGGCTTCGGCGAATGGGGCGGCATAAAAATGTTTTAATAAATAAATAAATAAATAAATAGATCTTGATCTAGTACTTATAGAAAATAAGTCTGCTGATAATCATCAAAGGACTTCTTCATACTATATTATGCTTCAGTTTATAGATATACTTAAGTAGCATGTTTCAACATGATCAATACCTAGCCCATAGGGCAGGTTCCTCCCACCTACTTCCTTAATACATGTTTCAGATTTGTGATGTGCCCCTTCAAGAATGCTTAGCAAAACTCCACCATGTGACTTGTTACTGTTACTGCCTGCTACTGTGTCATGGCTTGTCAAATTGGGAGACAGTTAGGGTGTGAAGGATTCTCCACTAGTTCTAATAGCAAAACATATGGTAAGCATATTGTGTAAAATAATGTGTGTCTTTGAAGTATTTTTATGCCATATTTTTATGCCACTCGTCAGCTACAAAGGCTGCAAGGGGTATTTACACTTAAGAATGAAGAAAGGACATTCCCTGTCACATAAACTTGCTATCTTAAAGTTCATGACCCAAGGAATGGGGAATGCACAAATGAATCATGGATGGTTAATCACAAATAATCCATGAAAAGAACCCAATTATTGCTGTTAACTGGGTTGTTCAGCATGGTTTGCTATCTTGGCTGGGTTTAGACAACACAGTGACCCATGTTTCAACCACCCATTATTCAGTTACAACCCATGTTCAGTCCTCGACTGTCGGGACTTTGAATTCTGAAACCGGAATTCTTTCAGCAGAAAAAGAAGAATGGTGCTTCTTCTCTGCAACTTCATCTCAGCCAGCTGGAATGCTGCTTGTAACATCTGTAAATGGAGGTCAACTATTATATTGACTCTGATCCAGAACATCTTACTTCGTGTTAGTTCCATATGTTCCAACAGAGCTTCATTTGAAGTATCCATGTCTTGAGTTCAAGCTTGAGGCTGCAGACCTACACAGACCTACTTCAAGCGAAACCCAGCAAGGCAAACATATACAGGACTGAGCTGTCTCAGTGAAGATCCTAAGTTTGGACCATTAATTATCAAATTTTTAACTTAGGGAATCAGAACTTTTTGCATTTTCACAATAAAAATATAGTTAGATGAAAAAGACCCTCACATGTCCTTGTTTATCAAATTGTTAGGCTAGGAAGAAAGATACTGTTTTATTACAAGGTTTTACATAGCACTACAAAATGTGACAATGTTGTTATTGTAACTGTATACATTCAAGTGTCAAATGTGCCTGCTGGAAGGAAGCAAGGCCCCTCTGGCAGATCAGCAATTCAATGGTCTCCTTATACACAAAATGCATGGTGGGGGGGTACAGTATGGTGGGAGTTGTAAGACTTTTTCCTCTCTAAATATGTTCAGAATTTCCCAAGGTTTGTTTTGCCGACTTCACACTTCTGCCTAATGATTACAGAAATCAGTATATTCGCAGAATCTGTCACTGCTGGATTCTACCCTAAATTTTGAGATTTGGCCTTACTAAATCTAAACTTAGTATCAGAACCTGCAGCATTTTGTACAATACTAAGGTTTTAAAAAATGAATTGTGTAATTCTGCAATTGCACAATTTTAAAAGTGTTCTCTATTTTTAAAAAAACCAGAAAAATAATGTGTTTTAATTCCCCCAGGGTTTTTTAAAATTCCCATTGTAACGAATGTGGTGTGAATTTTCCATCTTTACCAAGTTGTTGCCAGAATGTATGAATGGAACTGAAGGGATGCAGAGCCATTCCCCAGGAAATGCAATCAGAACTGGAACAGGAAAGCATGGGCATTGCATCTCGACTGTCACCCACTCTCCAGCCTCTGCCACTCAGGCAGCCATCTCTGGGGAAGTGACGTGGGCAGAACAAGATGGTTATTCCTATTGCTGAATAGGCCTATTCCCACTGCTGCAGCAGGGAAGTTTTTTCATTGCACTCTTCACCCACACCCATACTGACCGAGCAAATGTTCTCGCCTGTGATGAATGTACAAATGCACATTTGAGAATACAAATATGTAAAAATGAAGACCATGCTTTTAGACTTGACTGCATAAATGTTTGAGCCACCTTCCCCATTTAGATTAGCTTTTTCCATTTAATAACAGCATCATGCAAATACCCCACCGTGTGCACAATTCGGCTTAAAGGCTCCAGTAGACCACATGGGTTGTTACGTGAGTATGCATAAATGGCATGTGTCTAAATTAACCATGATACGCAGCAACACAACTATCATTTCATCAGGTTGCAGCAGAGGCAGAAACAGATTCCCTGTGAACTCTTCCTGAAAGACCAGACCTTTTTTACTCTTCTCCAAATGGCTTCCATTCCAGCTGGTCATGACAAGAGCTTCAAAGAGTAGTGCTCACATCTACTTTTTGGCTGCTCTTTCCAATCCCTTTTCCTTTTGTGTATTGTCTAGTAAACTAGTTCTGAGGATAGAACCAGTTTGATTCTTGGAAGCCATTCTGGAACCCTTTATTAGCTGCAGAGTGAGTGGGCTAACATCATTTCCAATAAATAGAGAAACTGCTTATTATGCTGCAGTGTGTGTGTGCGGGGGGGGGGGGGGGGCGGGGAGGTTGTCCCAATGGCCAAACAGTAATACATTGTATAAGGTGTTGACTGTCAGAATACAGTACCTTCTTCTCCTCTTGCATTCTTCATAAGGAATAGTTAAGAAGTACTTTCTATCCCATACATTGCTGAGAGGCCTGCAAGAATAAACAAACAAATAAGGCAGAGTTGTTTGCTAGTTACTGTGTACCACACAATGCCAAACATGCTTACTTGTAGTTATACAGGAGGAAGCCTTCAACAATTAAGACAAAAGTGTCTTCTGCTCCTTTTTGATCATCATCTGTACCACTTGGTGGTTTTGTCAATGCAGGGTCTTCTGGGTTGGCCATCCAAGAATGTATGCGTGCCACCATTTTGTCCATATGCAGGGCATCCAGTACTAGAAGAAACACTTTAATCTCTTAAAAGTAGTCAGTTTCACCATCTCTAGTATTCAATACTAGCAAAGAAACCAGCAGACGTAAGAAATAAAGTTAGAGAATTCTGCTGTTATTCATCAAGGCAGCAAACAATCAGAGAGGAAGAGCCACACTGTGTAACAGAGAAATGATAGGACCACAGAACAGCAGTTCATCTTTTACAGTGCCAAAATCTGTAAGATTCTCTCCAAATAAAGGACATCAAGAAGATAGATCAGATTGGTAACTTCCATGCAACAGCAGGAAAGAAGTGATGCTTTTCACTTGTCACAGGTGGTTGAACTGCATTAAAGTTTGTAAACTGAATCGTAAGGATTTGAAGTGGAATATCTCAACACTTCTTTAAAGCTAGATAGGCATGGAGAATATAGCCATTTCATGGCATTACAGTACTGCAAACAATATTTACACACAGGATTCTTGCTTGTAATAATTGTGCAAGAGCTGTGTGGAAAAAGCAGCCCACACATTTCAGTTCGATATTTTTATGTACCAGAAGTTACCATTCAGTTTAACCCTAACTTGAAATTGGAGGAAAATTTGTTCTATTGGAAAGTCTGGACAAGAAAAATGTATTATGACCATCATGTTTATTCTAGTCCAAATCAATACTTTGTCAAGGAATACAATCAAAATTGATCAGTGTAAGTTATCAAATTTGGAAGTAATCAGTTATGACATTTAAATAGCAACTATCTGTCTGCTTTGTTTTACCTGCACTGTGTTATTGGCTTTTTAAAGTGCAATTCCATGCAAATTTAGACAGCAAAAATGTTTACATCCTGGGAGTTCTAGGCTTTTTTTCCCTGTCTAAACTTGTACAGGATTATGTACCTATAGATGCCTAAAATGGCAATTTCCTGGTATCATTACTCAATGAAAGAGGAAGTGCTCTCTTTAGGTTCTTAAAATACAACTGGAGCTTAGAATCTTGCTTGACAATCCCATCTTCATCCTGGAAACAGGAAGCATTGAACAAATATCCACAGATGCTTCCAGTGCAGGCTATTATCATGCCATTGTCCTGCCCCAATCCCAGTATTTCCTGTGTACATCTTCCACTCATAACCATCTGGTATTTTCCCACCATCTCTTCCATATTATGTCTTACCATAAAAGCCACAGAGAGAAAAAGATGGAATAGCTGCACATTTTCAATTGGTAGCCTGAGGAGCCTTCTTCCTGGAAGCACCTTAAATCACAATTCTTGATGTTTTTCATATCATCTGAATTATTTTAAGTATTTGATCTACTAACCATCATACTGCAGGAATCCACGGTCATCTACAAGCACTTCAGATTCTGTCTGGAAAGAAAAAACTCATCAGTGTTGTGGAAGGAACTTGCAGGATGAAGAAGAAACACATACTTCTTCAAATGGTAAATTTACTAAAGTCAGTGTGTGGTATCCAATGCCACCCATGTGCCAGCAAAACCCAACAACAGCAAAGAATGTCTGGACCAGAATATGGAGAGAAAGAGCTATCCATCTCCCAAAGTAGATGGAAGCCCAGGAATGCTTAGTCTTGGCCGCACAGAGAACTGTTTACCAGAAGTCAGTGAATAGGTTCAGTCCTGGTATAAGCAGATCCAAGCCAAACCTAAGAAAATGGTACTTTCACAGAGACACAGTCCTCCGCAAGTGTGTGAACCAGGCAGCTTCCTGTCTATACCAGTGCATCCTCTGCTCATCAACATACATAATGGAGGAACTGTTTCAAATGCCCTTGATGTTACCCAGTACTGGGTGAAAAACTACCTGATATGTTTATTTAGCTTCTACAACCTTATTCTTGCCTATTGATGTTTACACATACGTATTTTATATAAAGGCCACTGCTCTTAACATTTTTATTAGTTGTATTTGTGGTTGCTTCTGACACAAAGACAGCAAGCTGATCTTGTAAAAAGGAGCTCCACTGATCTGTCCTGTTTCAGAAACAAGCATTTCAGCAAGTTAATTTAGGAAGCACAGGTTTCTTTTTGTGCCAGCATCTGTCTCGTGGGCTGACAACAGAATGGCAGAGGGGCTGTGGCAATACTGGATACTGGGCAGAAATTTGAGAGGTAAACAGTGGCAAGCGCGGGAAAGTAAGACAATGTGGCCACTGAAAATGGGACGTAGGGTAGCAAAGCAAATAATGGGACAGGCAGTATCCAGAAAGGTCACACATTTTAAGGGGACCTAAGTCTTAACCCAGCAAGAAGTCGATAGTGCTAGCAGTCAACACAGCACTAATGCTTTATCAAGTTATTCTACATCCTGCACCCTATGAACGTGCATATCAATGCTTAAATTTGCAAAAAGAAAAACATGCAAAACAGATCACATGCTTGTTAGTAAAAGCTGATACTTACTAAATTCACCAGAAGACAGCAGGGAGTAGGATGATAATGTCACCATGCATGCATTCTGTTCCAGGGTGTGCACAGAGGTCAGGCCAGGAAATGGGACTGCAAAGGAGGTGGGAGCTCAAAGCATGACCCTGCTCTCCCTCACATATGAATCTAACTGCATAATGGGCCCAGCACTCAGATAGGGCTAAACTGGATTAATTTTCAGAACAAAACTAAGTATTCCATAGCATTTGTTAAAGTCTCTTGAATGTATTACCTTAAAAAAGTCATCTTGAGAAATTATAGTACAGTTTGGAAGCAGTTTCTTAAGCTTTCTTGCCAGAGTGCTTTTCCCTCCATTTGTTACACTGAATTGGAGAGTTGAAGAGATAACGTTAGAATAGCAGGTTAGACAAGGCACACGAGCAACCACACCATTCTGACAATCAGTGTTATATGAGTGGAATGTACCCAAGCAGATACAGTTTGCCAAGGTATTTTGTAATTCTTTCAGGCAGCACACGCTATTAGGACCAAGGGTTTATTTACTGCAAGGCTATATTTCAAACACCTTTTGTTATCCTTCACTTGGTGTGCACAGGGGCTACTTGGTTGTTGCAGGGAATCCATAGCTCCCCCTGCAGGGAGTCACATCTTTTTCTTGGGTCACTAGGAAAAAAGCACTCTCCATCCCAACCCCCAGCTGATAGATCTTAGAGCTTTACCACTCAAAACATTATTGTATTCTCATAATGGAAACAACTCATTGTTGTTTACTGGTTCTTTAGGTGGTGTGTGTGATTCTCCAGTTTTGCTTCTGTTTTCATAGCACTTCCCTGTTTTTCTGAGAATGGGGAAAATGAGATATTTTAGAATGAGGAGAATGTCTGTTTTTCCTAGAAGTTATGCTGTGTAAAAGCAGGGGGGAAAAAATCTCTTTGCACAAAGCTTGGGTGTTGATACTTTTGCAAAACCAAAAGCAGATATAGCAATTCACAGCCTCATGTAGAAAAGATCCAGAAAATACCTGTGATTCCAAGTGCAGGGCCAATGAGTGCTACAACTGCACTAGCTAACAACTCCATCTTTTTCACATGCACAGCTTGAGAGCAGATGTGGGGAAGTTGTGGCTTTCCAGAGGTTATTGGACTCCAGGTCCCATCAACCCCAGCCAGCACAGCTAATGGTCAAAGGTGATGGAATTGTAGCTGAACAACTTCTAAAGAGCCAAAGATTCCTGATCCCTCCCTTGCCTGCTTCCAAACAAAGAGCTCCTAACACTGCAAAATTAAAAGGGGTTGTGCAGCTATTGCAACTTTCCCTCCTTAACAGATTTTTTTGTTGCAAAGAATGAGGGTTACAAACGGAAGGCCATGTCATTTGGGCCTCCTATTCAAATATATTTGGCAGTTGCCTATCCGCAACTGCCAAATAAAAGCTTCATCCTTAACCACCCAAGACAATACCATTTCCATTAAAAATGGAGAAGCAGAAATGCTACCCCATATAAGAGACAAAGATGAATATGCCAGATACTATCTGCTCCACCCCAAGGCTAGCACTAATATAATGCTAAACATAAACTGCCATTTCCACACTTTCATGTGGGGCAAGCAACAAGCTAAGGAAGCCCAGCAAAAAACAGAGATGAAAAAGGTTTTAAGCGATATTCCATATTCCGCTACTGATACATTTGGATGTTTAATAAGCATGGACACTCTTGCAGCTTCCATGCCCCTGCAAATCTGCCACAACAAAAAACACAGTGATTTTGAAAAAAAAAAAGTATTATTTCTTTGCAATTTTAGCGAAGGTGAGGCATATCCACCAGTCTATTCCAGAAGGACAGTATGGCCCTCAAAACCCACAAAAGTTACTCATTCTAGATCTAAAATAAAACAGATTTTAAAAATATTTTTTTCACTTACCCTCCAAGTCCAATGATCAGTTTTTTCATGATTTTTTAAAGCACCTAAACATTAAATTGAGAAAGTTACTGCATCAAGAGCAAAGAACATGCTGGCCATGAGTTACTTGTTTGATTCACGGAGTCTTATTTGATATAAAATGTCTCTAGCACGTTTTTAAGAATTACTGAAAGCTGATTTGGGTTTGAAACATCGTTTCCAATTATCCATTGCTTTTGAATGTGGATGTACATTAAGATTTGGGGAGAAAGTGAGAGAGGTCTGAGCTAACACTGAGCATTTTGAAACATGGATCCGTAACAATTAATCTGTGATGGCCCATTAGCTCAAGAACCATTGTTTAATGCTGCTTACCTAGGGATTTAGAAATACACATTTTATGGAAAGGAAATAGGCCTCAAACCACACTGATATGTGACATATTCACTCCCAAACACCATACACCAAAGCATTAATTATTAAAGTTGTATAAAAGTTGTATTAAAGACAGAACATTGAAAATGTGAAACAGTTTGCATATCAAGAGAAGACAACCTGTGTCACTATCATGACTCTATTGCTAATCAAATTAAATTTCTGAATAAATCCCTCTGTGCACAATTCCCAAAATGGTTATGACAAGCCAAGCTGAAGTGTTTATTCATCAGGTCAAGGTAGATTCATAATACATCATATGACATGATGGGATGTGATAAAAAGTCATGACAAACAGCCCTCTCCAAAAAAAAAAAAGAGAAAAAGTAGAAGCATAATGGAAGCATCATGGTAAATCCAACGAACTCACGTTCAGGCAAATATTCTATATACCTATGGCACATGTGCACGTAGTTCTTGAAATGTTCCAGGCACACTAAGGACATGACATCAAGCACCAGCAAGCATAAATGCAGCAAGGTTATTTGTAGTCGATCTCTCACTCATTAGAACAGAGTTGCTGCCAAATCTCTTAACCACAGAGAGCTGAAGAGTGCTGAACTCTATCATGCAGACAGTGAGGCAAGTCAGGATTTCAAATCAACAGAGCATGGGGCCAAAATAAATACAATATCAAAGGGACCAGTGTCTAGGGAGCGTGGGGTGAGCAAGCAAGCGAGAGACTGACTAACATGAGTTATAATTTGTATAACTGTCAATTGCACATAGTCTAATTTTGCTCTGATCCAAATAATAATTTTAAAAATATAACCATCAATTTCTGCAAGAAAAAGGTGGTAGTTGATGGTTTCCAGTAGTTCATGACCAAAATATTGATTAGAGGGAAAAAGCTTTGTTAGTTAGCTATCCCATTGCTGTTACTGCTTCCATGGGTATATTTGGGTATATTCCACACTATGGCATTTAATGAGCCCAAACCTAAGCATGCTAACAGAGAAATCCCATCAAGTTTAATGGACTTTAACCTTGAACCAACTTACATAATAGCAGTTTTAAATCAACCATCATGTCCATTTTGGGAATACAGCAGGGGGCATGTATCATGTCATGGCATTTTGTGAATTATCTCCCACTTCATCAGATATGTGAAGTTTTCAGGGTACCACATAGATCTTTTTTTCCCCTCCCTCCTGCATTCCCCACCCCTCTGGAAATTATTCAGGGAATGGAGTTTTCCAATTTCTACTATATAACACGTAAAAATGGCTTTAAGTATCACTTTATCTTTAAAGAAGCAAGTTACTCAGAAACTTGAAAAAGAAGTTCTTTGCAGGTATTCTGGCTCCTCAAACTATTTCTATAAGTTTCCTTAGAAAACCTGTGGGAATACAAACCTCTAAAACATTAAACTAACCCTCTCTTTGTAACTAGCACCAATTGCTTGTTTTTGGGAGAAGGAGCAGAAGTTAAGATTTCAAGTTTTGAGGCATAGGAGCCCTTTATGAAACGAAGTTATGCTGATAGAGGAATATTGAATACAGGACTTACTTCTGAGTAAACATGCATAGGATTGCACAATCGTATGCATGTTTACACAGATTTCTCATGTGTTCAAGAGGGTTTGTTTCCACGTAACTATAAAGTGTTACAACTTTAATCCGAACTAAACATGTATAGGAGCGAGCTGCTCGTTTCTTCCATCTAGCGTTCCAGTTTCTTTGGTTTATGAAGCAAGTTTTGCATAATTCAAATCCGTACTTTAAAGAAGACGAAAGAAAATGTTAGAGTCAGGGATTATTCTAATGTACATATTATAAGGTTGCATACATACAGACTGCTTAAGAACCTTCCGAATTCACAGGGCTGAACGGTTTTCTCGTGCACTTTTTGTCTGGTGTGCTGAACCTAAATCACGCGCGACACAAAAAGGCAGCACTGTCACTACCTCGCCCGAATGTATATAAAAGTGCCCTCGTCCCACTTCCTGCAAAGCAGCAACATCGGACACTCTGATGCAAGAATCCGACAACGAAATCCTCGGCGCCCCACCTACCTTCCTCTTCTACGCAAGGCGCGCGTACAGACAACCAAGTGCGACCGGAGAGCGGAACGCTCGCGACCAGCTTGCCATTGCCCCGCAAGTGCTGCTTAAAAGGCCGTTAAGCCCCGCCCTCCTTAGGAAGGGGGTGAAGAAGCACCCGCAAGGGGACGGGGCTTTATGCAAATACGACGGCCGAAGTGATCTCATTACTGCGCCCCGATTGGTCCAGATCGCGGTCGGGGCACCTTATTCCGGAGAGCCGCCCCTGTACGAAGGAGGGGGCAGCGCGCGCCATGATTGGCTCGTTCTTTGTTGTCCATTCCTCCTCGCGCGCGCCGCCTGGCAGGGTGATTAGGCTGGGGAAGGTGGCCCCTGCTCTCTCTTCACGCCGCCTGCGCTCACGCTCTCTCGGTGCTTGCCGTGCCTCAAGCAGCCTCTAGGGGGAGGAGCGCGCGTAGCCGTGGGCTGTGCGAGTCCCACTTCCTCATCGTAGCAAAAGCAGCACTCTGCAGGGACTTTCAGCACCCGACCGCCCAGTCCGTAGCTGCCCACACACGCTGCCTCTCCCCAGGAAGTCCTCGCGCAGGAGGAGGCGGCGGTGATCGGGTGACTCTCGAAGGCGAGACAGGCGCTCCGGCGCTCGATTCAAGGTCGGGAGGAGCTTTCCTTGCAACTTGCGTGCAGCGATGTCCAAGCCGCCACCGAAACCAGCCAAACCAGGTAAGGGAGGCGCGCCGCGTCCTAAGCCTTTGCTTCCTCCTCTTCCTGGTGGCAGGCATCTTAAGCTGTCGCTGCAAATCCCGACTCAGGATAGGGGGAAGGAGAAAGCAGCTGCCGCTCGAGAACGGAGTATGTGTTGCAGGGTGGGAAGTGGGTCCTTCCTGACACGTGGACCGTGGTTTTGAGCAGGCGCCAGCAGCGGAGCAGCGCCGTACGTCGTGGATCCCAGTCCCCCCAGCGGCATAATTTGGGGCGATCCGCATTATCAGCTATAAATTAAGCGCTTGGCGGCCCGAGTGAATTGATGTCCCCGCCTTGGTTCTCCCCCCAACACACACTTTCCCTCTTTTGCGATGTTCTTTCTCCCCCTCCGTGTCTCCCTCTGCGACGCGCAGGAGATGGAGAGGAAGGGAGTGCGGAGGGCAGCGGTCGCCTTGGAGTGAAGGGCTTCTCGCCCGCTCCGGGTGTGGCTCTGAACGAGGCTGTCACTGTCAAAAGGGAGACCGGGCGCGCGCGCCCGTCGCCGGCCTGACTTGGAGCAGGAAGTGCGCTGGGTTCGCGATGCTGGGAGGTGGGGCTGCTGCTGCACGGCAGATGGCCGGTGCGGGAGTTTTCGATCGGGCGAAAGCCTTTCACAAACTCTCCTGCGGAAGAATTTCCGTGGCTCGAGCTTTGCTGCATTAATGCAGCTGACGAAGCAGTTTTTTAACGCGATGAGAGTTCCCCCCACTTCCCCGTCCTGTCCCGCCCTTCGCAGCACAACCAGGCACGTCAAACTCAAAAGTCTAAGGAAAAAATGTCGGAGGAGCCGCTTCATAGGCTTACTGCTCCCGGATCCATTGCAGGGCGCAGTTTCTGGTAACCTGCGTGTCCGACGTGTAGCAAAACGGGGATGGGGAAGGACGCTGCACAGAAATCTGGCTTCTGTGGGGGAGTGAAAGCCGGGCGCCCACTTCGTAGGATTTCTCTGAGCTGCTGGCAAGCCAGAATAAAAAGGCTAAAAAGCAGAGGCGGTGCTAGGGGATGGTCCCCTAGGAATGCAGCCTCAAATCTCTGGGGAGCCAGCTGCCCACCACCTTGCTGTCCATGGGCACTGGCTGAAATAAAGGTACAGGGCTGGATGATCTCTAATGCATCGGATCTCCCTGGACTAGCTGGCCATTTGCCCAATTGTTTCCCGTCCCCCACATCTTTCAGCCTGAACGTTTTCCTTATGAAATAAAATGCCCTCCTCTCATCGGCCCATCCACCTAATTCTACAAATAGAGCTGTCCTTTGGAGACAGGGTCCTTTAAAGATACATGAACACAAGACTTAGAGCATATGCATTTTATTTTATTTATTCCCTACTTTTTTCCAGCAAGGTACCCAAGGGGGGTGGTTACATAATGCCATCTCCATGTTATCCTCACAACAGTCCTGTGAAGTAGAAGTCTAGGAGTTGTGACTACTGTATGCATATTTGTGTTTTTTTCTTCCTCCCTTTGGGACTGAGCTCTGGGTCTTTGTGCTACCTAGCACTGCCCCATAAGAACTACTACAAAAAACAAACAAACACACAAACAAGATGAAGGTTAGCTCTCTCACGCTTCCTGCTTTTCAAGAGAAAATAGGGTCTTTATCATTTCTAGATTGGCTAGATCATTTCTAGATTCACTTTTACCATTTCTTCAGAAACACTCCAGTGACTTTGATAGAATTACTGGAGTGTAAATTGCTTTAAAATGGTTGCTTGCTAGAGGACAGGCCGGTCTGCCTGTTGCATCAATGAAATATTTGCTCTGTGGAGAGAGAGAGGCGGATAAATTATTGTGATAAATATGTAATGCTGAGTAGCCAGTTACTGGAATCTCTGCCCCAGTTCTTAGCTATCCCCTGACTTTCCTTGTAGGGCATTTTGCAGATCGAAGGGAAAGAGGCAGGCTGTGTACATTTCTTACTAGGTCAGCAGTTGCGGGATGCACTCTGCAATCATATTTGAGATGCTTGTAGGTCAGGGCCGTTCTGAGGGCCCAAGCAATGCAGAGGACCCTGGTTCAGTACATGCAGTGTAGGCTGGCCATTTGCATATTGCCAAAAAAGGGCAGTATGCATGTTGCATTACTAAAGAAGACAAGAGGAGGCATGAATTTGCATAAAATTTACATATGCTAATTTATACGGATGGCTACACTTCTGGAAATAATTACTATACTTCAAAGAAAATTAGAGTGGGCTGCTTCACTATAGTTGAGCAGACTGTGGCCAGGTGACTCAGCTGCTTAATAAATCTGCTGTCCAAGAGCTAATGGTTGATATATAACTTAGCCTTCCTGTATGATTCTTCATTTGGACAGGGTAGACAGTACGGTCAGCGGAAGGATTGCCTTCTGCCATTCCTTCAAATACAGAGTTGTTCTCCGAAAAGCAGAAACATGTCTGACCTCTTTTAACAGTAATTCACAGACTTAAACCAATGGCATTGTGGTCCTATCCCTTTAGTCTCAATAACAGGAATGCAGTTTTACACAGACAAGGATGAAGAATTACAGATAAAGCTTATAGAGAATAACACATTGAGAAACTCAAAGCAAATAGTACCCACCACAGGAGGCCACATAATTTTGGATGGAATTTGCCTTCTGGTTTTCTCTTTTTGAGCAACTCAAAAATTATATTATACAACTGTGCTATAGAATTTAATTACACTTTCATAAAATAAATAACATTTATTTATACAATTGGCCTTCCCTGCTTTATATTGCCAAGATCACTTTTGTCCATAAAATATACTCATAAAATATTCCAATAAAGTTAAATGCAGAAAGCAATAAAACAAAATAATTTTAAACAATGAGAGCAACAGACAGACAGACAGACAGACAGACAAGCGGCATCAAATGTCTGTTGAAAATCCTCAGGAGAAGGGTACAGCCACACTTCTCTAAGGAGTGAGTCACATAGTCAAAAGGACCCAATTCCACATCTCTGCCAGTCCTAATTCTTAAGGCAACAAGATGTGGATGGACAGGTTAATTTATGTATTTATGTATTGTACTTTTATATTGCCCAATAACCAGTGTTCTCTGTCTGAGTAGTTTACAGATAAATTAAAACAGAATATAAGCCATAAACAAAGACATCAGCGCATAATAAAATGAACAAACAGTCCAGCAACAGAATAAAACAATGGAAAAGATCTAAAGGCACTTGAAATGTTTGGGAAAATAAAAAAGAATAAAAACATTTTGACTTGGTGCTGAAAAGACCAAAGTAGGCACCTGGAGGGTATTTCACTGACAAGGAACCATCACAGAAAAGGCTCTTTCTCTTGTAATGTGATGCTTTACATATATTTGCTAGCTAACTAATACAATATTTTTCCACATCATTTTCAGTCATAATTCTGGCAAGGGTATTTGGAAATGCTCTTATATATAAGGATTGGGTTTGTGCCACTGCAAGAAGGGAGGTTTGACTCATATCCCCAATTTAAACACCCCACTACCCTGTTACAACTTGTCTCTAAGGGAGAAATATTAATGGATATGTGGTTTTTTCTTTGTAGGACAATCACAGATCTGAGCAGTATTTTAAAATTGGAAAATGGCACGGTGCAGAATAGCATAAACCCCTTCCCAAACATCAGAGCCCCAAGCTATAATTATTAATGTGGAAAACCCTGTTAATGGAACTTGTTTCATCACATAGCTTGATTCCAATACTGCTTAAAACTTTTTAGTGGTGCTTTATTACTTAACAATCTCACCTCACCTTCTGTAATAGGGAGCAGAACGCTCCTTCGTTGCCATTTTTCAAAGGCTTTGGGGGCCACAGCATGCTAAAATGAGGCAAAACCAGGAGTGGTGCTTGTGGGTTTCATAAAGGGCCTTAAGCTTCCTCCTAAGCTATTTTCTGATTGCCACAACCTTTATAAAAATGCTACTAATTTTATCCTTCCACTACTGTGAAGTGCCAGAGCTTGCCTGCATGAGGCTGCTTTTCTGGCTGTATCTGCTTTCAGTTTTGTTGCAGAATGAAGAGGTAGAGTATTTCCATTGTGCCTCATGACTCTAGGTGACACTGTCACCTACATGTAGCAGAATTACACATGAGGATATCACAATTCAATTCATTTTTTTTTAATCAATGTATTAAAAGTGCTGGTTAGGCACAGAAATGAAACAGGAAGGTCATGATGTTATCTAAAGAACCTGCAAGAGTTGCAAGTTGCAAATGATGGGTTCTTTGTATAAAAAAATGCTTGTAGGCAGATGTGAACAATTTTGCCTCCTGCACGCCCATGAGATATTTGAGCCAATAAGGACATTTACAGTTGAGAGATAGAGAACTTTGGTTGGAGATGGCAAAATGGTGCAGAATCGAGAGCATCTAACCCCATTTCTGTACTTATGGGGCAGCAATTTGCTATCTTAAAATCAGTCTAGTTCTAGATTAAAGTGGTTTAAGTTCAGAAGTGCTAGTTTGCTGACTGAATGGTTATGATTCACTCTATCAGTTGTTGAATGAAGCTCTGATTCCAGTTCATTGCACACACTTTTGGATTTATAAGTCTTCTAGGATTACACATAACAACCTTGCAATTACTAAGGGCTGTTACCTCAGCCTTTGCATTTGCTAGCCTTTGCAAATCTGGTTCAATAACCCATTGTTAAGGTTTCCTGTTGGAAAAAGTACACCATCAGGAAGATCAGTTGTAGCATCTAATCAGCTGTCCACAAAATTTAGTTTTTTACCCCTTCTTCTGTCTAGAGTTATTATTTGAAGAGCAAAAATGTTCTCTAGCAAGCTGCTCCATGGTGACCAGCGGTTGGATATTTGCTGCCACAGATTTTCCTGTTTACACCTCTAAATTTCCATTTGACCTTACATAAGGAAGAAGTGGCATTTTCCAAAAGGAATGACTGTCAGCCCTGTCCTGTACCGATCACAGTAGGATTTACTTGTGGGTAAGCACATATAAAATTGTATTGTAAAGGAAAATGAAGTAGAGCAGGTTG